CAGCCTCTGCGTGCGCACTGACGGCCTCAACGGGTACAATGGGGTCCCTGTGGGGATGGGGGGACACCCGCTGTGCCACAGGGACCCCGTTCACCTCCACCACCTCCTCCCGCAGGTCCCAACTGGTCCAGGATGTGCTGAGCTCTGACACCCGCGCCTGCACCCTGCCTCAGGTGGCCAAGCAAGGTGAGACCGTGGCAACGCCGCGTGGGGCTGGGGTCCTCCCTGGTTTTGTGCCCCCCCCTCCTGACCCTGCGCCGCTCTCCCACAGGCTCCATCACCCCCAAAAACGTGACGGTGGTGGCAGGCACCGACCTGGTGCTCACGTGCCGCTTGGGCTCCAACCTGGCACAGGCGCTGTGGACCTTCGAGGGCCGGGCGCTGCCGGCCGAGCAGGCGCTGGTGCTGCACGATACCCGCCTGCGGGCGCTGGTGGTGCCGGGGGCCGGGGCGCAGCACAGCGGCACGTACCGGTGCTTCTCGGAGGAGCAGGGTGCCCGCCTGGGTGGGGAGGTGTACCGGGTGGTGGTGCTGGCCGGGGCTGGGGTGCCGCTGGAGACGAGGGCGCCGCTGGAGAGCCTGGGGTTGGTGTGGGTGGTGGCCGTGTGCTTGGGTGCGCTGTGCTTGGTGCTGGTGCTCGTGGTGTTCTCGCTGTGGCGGCGGCTGCGGGAGGAGCTGGGGAAAGGCACCAAAGCTATTGAGAGCACACTGGTGTACCCCATCGAGCTGCCCAAGGAGCCCCCCAGTCCCCGCTTCGTCCCCAGTGCCGCGTCCGACTCGGATGAGAAGCTCTGGGACCCGGCCAGTTACTACTACTCGGACGGCTCGCTCAAAATCGTGCCGGGTCACGCCACGTGCCGCAACGGCGGCCCCCCCGGTGCCACCTCGCCACCAAGCGCCATCCCTGGGCAGCCCCTTCACTCACCCACCCGTATCCACCTCGGTCCCCTGCGTGGTTCCTCTTCCAATGGCTACATCCGCCTGGCGCTGGGTGCCGAGGAGCGGCCGCCCTGCGCCGACCTGGCCGAGGAGCTGCGGCGTAAACTGCAGCAGCGCCAGCCCCTGCCCGACTCCAACCCTGAGGAGTCTTCGGTCTGAGCCGCCGGTGGCCGCCGAGCAGCCGTACCTACCTCAGGGGTACCCACTGCGGGGCCCCCGGCGCTGGCACCCACCATAGGGACCAGCGCCTGGGCACCAGCACCCGCCTTGGGGCTGCAGTGTGGGCGCTGGTGCCCAGTGTAGGGATGCCGGTGCTGGTACCTGACTTGGGAACTGCCACGTTGGCACTCACCATGCGGATGGGACTGTCACTGCAGTGCTGGTACCCGTCTTGGGGCCGTGGTGCCGGCACCGTGACACCCGTCTTGGGCCACCGGAGCTGCTCTTGGTCACCACGTCCGCCTTCGGTACCATGTCCCAAGCAAGGGACTGACCTTTGGGGACTGCCACCAGCCTTGGGGACCACCGCCCCCCCCCGGGTGCCGTGTCCCACCCAGGGCAGTGGCCGTGGGATGATTTTTTGGGATGATTTAAGAACCGATCGGGTTTTTCTTCCTGAGAACTTTTCTAATGCCCCCCCCCCTTCTCACACCTCTCCCCCCCCAGGGCTTCGTACCCCTTTGGCCCTGGTTGTAAATACCCCCCCCCCCGCCTGCCACCCCCCTGCACGCTGCCCGCTCGGGCCCCTTTTGTATAACCCCCACCCCACCCCCAGTGTAATTTATTTGTTACCAAAATATATTTATTTGCTGTAAATACGTATTTTTATATTAATAATAAAAAGGAGTAAAAAAAACCCAACCATCAGCACATCTTGAAAGTGAAGCCGGGGAGGGGGGGGTTGGAGGGAGGGCGCTGGGCACCCCCCCAGCCACTGAGCTCATGGAAAAAGGCCGCACTCGGGGCTATAAAAGGGCATCGCGGTGCCGTTCCCAGGGCGGGGGGGGGGGAGCGCAGAGGCTTGGCCCCACGCCCGTGTGTCCCGTCCCAGTGTCGTCGTTCCCCCCCCCGGATGCCGGGGGTCAGTGCGGGGTCCCCAGGGAGGCCCTGCCGGGAAGCGGGGCGGAAGCGGCACCCGGGGTCCTGGGGGGGGTGCTCCGGGAGCGGGGCCAGCGCTGCCCGGGCCGTGGGAACCCGGGGAGGGGGGTCCAGAGCCCCCATGGGAGCGGAGGGGGGGAGCACAGCCCAGCGCTAAGGCCCCCCCCTAGCGGCGGCGGCGGGGCCGAGCTGGCGTCCAAGAGCTCGGGGCGTGGCTTCGCTCGGCTTCCCCCGACTCCCCTCGGCTCTTTCCGGCTTCCCTCGATCCCCTTCAGCCTTTCCCTGAGCTCCCCTCGGCTCTTTCCGGCTTCCCTCAATTCCCTTCAGCTCTTCCCTCGGCTCTTCCCGTCTCCCCTCAGTCCCCTTCGGCTATTCCCGTCTTCCCTCGGCTCCTTTCGGCCAGTCCCTCGAATCTTTCCGGTTGTTCCCGCCTTCCCCCGGCTCCCTTCGGCCTCCCCCGGCCAGGGCGATGGCTGAGGGCCGCCGCTCGCCGCCGGGTCCCTGCTGCCCGTCCCGGGTGGCGGTGCCCAGCGCACACCAGAGCCTGCCCGAGATGGACTTCGAGCGGGGTCGGGTGTGGAGCGGGACGGGGGGCTGCGGCCAGGGGCGTGCTCCGAGCCCCGCCTGACCCGGTGCCCGCTGCCCGCAGGGATCTGGGCCGCGGCGCGGGACGGGGACGAGCCCCGAGTGCGGCAGCTGCTGGATCGGCGCGGGGAGCCCGGCCAGACCGACCTAGCGGGGTACACAGCGCTGGTACGGGGCGGGGAACACGGGCGGGGGTGGGCCCGGCGGTACTAGCATCCCGACCGCCGTGCCCACCGCGCCGCCGCCCGCAGCACTACGCCAGCCGCAACGGGCACCTGGGGGTGTGCCGGCTGCTGCTACAGCGCGGAGCCTGCTGCGACGCCCGCACACCCGGCGGGGCCACCCCACTGCACCGCGCCAGCTTCTGCGGACACCTCGCTATCGCCCGGCTCCTGCTGGCTCACGGCGCTGACCCCGCTGCTGCCGATAGCGACGGCCGCACCAGCCTGCACAAGGTGGGGCAATGGGGCCGGGGCGGGGGGGGTGTCCCCGGTGCTGTCACCCACACCGTGTCACCCGCAGGCGGCCGAGCAAGGCCACCGGGAGCTGTGTGCGCTGTTCCTACAGCACAGCCCGGCGCTGGCCGGCATCGCCGATGCCAAAGGACGGCGGCCGCTGGACGTGGCCCACCCGGCGGTGCGGGACCTGCTGGGTACCTGAGCGGGGACACGGGAGCCGCCGCGGGACTCCTCTCCATGGATAAACAGCGCCTGCGGCACCCAACGCTGTGTCCGTGTCTCTGTCCCTGCGCCGGGCTCACCCCTCAGGGGAGTCCGGAGCCATTTTTAGCTGTTCCCTTCCCGCTCCTCTGCAGACCCGAAGGGGGGGAGGCGGTCACAACCAGCTCGTTGCCGTGGGGCGGCCCGGTGGGGCCGTACCTGCGAGAGAAGGAGCGATGGCGGCGGCTCCCACCCGTCACCGAGCTCCTCTATGTGGTAACTGCAGCACCAAGCCTGCGATAGAGCCTTGCCCAACGCAGCGCCCCGCCCACCCCCTTCCGGATAACCAATCAGTGCCCGCCTCACCGCACATCGCTTCCGCCCTCCCCGCTCCACAGCCAATCACCGCCCACAGCGCATCCCGCCCCTCCGCCGTTCCTCCTGACTGCCAATCGCCGTTCGCCCCACCTCACGCAGTGCAGCCAATCACCGTCACAGGGAGGCGGTACCTTAGCTCCGCGCTGTAAACAACAGCGGGGAAAGATTTAAAGGGGCCGCGTCATCTAAAGGCGGCGACCGCCGTAGCTCCCTCCCGGTAACCGGGACCTCCCGTAGCCCCCCCACCCCACCGTTAAGCACGGAGGAGACCGACGTACAGAGAGAGGCTTTTATTACCCCAAAAATCACCCCCAAAACCCCGTCAGATAGAATTCCACAGTCGGTATCACAACCGGGATAATGGGGGAGGGGAACGGGACACCCCAAATATACAAATCAAAGTTAATATGGACAATAAATAGGAATTCCCGGGGGGTGGGGTTTGCATAGAGAAAGATTTAATAAAAAAGGTCCTTTTTTTTGTCTTGTTTATTATTATTAATTATTATTATTAATTATTATTCATAATTATTATTATTTCGATCATCGCCCCCCGCAGGCCCCCGGATCCGAGCATCGAGATGGAATTAACAACAATGATTCACCTTCTCCTAATAACTTACACAGGTCACGCAGGGAACTTGTGCTTTTAGGGGGGGGACAACACATCTCCTTCCCCCCATCCCCTCTATGGGGCACCTATGGGTCTGGGGGTCCCCCCCTGGTGCTTGGGGGGGGGGGGGGCACACACGGTGCTGGCCCCCTCCTGCTTGTACAACTTTGGTCACTAGCTTTGTGCCCCCGGCCCCACGCCCCACCCCATGGATATGGGGGGGTGGCAAAGGGGGGGAAGGCACCAAAACCACCCCCTTGGAGGGACACACACACATACACATAATGACAAGGACCCGGCGCTGCCGTCCTCATGACACCGGTGAGTGGCAGAGGAAGGGGGGGGGGGGGTCAAGTCTGAACCATGGTGGTGGTGGTGGCTTCGCACCGGCGACCATCCCCGTGGCCTCAGGCCTGACGCCGACCTCTCTCTCCGCTGCCACGTCCTCGCCATCTCCCGGGCCAGCGGGAAAGGGGAACGACGGGCATGGAGAAGGATGAGATGCCACCATCGTGTCACATCCCAGCTGTACACATACACACACCCCCCCCCATATAAAAACCATGGCAGAGGGGCTGGGATGGCCACAAGCAAGAGCCCCCCCAAAACCCCGAGACCTGAAGCTCCCTGAGCTGAACGAGGGTTTTTTGTGCCACCCTGTAGATGGAGCACAAAAAGAAACCAGCCTGGAAAAGCAGCAGCAGATCCCAGCTCCGTTTTAACCACCACGGGTTCAACCTGGCTTCTCCGGGCGCCCCGGCACGGTGTCACCTACTTAGGGTCCCCTAAAACCGAGCCCGTGCCGGTAGGGCCGGGGTCAGATGGAGTTTTCCAAGAGGCTGTGGTTGCTCCGCCGGCTCAGGCAGTTCCTCTTGTTCAGGAGGCTCGTGGTCTCGTCGGCGGTACTGGGAGGTTCTGGTTTCTCCGGTGCGTCCGTGTCTGCACTGGGGCAGTTGCTGTCGGGGGACTGGGGACAACTGTCCATACGGGAGGCTGTCAGGGCGTTCTGGTACTCGTGGCGCATGATCTGGGGGGGCAAAGGGAGATGGGAAGGAGTGAGGAGTGGGGATGGAGCCCCAAGAGCATCGCTATGGGGGTTCACCTCATCTTAGAACCATGGAGTTAATGATGGGAAAGAGGTTTAGGATTCAGTCCAACCGTTCCCATCACTGCCAAGGCCACCCCTGCCCCATGGCACTGAGGGGGTGTGAGCACCTGCAGGGACCCTGCCCTGGGCAGCCTGTTCCAATGCCTGAGCACCCTCTGGGGCAGGAATTGGTCCTCAGCTCCATCTAAACCTGCCCTGGTGCAGCTTGAGGCCGGTTCCTCTTGTCATAGAATGGGTTGAGCTGGAAAGGACCTTAAAGCTCACCCAGCTCCAACCCCTTCCATGGGCAGGGACCCCTTCCACTGGAGCAGCTTGCTCCAAGCCCCTGTGTCCAACCTGGCCTTGAGCACTGCCAGGGATGGGGCAGCCACAGCTTCTCTGGGCACCCTGTGCCAGCGCCTCAGCACCCTCACATAAATCACTTCTTCCTTATCTCCAGCCTGAACTTCCCCTGTTTCAGTCTGAACCCATCACCCCTTGTCCCATCCCTACAGTCCCTGATGCAGAGCCCCTCTCCAGCATCCTTGTACCCCCCTTCAGACACTGGAAGCTGCTCTGAGGTCCTCCCTGAGCCTCCTCTTGTGCAGGTTGAGCCCCCTCAGCCGCTCCCCCCCACACTGGTGCCCCAAACCCCTCACCTTGACAAACTGGAGGTCGGTGAGGGCGCGGACGCTGAAGTCGGGCACGTACTGGGCGCTGGTGCTGGTGTTGAGCTGGGTGGTGCTGCCGCTGATGGGCGAGGAGATGGAGTCGGAGCGCTCGTGGTAGTTGAGGGATGCTGAGTGGTTGAGGCTGCTGACGTGGGATGGGGAGCGCATCTCTGTGGGATGGGAGGGATGGGGTCAGCCAGGCCCTGCACCACCACCCCTGGGGCCTGTGCCTGCACCTAACGGGGTGCTGAGCCCCTGGTGATGCTGCCCTGGCTCTGTGCAGGGAGATCCCCATCCTGCAGGCTCCAGCGATCCCAGTGGTGACAAGGAGCGATGGGATGTGTGCATCCATCCCAGTGCTGCCCTCTACCACCGGATTTGATCCATCCAACCCTCTGGTGCCTCTTGCACCAGGGGACAGGGACCAGGATCAAGGATACTGTGGCTCAGTCACCCCACATGGGTTAGGGACAAGGTGGGGTGATGTGGAAAGGGTGATGTGCTTGGATAGAGGGTACACAGATGGACCAGAAAACACAGAGGACAAGGTGAGGAGAAGCCTGGGGGTGAAGGGGAGGGTGGCTGCAGGTCCCTTTGCCCCTCGCAGCACCTACAGATGGGTGCTGCTGACACTAAGCACCATGAGAGTCAGTGTCACAGCCCCCTAAGGGCAGCTCAGGGGGCACCAGTGGGGGCTCCAGCATCTCCTGTCCCCACCAGGAGCAATAACGCTCTCCCCATGCTGACACCCAAGCAATGTGGGGGTGCTTACCAGTAGGAGAGGGGCTGATGGCCATCACCCCATAGTAGGAGAACGCTCCTGCTTCAAACTTCATGCACTCCTTGCCCGTTTCCACCTCCACCTTGCCCTGCAAGGGAGAGAAGGGGTTGGGTTGGATGAGACCCCAACCCCTCTGTCACTATGGGGCCGGGGGTGATGGCTCTCACAGGGGACCCCACTTGTGGGGCAGCAGGCGGGTACCTGCAGGATGAGGGTGAAGTAGTCGGCTGCTTTGTTCTTGCAGTAGAGGAAGTGGCGTGGGGCCTTCTTGTTGCCCTCATCGAACTTCAGCTCCTGGATGACATGGGAGTACTTGAGGAGCCGCAGGAGGATCTTCTCTGAGATGTAGGTGGGGGTGAAGAGCGTCACCTCTGGGAGCAACAGGGGGAGAAAAGGGCTCAGAGCCACAGGAAGGTGCATCCCCCCCTGTCCCTCTGTGTGCTGCCTTGGCACCACCAACATAAAGCTCTGGGTCTCCAGCAATGCCAACCCCAGCCTTGGGGATGTGGGGAATGGGACCACACTGGTGGAATGGGGACCTTGTGAGCATCACAGCATCCCTGAGCCCCGTCCATTCCCATTGTGGGGTTGGGACAGAGGGGGGCAGGATGAGGCACAAGCACCCCATAACTCCTGAGCATCATGGTTGGAGCGACTCTCCCTTGGTGGGGAGACAGGAATGGAGCCCACCAGCTCAGTGCTGGGGAGCTGCTGGAGCCATTGCACTGAGCCAAAGGGTGCCCTGAGCTTCAGGGGGCTCCCCCCCCACCCCAAACCCACCCCCCTTTTACCTGTGGAGAGGAAGCGGTGGGCGGCCAAGAGGAGCTGCGGGGAGACCTTCACCTTCTGCTCCCCAACGGGGTCCTTGAAGGCCGAGAAGTCCCGTTTGCCCTTGTGGTTGTTGACGAGCTTCCTGCTGCGGTTGTCGGCTGTGGGGAGAGGGATGTCAGTGGGATAGAGTGGGATAGAGTAGAATACAGGGGGATAGAGCGGGATAGAGTGGGATACAGGGGGATACAGAGGGATACAGGGGGGATACAGGGGGATACAGGGGGATACAGTGGGATGTCAGTGGGATACAGGGGGATACAGGGGGATGTCAGTGGGATACAGGGGGATACAGGGGGATGTCAGCGGGGTACAGGGGGATACAGCGGGGATACAGCGGGATACAGGGGGATACAGTGGGGGATACAGCAGGATACAGGGGGATGTCAGCGGGATACAGGGGGACACGGGGATACAGCGGGATGTCAGTGGGATACAGGGGGATGTCAGTGGGACACAGGGGGATACAGCGGGGTACAGGGGGGATACAGCAGGATACAGGGGGATACAGCGGGATACAGGGGGGTACAGCAGGATACAGGGGGATGTCAGCGGGATACAGGGGGATGTCAGTGGGATACAGGGGGATACAGGGAGATACAGGGGGATACAGCGGGATGTCAGCGGGATACAGGGGGATAGAGGAGGATACAGCGAGATGTCAGCGGGATACAGGGGGATGTCAGCAGGATACAGGGGGATAGAGGAGGATACAGCGGGATGTCAGCGGGATACAGGGGGACACAAGGGGATGTCAGCGGGATACAGGGGGATACAGGAGGGATACAGGGGGATGAGGAGGGGGCAGGCAGCGAGCCCAACACCTACTGTACGTGTCTGACTCATCCAGGATCTCCGACTTGATGATCTCCTCGATGACATCCTCCAGCGTCACCAGCCCCAGCACCTCGTAGAAGGGGTCCCCTTCGCCCTCGTTGTTCACCTTCTGCACGATGGCCAGGTGGGATTTCCCTATGGATTGGCACAGGGGGTGTTGGAAAGGGACCCCCCCAATTCCTGGGATGGGGGGGGGTCACTGGGATCACTGCTTCCCACATCCCACCACCCGCCTGCCTAGGAAACAAGGAACCAGCTCAGACAGACACAGCCCTGGGCTGGGCACCAACCCCAGTGCAATGGCAGTGATTGAGGCCAGGGCTTGGCAATGGGGCTCCAAGGGGATGGAATGTGCCCCCTGGGGGCCCATTCCCTATTACAATGTGGGATGAGTGAGGGCAGGATGCAGTTTGTGTAGGTAGGATGCAGTTTGTGCAGGCAGGATGCAGTTTGTGTAGGCAGGATGCAGTTTGCGTAGGTAGGATGCAGTTTGTGTAGGCAGGATGCAGTTTGTGCAGGCAGGATGCAGTTTGGGTAGGCAGGATGCAGTCTGTGTAGGCAGGATGCAGTTTGGGTAGGCAGGATGCAGTCTGTGTAGGCAGGATGCAGTTTGTGCAGGCAGGATGCAGTTTGTGTAGGCAGGATGCAGTTTGTGTAGGCAGGATGCAGTTTGTGTAGGCAGGATGCAGTTTGGGTAGGCAGGATGCAGTTTGGGTAGGCAGGATGCAGTCTGTGTAGGCAGGATGCAGTGTGTATAGGCAGGATGCAGTTTGTGTAGGTAGGATGCAGTCTGCATAGGTAGGATGCAGTGTGTGTAGGCAGGATGCAGTGTGTGTAGGCAGGATGCAGTTTGTGTAGGCAGGATGCAGTTTGGGTAGGCAGGATGCAGTCTGTGTAGGCAGGATGCAGTTTGTGTAGGCAGGATGCAGTTTGTGTAGGCAGGATGCAGTCTGTGTAGGCAGGATGCAGTTTGTGTAGGCAGGATGCAGTCTGTGTAGGCAGGATGCAGTGTAGGCAGGATGCAGTCTGTGTAGGCAGGATGCAGTCTGTGTAGGCAGGATGCAGTCTGTGTAGGCAGGATGCAGTGTGTGTAGGCAGGATGCAGTCTGTGTAGGCAGGATGCAGTTTGTGCAGGCAGGATGCAGTGTGTGTAGGCAGGATGCAGTTTGGGTAGGCAGGATGCAGTTTGGGTAGGCAGGATGCAGTCTGTGTAGGCAGGATGCAGTTTGTGTAGGCAGGATGCAGTCTGTGTAGGCAGGATGCAGTCTGTGTAGGTAGGATGCAGTTTGGGTAGGCAGGATGCAGTCTGTGTAGGTAGGATGCAGTTTGTGTAGGCAGGGTGCAGTTTGTGTAGGTAGGATGCAGTCTGTGTAGGTAGGATGCAGTCTGGGTAGGCAGGATGCAGTAGGATGCAGTTTGTGTAGGTAGGATGCAGTTTGTGTAGGCAGGATGCAGTCTGTGTAGGTAGGATGCAGTTTGTGTAGGCAGGATGCAGTTTGTGTAGGTAGGATGCAGTTTGGGTAGGCAGGATGCAGTTTGTGTAGGTAGGATGCAGTTTGGGTAGGCAGGATGCAGTTTGGGTAGGCAGGATGCAGTTTGTGCAGGCAGGATGCAGTTTGTGTAGGCAGGATGCAGTTTGGGTAGGCAGGATGCAGTTTGTGTAGGCAGGATGCAGTTTGTGTAGGCAGGATGCAGTCTGGGTAGGCAGGATGCAGTCTGGGTAGGCAGGATGCAGTCTGGGTAGGCAGGATGCAGTCTGTGTAGGCAGGATGCAGTCTGTGTAGGCAGGATGCAGTTTTTGTAGGCAGGATGCAATTTGGGTAGGCAGGATGCAGTCTGGGTAGGCAGGATGCAGTCTGTGTAGGCAGGATGCAGTCTGGGTAGGCAGGATGCAGTTTGGGTAGGGAGGATGCAGTCTGTGTAGGCAGGATGCAGTCTGTGTAGGCAGGATGCAGTCTGTGTAGGCAGGATGCAGTTTGTGTAGGCAGGATGCAGTTTGGTAGGCAGGATGCAGTCTGTGTAGGCAGGATGCAGTTTGTGTAGGCAGGATGCAGTTTGGGTAGGCAGGATGCAGTCTGGGTAGGCAGGATGCAGTTTGGGTAGGCAGGATGCAGTGTTAGGATGCAGTTGGTAGGGGTCAGTTTGGGTAGGCGGATGCAGTCTGTGTAGGCAGGATGCAGTCTGGGTAGGTAGGATGCAGTCTGTGTAGGCAGGATGCAGTCTGTGTAGGCAGGATGCAGTTTGTGTAGGCAGGATGCAGTCTGTGTAGGCAGGATGCAGTTTGTGTAGGCAGGATGCAGTTTGGGTAGGCAGGATGCAGTCTGTGTAGGCAGGATGCAGTTTGGGTAGGCAGGATGCAGTTTGGGTAGGCAGGATGCAGTTTGGGTAGGCAGGATGCAGTTTGGGTAGGCAGGATGCAGTAGGATGCAGTTTGGGTAGGCAGGATGCAGTCTGTGTAGGTAGGATGCAGTTTGGGTAGGCAGGATGCAGTAGGATGCAGTCTGTGTAGGCAGGATGCAGTTTGGGTAGGTAGGATGCAGTCTGGGTAGGCAGGATGCAGTAGGATGCAGTCTGGGTAGGCAGGATGCAGTCTGTGTAGGTAGGATGCAGTAGGATGCAGTTTGGGTAAGTAGGATGCAGTCTGGGTAGGCAGGATGCAGTAGGATGCAGTTTGGGTAGGCAGGATGCAGTTTGCCTTCTCCCAGCTAAATCCAAAGCTGGAACCCAGGCTGGCTCTGCTCTTGGGTGCGTGTTTCTCCTGCTCCATCCCCAAATGACACAGATCCATTGGGAAAAGCTCCTTGGACAAGGAACATCCAAGCTGTGCTCCAGGGAAAGGAGCAGTGTGTGGAACACCAGAGCACCCACAGGATGCACTCCTTAGCCTGGGGAAAGTGATGCAGGGAGGAAGGTGATGATGCTCCCTCCCTGACCTCAACACAGCCCCATAGAGAATCACTTGGGCCTCTTGAGCTCCCTGTGCTCATTGAACCCCATGAGCCTGGTTTGGGTCGAAGGGAGCTTAAAGCTCACCCAGCTCCAACCCTTTCCATAGAGCACCTTGCTCCAAGCCCCTGGCCTTGAACACTGCCAGGGATGGGGATGGGGACTCAGGGATGAGCTCCACTGGGAGCGGCCGGTGGCAAAGCAAACACTGGGATCCACTGGGCAAAGGGCACGGGCGCTGCTTCTGCTCCGGGTGCTCCTAAAGGGGGATGAGGGCAGAGCCCCAGCACGGAGCCGCATCCATGAGGATCAAGGAGGCTGAAACCCAGCCCTGTGGGACGTGGGTGGCTTTGTCACCGGAAGGAGAGGCTTTAAATCCCTTAGGAAGGATTTGCCGGAGGGAAAGCCGGTGCCAGCAGCCGGGATAACAGCGGCTCCGGCAGCAACAGGACTGGGGTTCACTGGTGCTGGGATGAACCGAAGGGAACGATGCTGAGATCCCATTGGCATTCCCACAAGGGAGCCGTGCCCATGCTTTCGGAGCTGCTGCCTCCTCCCTACCTTTACACACCTGGGACCTAGCGGCTCCCAAACCCTTTCCCATTTGCTGCAGGTGGAATGATCTGATCCATTAAATCCCATCACAACAGCCCCTGAGCACAGCGGGACACGGGGATGGGGATGCAGGACTGGGGTTGACCCTGGCATCCCCCACCAGAGCCGGGATCGTTGCTTCATCCCACTCCCATAAGGGAAGCTGGGAAGGGCATGGGGGCTCCCAGCCTCAAAGCTCATCCCAGAGGGCTCAGCTCCTGCTCCCAGCCCCATAAGCAGGAAGCAGAGCGGGAATGGGGCTGGGAGGAGGGAGCCAAGCCCAGGGCTGGGAGCGCAGCAATTGCCCAGGTCTCGTTTTCCATCCAAGGGCCCCCGGGGCTGGGGATGAAACCAAAGGGACCGGTCCCAAAGTGGCCCCTGGGGCTGGTGCTGGCCACGGGCAGAGAATGGGAGGCTCCTGGGTCAGCTGCCTGCACCCAGCACCGTGCCCCCGGGGTCCTGTGCTCCCAACCAAAACCTGCTCCCCATGGATGGCACCTCAGGGAAGCATCAGCACCCCATGGACACGAGCAGCACCCCATGGAAGTGAGCAGCACCCCATGGAAGTGAGCAGCACCCATTGGAAGCAGCAGCATCCCGTGGGAGTGAGCAGCATCCCATGGACGTGAGCAGCACCCCATGGACGTGAGCAGCACCCCATGGACGTGAGCAGCACCCCATGGAAGCAGCAGCACCCCATGGAAGCGAGCAGCACCCCATGGAAGCAGCAGCACCCCATGGAAGTAAGCAGCACCCCATGGAAGTGAGCAGCACCCCATGGAAGTGAGCAGCATCCCATGGAAGTAGCAGCACCCCATGGAAGTGAGCAGCACCCCATGGAAGTAAGCAGCACCCCATGGAAGTGAGCAGCACCCCATGGAAGTGAGCAGCACCCCATGGAAGTGAGCAGCATCCCATGGAAGCAGCAGCACCCCATGGAAGCGAGCAGCACCCCATGGAAGTGAGCAGCACCCCATGGAAGCAGCAGCACCCCATGGAAGCAGCAGCACCCCATGGAAGTGAGCAGCACCCCATGGAAGTGAGCAGCATCCCATGGAAGCAGCAGCACCCCATGGAACCAGCAGCACCCCATGGAACCAGCAGCACCCCATGGAACCAGCAGCACCCCATGGAACCAGCAGCACCCCATGGACGCGAGCGGCACCCCATGGAACCAGCAGCACCCCATGGAACCAGCAGCACCCCATGGAACCAGCAGCACCCCATGGAACCAGCAGCACCCCATGGAAGTGAGCAGCACCCCATGGAAGCAGCAGCATCCCATGGAACCAGCAGCACCCCATGGAACCAGCAGCACCCCCTTACCCTTTTTGAACTCCTCCAGCATGGCATCCAGCTTGGTGTCGTGGAAGACGACGTGCACGGGGTGGTTGTAGAACTTGGTGATGGTCTTGAGCGGGGTGCAGTCATCGGGGTCAACGAACGCCAAGTCCTTGACGTAGAGGATGTCCATGATGTTGGAGCGCTCCTCCTCATAGACGGGGATGCGGGTGTAGCCGCTCTCCATGATCTCCGACATGGTGTTGAAGTCCAGGATGGCGTCGCTGTTGATCATGAAGCAGTTCTGCAATGGGGTCATCACGTCCTCCACCGTCTTGGTGCGGAGCTCCAGGGCTCCCTGGATCATGTTGAGCTCTTCCCTCACCAGGTCGTTGTAAGGCTCCGTCACCTTCAGCATCTCCACCAGCTTCTCCCTGTTGTAAACGGTGCCGATCTCCTGGCCCAGGACGCAGTCGAGGAGCTTGCTGATGGGGTAGGAGAGGGGGAACGTTGCCAGCATGAAGAACTTGGTCACCACGATGGTGTTGGCGCCCACGGCCAACCCGTGGCGAGAGCAGAGCGCTTGGGGCACGATCTCGCCGAAGATGACGATGCCGATGGTGGAAGCGACGACGGCGCCGATGCCGGAACCGATGAGGTCATCGAGGAAGATGGTGAGGGTGGTGTTGACCAGCACGTTGCCCAGCAGCAGGGAGCACAGCAGGTAGTTCCCTTTGCGGCGGATGGGCTCGATCCGACGGGCGTAGCGCTTCTCGGTGTCGGTGCCGCAGTTCTGCACGATGCGCAGCTCCATGGGGTCCAGCGCCATGAGGCCCAGGTTGAGCCCGCTGAAGATGCCCGATAGCACCAGCAAGCAAACGATCAGGATCACCTGAAGCCACAACGGCAACAACGACTTCTTCTCCTCCAGCACCATGAGCCAGCCGTCGGGGTCGGGATGGGGCAGCCAGGCCTGGTCGGCCCGGCGCTGCGTGCATAACACGTAGGTCTTTACCTTCTCGCCCTTCCGTAGGGCGCGGACCCGCACCCGGAGCAGGGCCGAGGTGTCGAAGAGCTCCGCGGGGCCCGGCTGCACCACCACGTCCTGGGTGCGATAGGAGCAGGAGCCGTTCGGGGCAGAACCGTTCTCGGCCGGGCGCAGCTCGGCGAACGCCACCCGTTCCCCGGTGCCCGGGCCTAGCCCTTGCCCGTAGAAGCGCAGCAGCAGCTCGCTGCCCTCTGTCACACGGATAGGCCCGCGGGACGGAGCCGCCGGTACCGGCTTCGTGCTCTCCTCCAGCCGCATCCCCAGCACCACGTTGGCCCCGTCCGGCGGCCCCGTCCGGGTCACGGCAACGGCGGCGGCGGCAGCGGCGGCGGCGCCGGGCAGCGCCAGCAGCAGCGGCAGCGGCAGCAGCAGCACCGAGCGGACCCCGCTGCCGCCGCCGCGCCGCCACCCGCCGCCCGCCGCCATGTTGGCGTCTCGCAACCGCCTCACGCCGCGCCCCCTTCCCGCCCCGAACGGGGCTGCGTCACACCCTCCCGCCACACCCCTCCCGGGTCACACCGTCTTAAAGGGGCGATGGCAGGACCGGGGTGGTGGGGTCCGCAAGGGTGGATGAATGAAGGGGATGGGGGTGGAAGAGGGGCGCAAAGGGGTAGCAAACGGGTATCCATTAGGTGGAAGTTGAGCTCCCCTAGGGGAAGGAGAGTGTGTGGGGTGCAGGCAAAACTAGGGTGAGCAGGAGCTTGCAGAGGAGAACTAAGTCCTGGGGAGGTATGCATTAGGACCTTGGGGGGAGGCACTAAGACCTGGAGGGGGTCACTAGGGCAGGGGAAGGGACATTAAGACCTGGAGGGCGGCACTAGGACCTGGGATAAGAAAGGAACTAGGATTTGGGGGCAGGAGAGGGGCACTAGGATCAGGGAGGGGGGCACTAATACCGAGGAGGGAGGCAATAGGACCGAGGAGGGGCACTAGGACCGGGGGGGGGGACGGGAGGGGGCACTAGGACCTAGGAGAGGGGCATTAGGGCCGAGGAGAGGGGCATTAGGGCCGAGGAGAGGGGCATTAGGACCGAGGAGAGGGGCACTAGGACCTGGGGCGCGCACCTCAGGCCATTGCACGCCAGGAGCCGGCGCGGATCCTTTAAGGCAGCCAGAAAGAAATTACCCATCAGCCTCTACGCGCACCCCTCTCCTCTCCATTGACAGTCCTCTCCTCCAACCCGCATACCGCGGGCCTTGGCGAGGCAACCAATGGGCGAGCTCGGCGCGGCGAGCTGGCCAATGGACGGGCGGGTGGGGCGGGGCGGAGAGCGGGTGGAGGGGGCAAGATGGCGGCGTCGGGCCGGTACGCGGCCGTGCTGGTGCTGCTGGCGCTGGGCGGGCCGCGGGCCGAGCAGACGGAGGAGCACCTGAAGCGGGAGCACTCCCTCTCCAAACCCTACCAGGGTGAGTGGGGCACGGCAGGGCAGGGCGCTGGGGAAGGTGGTGCCCGGTGGTGTCCGGTGGTGTCCGGTACCGACGGTTGCGTTGTGGGCCGCAGGTGTGGGCTCGGCCAGCTCGGGGCTATGGGACCTGCAGGGTAACGCCATGGTCATGACCCACTTCATCCGCCTCACCCCGGACGTGCAGAGCAAGCAGGGAGCCGTCTGGAACCGAGTGGTGAGCACCGGGGCTTGGGGGGGGAGCGAAGGGGCCGTGGAGGGCTCCCTTTGGGGGTGAAGGGACTCGGGGAGGGGTTAAGGACAGGTTGGGGGGGGAGTCTGGGGTGAGCATAGGGGGAGTGGGGGTCTTGGGAAGGGGATTTAGGGGGGCTGGAGGCTGAATCAGAGGGCTTGGGGGGGTCCTGAGTGAGAGGTGCAGGGTATGGGCAGGAATGGGGGTGGTGGTGATGGGGTTTGAGCTGAAGGGAGGGTTTTGGGGGGTATCAGGGCAGGAATGGGGGGGTGGTGATGGGGTTGGAGCTGAAGGGAGGGTTTTGGGGGGTATTAGGGTAGGAATGGGGGTGGTGGTGATGGGGTTGGAGCTAAAGGGTGGGATTTGGGGGCGTATCAGGGGAGGAATGGGGGTGGTGGTGATGGGGTTTGAGCTAAAGGGAGGGGTTTGGGGGGGTATCAGGGCAGGAATGGGTGGGTGGTGATGGGGTTTGAGCTAAAGAGAGGGTTGGGGGGGGTATCAGGGCAAGAATGGGAGGGTGGTGATGGGGTTTGAGCTAAGGGAGGGTTTGGGGGGGTATCGGGCAAGAATGGGAGGGTGGTGATGGGGTTTGAGCTAAGGGAGGGTTTGGGGGGGTATCAGGGCAAGAATGGGAGGTGGTGATGGGGTTTGAGCTAAAGAGAGGGTTGGGGGGGGTATCAGGGCAAGAATGGGAGGGTGGTGATGGGGTTTGAGCTAAGGGAGGGTTTGGGGGGGTATCAGGGCAAGAATGGGAGGGTGGTGATGGGGTTTGAGCTAAAGGGAGGGGTTTGGGGGGGTATAAGGGCAGGAATGGGGGGGTGGTGATGGGGTTTGAGCTAAAGGGAGGATTTGGGGGGGTATCAGGGCAAGAATGGGAGGGTGGTGATGGGGTTTGAGCTAAGGGAGGGTTTGGGGGGGTATCAGGGTGGGAATGGGTAAAATGGGGGGAGTTTGTCCATGCCAGAGGGTGTGGGGGGGTTGAAGGGGTATTGGGGAAGCTGCCTGGGGTTATAGAGTGGGGCAGGGAAGAGCTGTGGGGATCAGAGCTGGCACCACCGCAGCCCCCACCCTTGGGCCTGGTGACTCCTGCAAGGGCTGAGCCCCCCCCATGGGCATTGGGGGGTGCTCGGGGTCTCCCATGGGATCGCTGTGGCTGGAGCTGCTGCTCCCTTTGCCATGCCCAGGTCTATGGGGGTGGATGAGCATCAGTGTGATGTGGGCACGGGTGCGGTGTCACCCGGTGCACAGCAAAGGTGCCCTGAATTCCATGGCATTGCTGTTGGATTTCAATGTGGGATGGTATCAACGGGCATGCAGTGCCCTGGGGTCCAGCCCTGCTCCATAGGGAAAACACCCCATGAGACCAGAGTGATCCCTCATGCTCTGATTCAGTGACATATCATATTGAGGCAGATTGCTTTGCCTTTGGCCTCCCTTTCCCCCGTCCTTTGGCCTTCCTTTCCCTTCTCCTTTGGCCTCCCTTCTGCTGTCCTTTGTCCTCCCTTTCCCCCGTCCTTTGGCCTCCCTTTCCCCCGTCCTTTGGCCTCCCTTTCCCCCGTCCTTTGGCCTCCCTTTCCCCCGTCCTTTGGCCTCCCTTTCCCTTCCCCTTTGGCCTCCCTTTCCCTTCCCCTTTGGCCTCCCTTTCCCTTCCCCTTTGGCCTCCCTTTCCCTTCCCCTTGGCCTCCCTTTCCCTTCCCCTTTGGCCTCCCTTTCCCTTCCCCTTTGGCCTCCCTTTCCCTTCCCCTTTGGCCTCCCTTTCCCTTCCCCTTTGGCCTCCCTTTCCCTTCCCCTTTGGCCTCCCTTCCCCTGTCCTTTGGCCTCCCTTCCCTTGTCCTTGTGTTGGCTCCAAGCAAAGCCACCCAACATCCCATGAGCTTCCCACCAGCCGCCTTCCCAACATCCCATGAGCAAACCTGCCCCTTAGCACAAGGAATGGGTTGGGAGCTCAGGCAGTAACTGGCTCCTCAGGAAGCAGGAGCTGCTCCTTCTTTTTTCCACACTCCTTTTCCTGTGTGTGAATTCCTGAGCTTGGAATAGTGTGAGATCCAAAGCGGTTCTTTGCCTTTCTATAGCCTTGAGTAACAACCGATTCCCTTGGCTTAATGATGTCCCTTGGGATTATTGCTCCCAACCAAACTATGGGATGGCAAGGGAAACACAGAGTAGTGGCCCATGGAGCTGTTGTGCCAAGGAGAGCATGGTGCAGATGTGGTGGTGTCTGAACCCATCCCATAGTGGGCACAGAAGCAGTGGGTGCTGGCACTGGGGCACCCTCATGTCCCATCCCCGCTCCTCTGCTTGCAGCCGTGTTACCTGCGGGACTGGGAGATGCAGGTGCACTTCAAGATCCACGGGCAAGGCAAGAAGAACCTGAACGGGGATGGATTTGCCATCTGGTACACCAAGGATCGCATGCAGCCAGGTGAGCGTGGCTGGAGCTGCTGGCACTGGTGTCAGGGATGTGCTGCCTTCGCAGGGAATGGTTTGTGTTGGAAGGGACCTTAAAGCTCATCCAGCTCTAACCCCTGCCACGGGCAGGGACCCCTTCCACTGGAGCAGCTTGCTCCAAGCCCCTGTGTCCAACCTGGCCTTGAGCACTGCCAGGGATGGGGCAGCCACAGCTTCTCTGGGCACCCTGTGCCAGCGCCTCAGCACCCTCACAGGGAAGAGCTTCTGCCTAAGAGCTCAGCTCAGTCTCCCCTCGGGCAGGTTCAAGCCATTCCCCTTGGCCTGTCCCTACAGGCCCTTGTCCCAAGCCCCTCTCCAGGTTCCCTGCAGCCCCTTTAGGCACTGGAGCTGCTCTAAGGTCTCCCCTTCAGGAGCCTTCTCTTCTCCAGGCTGCCCCAGCCCAGCTCTCTCAGCCTGGCTCCAGAGCAGAGCTGCTCCAGCCCTCGCAGCAGCTCCATGGCCTCCTCTGGCCTCGCTCCAGCAGCTCCATGTCCCTCTTGTGCTGCTGCCCCAGAGCTGGATCAGGGCTGCAGGGGGATCTCCCCAGAGCACAGCAGAGGGGCAGGATCCTCTCCCTGAGCTGCTGCTCACGCAGGGGCACTGGGAGGCTGGAATCAGCTTGGGGGTCAGGGCTTTGGGGTGGTTTTGGGGTCAGTGTAATGGGAAGCGTGGTCCTTCCTGCATTGAGAGTCAGTTCCTTAACAACCAGACTGTGGAGGAAGCTCAGTCCTTGAGCAGCAAAGGGAAAGGGATTTCATCTGCCCCCTGACTTCCCTGCCTGCCCTGTGTGCTTTAGTCACTACTCAAGGCTTCCTCCTTGCCTGACATGATGAGGAACAACCCCTTTGCACTGCCTGCCTGCCTTTGCCATCCGTAACCAAAGCCTCTCCTCCCTCCTAGGGCCTGTCTTTGGAAGCAAGGATAACTTCCTGGGCCTGGGAGTGTTTGTGGACACCTACCCAAACGAGGAGAAGCAGCATGAGGTGAGTTAGGAGACAGCAGAACCACGCTGCCTGCATGGGCAGAGCTGGGGTTACAGCTCTTCACTGCCATGCTGTGCCCTTCCCTGTGCTCTGAAGTGAAGAGAGCACCCACTAACAAGTGTCTGATGGTCCCACCTCTGTGTGCTGAGCTCCTGGGCTCTTCTGGAGCCTGCCACAAGCAGTAGCTGAGGTGAAGCTGTACCAAGAGCAATGCAGACCTTGAGCAGAGCAGTTCCAGCCCTGCCTGCCTGACAGGGCTGTTTCATTGCAGCTCCCCACAGGAGGCTTTCCCTGCCCTGGGGTGCAGTGTGACTGTGCTCTGCCCCTTTGGAAGACGCCCTTCTGAAGGTCTTTGTGTTCCTGGTGTGGCTCTTGTTTGTTTGGAGGTTTATTGGTGTGGGTTCCTATGGAGAAGGGAGTGCAGAGGTGGTGAAAACCAAGCCCTGCCCTGGAATCTCTTTCATCACTCCAAAACCAAAGCTGGACTCGGTCTTAATGCCAGTTTTCCCTAAAACATAGGCACTGTTGTACCCCAAGACCTTGGTGCTGGTCCCAAAATGGGATTAACACCGCTCACCCTGGAGAGAGGCACAGAAGGTGCACTTGGGATGTGCCCTGACCTTGGAGCTGCTGAGGAACAACCAGCTTTTGTTGAGGAGCCCAACGCAGCAGCCCTGGTGCAGGGGTGGACTTTGTGCTTATAAAAGCCTTTCTGAGCCATTGGGTGCCTTGTTAATGGGGTTAGTGCTGGGTGGATCCTGGTGACTTGCACTGGCAGAGCTGCTTTTGTGGGGTAAAGGGGTGCACAATGGGTCTTCCTTACAGGAAATCATGAGTGGAATGTGGGTGTCTGGCTCCCTGGCACCTGGAGAGGGCTGCCCTCCTCTGGTCAGGCACAGAGCACTCTTTGAATCATAGAATCCTGGAATGGTTTGGGATGGAAGGGACCTTAAAGCCCATTCAGGTCCAACCCCTGCCACAGACAGGGACCCCTTCCACTGGAGCAGCTTGCTCCAAGCCCCTGTGTCCAACCTGGCCTTGAGCACTGCCAGGGATGGGGCAGCCACAGCTTCTCTGGGCACCCTGTGCCAGCGCCTCAGCACCCTCACAGGGAAGAGCTTCTGCCTAAGAGCTCAGCTCAGTCTCCCCTCGGGCAGGTTCAAGCCATTCCCCTTGGCCTGTCCCTACAGGCCCTTGTCCCAAGCCCCTCTCCAGGTTTCCTGGAGCTGCTCTTGCTGTTGGGGCTCTGTTGTGTGAGTGAGCTGCTGCATGGTGAGCAGAAACACGGCAACGCTTGATGATGCTTTCACCCCCCAGCACCGTTCCCTCTTTGTGTGGCTCAGGATTCAGCACCTAACACCTAAACCCCTCTCTGCTTTAGTCCCTGCTAAGCTGAGCACCCCAGGGAGGCAGCATCCAGGTTGCAGGTTAACACTAAACTCTGGTCTGTGACCCTCTTGCTTCTGTGCTCTTTCTTGCTTTGCGATACCCCCGGACTGGCAGGCTCAGAAGAGGAGGTACAGCCCGGGAAATCAGGTACTTCCTCTTGCTGACCTTCCCATTCCCAAGCTGTCCGGTCTCACCTTGGCTCACAGTTGAGGAATTCCCTCCTTTGAGCTCCAGAAATCCCTTTGTTAGCTGGGAGAGGCTGCATGAAACGGCCTGTTCTCCATCCTGACTGTCCCAGGGATGGAACGGGATCGTGCTGGTGTTGTGTTGAGGCAGATTCATGGTGGGATGAAGGAGTTTGGGCTCCATAGGGCTGTTGGCTCATGGTCAAACCAAGAGCTCAGCCCCTCCTTGCCCCCCCTTTTGCAGCGTGTGTTCCCCTACATCTCGGCCATGGTGAACAATGGTTCCCTCACCTACGACCACGACCGGGACGGGCGCCCGACGGAGCTTGGGGGCTGCACGGCCATGGTGAGGAACCTCAACCACGACACCTTCCTGGTGATCCGCTATGTGAAGAGGAGGCTGACGGTGAGTGCCACCAGCCCGGGCCCATGGGGGCAGCGGGGCCATGGTGAGGGCTCAGGGACCTGCTTCTGCTTCAGGTCCTCATTGATATCGATGGGAAGCACGAGTGGAGGGACTGCATCGATGTGCCGGGTGTGCGCCTGCCCCGTGGCTACTACTTTGGGACATCGTCTGTCACTGGAGACCTCTCAGGTACTGCCCCAAACCTGGCTTCCCAAGCAGCTCCTGTGCAGCTGGGTACCTGCTGGGGCTTATGGAATCATAGAATAGTCAGGGTTGGAAAGGGCATCAAGAACATCAAGCTCCAACCCCGCTGCCATGGGCAGGGACACCTCGCTCTAAACCATGGCACCCAAGGCCTCGTCTAACCTAGCCTTGAACACTGCCAGGGATGGAGCATTCACAACCTCCCTGCACAACCCATCCCAGTGCCTCACCACCCTCACAGTGGAAGTAAATGAAGATCATTCCATGCTTTAAACACCTTTAAGCTTTGGGTTTTAGCTTGCAGCAGCTCCTGAGGAGCCCAAAGCCTGCTCTGGGTGTGTTGCTTGCTTTAGGCAGCGCTTCCCACTTCCCTTGAGCTCCCTGCATGGCCCAACCTCAGCCAACAGGAGTGCAGCCAAGCGGCTGGAGCAGCTCAGACAGAGGGTTCTGTCTCCAAAACAAGAGGAGTGAAAGGATGAGCACTGAAAAGGAATCTCCTCCACTCTCCTACCACAGCCCATGGTACCTGGGTTAACCCCAAGGGCAGCACTGGGAGCAATGGCCACAGGGCTCCCTCTTGGCCTCTGCTCCAGGGGTATTTTGCTTTGGGTTTCACATCCTGGGAGCTCTGAGCTGCTCCTGATTGAAGGAGGCACCTGAAGCTGCAGCCCTTCACCCTCCTCTGTATAATACCTCCCTTGTGGTGCTGGTTGAGGTGCTGTGCGCTCTGCTCTTACCCCACTGGGTCTCTTTGGGCACGTTTTCAGCCTGATTTGAGCTCTGCCTCTGCAGCAGTGCATCAATGGGTGTCTGAGCCCATTGTTGGCTCCAACAGCAGTTCCTTTTCTCTCCCAGATCCCTGCCTGGTGCCGAGCCCTCGCCTTGTCCCACTAACAACCCCACCAGCACGAAAGGGCCCGTGAGGCCGATGCTAACACCTTCCCTTCGGGTGCTAATCCCACTTGGGGCTGGTGGTTTTCACTTTAGCTTAAAGGTTCCCGTTGGCTGAGGGCCCAGCATAGAGCCTGCCCTCTGGAGGTGAGTTTTCCCACCTTGGGAAGGCAGAGCAGTGATAACATCAACCGGTGCTGGTCCCTGGCCAGAGCTGTGTGTGGCACCGGTGCCTCAGGACATGGTGCTTGTGCTCTGCTTGCAGACAACCACGACATCATCTCCCTGAAGCTCTACCAGCTGACAGTGGAGAGGAGCCCAGAGGAGGAGAAGCGGGACAGGGAGGTCTATCTGCCCGTCGTGGACAACCTGAAGCTGCCAGGAAGTAAGTAGGAGCTGGTGGGAGCCATACGGTTGTGGAGGAGAAGCTACATCATTTTGAGAGCAAACAGGCTGAGCTCCACCTGGAATCATGGAATGGGTTGGGTTGGAAGGGACCTTAAAGCTCATCCAGCTCCAACCCCTGCTATGGGCAGGGACCCTTCCACTGGAGCAGCTTGCTCCAAGCCCCTGTGTCCAACCTGGCCTTGAGCACTGCCAGGGATGGGGCAGCTCAGGAGGGGTTCTTGGGGTGTGGGTTTTGGGGTGCTCACAAGCTGGTTTCCCTCCTGTCTCTCCCAGTGGAGGCACCGCTGGAGCCCATGAGTGGCCTGGCTCTCTTCTTGATCGTCTTCTTCTCCCTCGTTGCCATCGTTTTTGCCATCGTCATTGGTGTCATCATCTACAACAAGTGGCAGGAGCAGAGCCGGAAACACTTCTATTGACTTGGGAATAGCCTGGGATAGCCCATGGCTAGCCCTTGCTAGCCACCTCCTGCCTCCCACCATTCCCACACTGGCCAGAGCGTGATGGACCGACCCGCATGGCAGGGACCTTTGCGTCCCCGCAGCATCCCACTGGGGACGGCTGCTGTTTGTTGTTGGGCTCCAGACCTCCAGTGCTGCTCCTGGTGGGAGCGGGGATCCCCAGTATGTCGTGCGATGGCTTCAGGGATGGAGCTGCCACCTCCTGAAGGAGCTTTGCTTTGGGACTTGTTGAGGAGGAGGATGGCAGGACATGGGCAGGAGTCCTCACCTTGGCACTGGGGGATGCCAGCGAGCAGGACCGGGCCCAGTGCCTGTTTCCATACCAGATCCCTCCATCCCTCCCAGCCTCTTGTCTCCAAGTGATTCCACTTCCAGGAGGGATGTTCCAAGCTCTTCACCCCGCTCTGGCTGCTCTGTCACCTGCCTTAGGCTGGCAATGGAGCCCAGACAGCTTTTCTTTGTACATGGATCCCCGCACCGGTGCTGTTTGCATGTCGTGTCGTGGCTTCTGGCACCTTTCCCCTCGGTGCTCGCTGCATCCCAGGGCTCCTCCAAGGGTTTTCCCTGCCTTGGAGCTGGAGCTTTTGCTGCCTTTCAGGGAGTTGTGGTTTAATCCTACCTCAGGGACTGCTTTAGGTCAATGATATCTTGGTGTTCTCTTGCTGTGTTGCATCCACTTCACCCCTGGGGACCCCAGCACAAGGTAATGGTCCCCAGAGGGACCCAGGAGACATTAGGTTTGTCCCAGGGGGGTCTTTAATGGCTCTGGGGACATCGGGATGGCAAATCCGCAGCCCCATCCTTGGCAGCAGCATCCTCAATGGCATCCTGGGGAGCTGTGTCCATGCCCTGCAGCCTTCCAGGACCCTCTCAGCCAGGATGGATCCCTGGGGGGGGGATCCCAGAGTATGGGGGGGGGCTTTTCCCAAGTGCCCAGCACCGGTTGTGGTGTAGAAGGAGTGTTCCTGGGGTTGGTTCTGTTTTTGCCTCACAACCAGGGGTGAAACGCGGGTGCCTCCCCCTGGAGCTGTTCTGGGGTCTCAGAATAAATGTTGGGATGTGTGTGACAGCGGGGGACACGGTGTGACATTGAGAGTGAGTGATAGTGTGAGCAGCAGCTCAGGGAGGGGATCCTGCCCCTCTGCTGTGCGCTGGGGAGACCCCCCTGCAGCCTTGATCCAGCTCTGGGGCAGCAGCACAAGAGGGACCTGGAGCTGTTGGAGCAAGGCCAGAGGAGGCCATGGAGCTGCTGCGAGGGCAGGAGCAGCTCTGCTCTGGAGCCAGGCTGAGAGAGCTGGGCTGGGGCAGCCTGGAGAAGAGAAGGCTCCTGAAGGGGAGACCTTAGAGCAGCTCCAGTGCCTAAAGGGGCTGCAGGGAACCTGGAGAGGGGCTTGGGACAAGGGCCTGTAGGGACAGGCCAAGGGGAATGGCTTGAACCTGCCCGAGGGGAGACTGAGCTGAGCTCTGAGGCAGAAGCTCTTCCCTGTGAGGGTGCTGAGGCGCTGGCACAGGGTGCCCAGAGAAGCTGTGGCTGCCCCATCCCTGGCAGTGCTCAAGGCCAGGTTGGACACAGGGGCTTGGAGCTGGAGGAGCTTTAAGCTCCCTTCAACCCCAACCAGTCAATAACACAGTGCACTGGTATCACCACGCAGTCCCTTGGATGCAGCTTTCTCTCCCCAAAGCCCTGCTGTCAGGTGCCATAGCAACTTGGGGGCTGCACCCCAGTGCTATTGCGCTCCCCAAACTGGAGCAGCTCCTTTTCTCCCCCATGAGCCCAATGACCTTGGCTTCATGTGGCTTTATTAAAGAGGTGACACCGATGCTGCCATCCCGGGGTGGCACATCAGGGTTTGTGAGCAGCACCCTTGTGATGCTCAGCACCCACTGCAAGGTGCTTGCCGATGCCACCACCATCACCACCAGTGTGCAAGCCCTGCAACGGGTTTACCAGCTTCATAGCCAAATAACCCTGTGGGGAGAGACAAGAGGAGCTCAGGGGGGGCTCAATGGGTGGTGAGGTGGGGGGGTAAGGGGGTGGCTGAGCCTCCTGTGCTCACCGGTGCGGCATAGACGAAGGTGAGGAGCAGAGCAAAGAGCAGCAGCAGCGCCAGGCCCAGGCTGATGCGGCCGCGGTGCTGCCGCCAGAGCCCATGGCGCAGGGCATGCAGCGGTGCCTGCACCCACAGGAAGGACCAGTCGGGGCGCCTGTGGGGATGCATGGAATGCAATGCATGGCTTGGGGAAGGAGCTGGGGGTGCTGGGTGATGGAGCTGAGGTTGTACCCATGCAGCCCCCAGCATCCTGGGCTGGGTCAGCACCAGTGCGGCAGCAGGGGCAGGGCAGGGATTGTGACTGGGGGGGCTGCATCTTGAACCCTGTGTTCAGTTCTGGGGCCCTCACTACAAGAGAGACATTGAGGGGCTGGAGCGGGGCCAGAGAAGGGAATGGAGCTGGAGCAGGGCCTGGAGCACAGGGGTGATGGGGAAGGGCTGAGGGACCTGGGGGTTCAGATGAAGAAGAGAAGGCTCAGGGGGGACCTGATGGCTGCCTCCAACTGCCTGACAGGAGGATGGAGCCAGGAGGGGCTGGGCTCTGCTCCCGAGGAACAAGGGATGGGACAAGAGGAACCGGCCTCAAGCTGCACCAGGGCAGGTTTAGATGGAGCTGAGGAACAATTCCTGCCCCAGAGGGTGCTCAGGCATTGGAAGGGTCCCTGCAGGTGCTCACACCCCCTCAGTGCCATGGGGTGGCTGTGGCAGCGCTGGGGTAAGGGTTGGCCCGGGTGACCCTGAAGCCATTTCCCAGCCCCGCTTGGTTCCGTGCCCCCCACAGGGCTCACACTGGCGGCGGCAGCGTTGGGTACATGTTGGGCTCCTGCCGGGCTCTCCCCGCCGGCCGCTCCTCCGCCTCCTTGGCCGTCAGCAGCTCCAGGCTCAGCTCCAGCTTCCCCTGCAGTGTGGATGGGGAGGGGGGGGGTGTTTGTGTGTGCGCTGCACCCGCAGCTCCGAGCCCACGGCCCCGCACCGGCCCCGCACCGGCCCCGCACTCACCGAGAGCCGCCGCTCGCTGCCGCTGTTCGCCACGCAGGGCCACCAGCCCCGCACCTGGCGCTGCCGGAACAGGGACACGCAGGGGGGGGTCTGCGGCCGCCGCCAGGGCCAGGCCCAGGGCCAGCGGCTCCGGGGGGTGCCCGGTAGAGGCAGGGAGCAGCTCCGGGCGTGCGGCGCGGGCAGGGGGAGCCGGGTCAGGTCCAGCTCCAGCACCCCTGGGGGAACGGAACGGAGCGGGGGGCGGCTGCTGGATGGGTGCTGCCGTCACCCGTGGGTGCTGCCGTCCCCTGTGGGTGCTGCCCTTCACTTATGGATGCTTTCCATCACTAGCGGGTGCTTCCTATCATTTGTGGGTGCTGCCATCACCTGTGGGTGCTGCCCTTTATTTGTGGGTGCTCGTCATCATTAGTGGGTCCTTCCTATCAGTTGTGGGTGCTGCTGTCACCCGTGGGTGCTCCTGTCACCCGTGGGTGCTGCCCTTCACTTATGGATGCTCTCCATCATTAGTGGGTGCTTCCTATCAGTTGTGGGTGCTGCCATCACCTGTGGGTGCTGCCCTTCACTTATGGGTGCTCTCCATCACTAGTGGGTGCTTCCTATCATTTGTGGGTGCTGCTATCACCCGTGGGTGCTGCCGTCTCCTGTGGGTGCTCCCATCACCAGTGGGTGCTGCTTTTCACTTATGGGTGATCCTCATCACTAGCGGGTGCTTCCTATCAGTTGTGGGTGCTGCCATCACCTGTGGGTGCTGCCCTTCACTTATGGGTGCTCTCCATCACTAGCGGGTGCTTCCTGTCAGTTGTGGGTGCTGCCATCACCTGTGGGTGCTGCCCTTTATTTGTGGGTGCTCCTCATCACTAGTGGGTGCTTCCTATCATTTGTGGGTGCTGCCATCACCCATGGGTGCTGCCCTTCACTTACGGATGCTCCTCATCACTAGTGGGTGCTCCCCAGCAAACCCAGTTCACAAACCAGCTCTCACCTAGGAAATCATCAGCCGAAAACTTGTCATTGTCCCACACCTGCAGGATGAGCTTCGGGGGCACCTTCAGCACCGTCTCATCCAGGCTCCAGAAATGCTTCTGCAGCAGCAGGGGATGCACAGGGTGGGGGTCACACGAGCTCCCCATGGGTATCCCCCCCCCATCCCATGCTCCCTGCTCACCCTCCCGGGCAGCACACAGCGCTGCTCGGCCGCCAGGTACTCGAAGGGGAACACGAAGCGCCAGTTGAAGGCACCGGACCCATCCAATGACCGGTAATGCACATCCGTGCTCTGCCGCTGCTCCTCCAGCCCCGCCAGCCACCTACGGGCACAGCTTGAATCCCTTCCCCCGGCTCCCAGCCCCTTCTCGCCCCATCCCCGCCGTGCCCTCGGGCTCACCCCGTGATGTAGATGTCGCTCATCTGCTGCCCCACCACGTTCGTGTCCCCCAGGTCCACGTCCCGCGTGTTCCACACCACGCAGCGCAGCTCGTACCTGGTGCGGGGGGGGGTACAGGGGGAAGGAGGGGTCACCTTCACCCCAGTGTGGTCCCATCCCATCCATGCGGCATTGAAGGAGAAGGGGGGGTACAGGGGGAAGGAGGGGTCACCTTCACCCCCGCCTCCACCCCGGTGTGGCCCCATCCCATCCATGCGGCATTGAAGGAGAAGAGGGGGTACAGGGGCAAGGAGGGGTCACCTTCACCCCCCCCCTCCACCCCGGTGTGGCCCCATCCCATCCATGCAGCATTGAAGGAGAAGGGGGGGTACAGGGGGAAGGAGGGGTCACCTTTGTGGTTTTGGTTGGGGGGGGGTACAGGGGGAAGGAGGGGTCACCTTCACCCCCGCCTCCACCCCGGTGTGGTCCCATCCCATCCATGCGGCATTGAAGGAGAAGGGGGGGGTACAGGGGCAAGGAGGGGTCACCTTCACCCCCCCCTCCACCCCAGTGTGGTCCCATCCCATCCATGCGGCATTGAAGGAGAAGGGGGGGTACAGGGGGAAGGAGGGGTCACCTTCACCCCCGCCTCACCCCGTGTGGTTTGGTGGGGGGGGGGGGGGGGTTTCCACCCCGGTGTGGCCCCATCCCATCCATGCGGCATTGAAGGAGAAGGGGGGGTACAGGGGGAAGGAGGGGTCACCTTCACCCCCCCTCCACCCCGGTGTGGTCCCATCCCATCCATGCGGCATTGAAGGAGAAGGGGGGGGTACAGGGGCAAGGAGGGGTCACCTTCACCCCCCCCTCCACCCCAGTGTGGTCCCATCCCATCCATGCAGCATTGAAGGAGAAGGGGGGGTACAGGGGGAAGGAGGGGTCACCTTCACCCCCGCCTCCACCCCGGTGTGGCCCCATCCCATCCATGCGGCATTGAAGGAGAAGGGGGGGTACAGGGGGAAGGAGGGGTCACCTTCACCCCCCCTCCACCCCGGTGTGGTCCCATCCCATCCATGCGGCATTGAAGGAGAAGGGGGGGGTACAGGGGCAAGGAGGGGTCACCTTCACCCCCGCCTCCACCCCAGTGTAGCCCCATCCCATCCATGCGGCATTGAAGGAGAAGGGGGGGTCCTCTCACCTCTGCGGCTTGCGGGGGGTGATGTCAACGGGGGGTCCCGGGGGGCCGAGGTGGATGGGGAACACATCGACCCACATCTGCACCTTGCCCTGCACAGTGTGTGGGGGGGGGTTGGGAGCGGCACCCCAGGGTGTCCCCAGCACCCACACACAGCCTGGGGTCTCTGTCACCCCCCCCCCCGGCACTATCCCATTGGCATCCCCGCTGCAATGGGCTCCCTGTCACCCCAATGTCCCCATCCTTTCATAGCCCAGGGTCCCACCTTGGCCATGTCCTCATCATCCCACTGTCCCCATCACCCCAGGGTCTCTGTGATGTCTCCATGAGGAGCATCCCTCCCTGCCCTGGGGTCCCCATCACCCTATTGTACCCCTAGCATCCCCTTATACCCCAAGGTCTCCATTGTCTCCCTGGCAACCTTTATACCATCACCCCAACATCCATGCAGTCCTCTTGGCATCCTCTTACACCCAATACCCCATCACCATGAGGACCCCATCACCCCCCGCTTACACCCCAAGCTCCCATCACCCCCGTGTCACCCCAAGGGTCTCCATCACCCCATCCCCACCTGCTCCAGCCCGGGCTGGGTGCTGCTGTACAGGGTGCGCGTCTCCAGGTGCTCGGGGACGAGGTGGCAGGCGCGGAGCACGTGTAGGGCCAAGCGCTCTCGGGGCTCCCCATGGTGCTGGTGCTGGGGGGGGCCTCTCTCTGTGGGGCTGAGCCGTCACTAAGGGTAGGGTCCAACCCCCCCACATCCCCCCCAACCCCTCGGCCCCAGCACCCACCGAAGTGGCTGAGGAGGAACCTGTGGTCCCCAAAGATGACCTCGGTGCCCTCGGCGTTGAATTCGGGTGCTGGCAGCCCCTGGGTGCGGGCAAAGTGCTCCAGTGTCTGGCTGGGGGGGAGCTGGTCCCTCCAGCACCCAGGCCCGGCGCTGTGGGGATAATGGGGTGATGCGGAGTCACCCCTTGTGCTGGTTCCCATGTACCCACCACAGCTTCACCCCCTTGTTCCCATCCTCATCATAGAGCCATGGAATGGTTTGGGTTGGAAAGGACCTTAAAGCTCATCCACCTCCAACCCCTGCCATAGAGCAGCTTGCTCCAACCTGGCCTTGAGCACTGCCAGGGATGGGGCAGCCACAGCTTCTCCATTCAACCCATTCCAGTGTCCCACCAACACCAAGGGAAGAACTGCCCGAGATCCCATCCCAATGCCCATTCGCAGCCCTGGGTCCATCCTCCTGATGCCCCCCATGGTACCCACGTGCAGTAGAGCGCAGGGAGCCCACAGTGGGCACGGAAGCGGGAGAGGAGCCGGTTCTCCAGGTCAATGGTGGTGGTGCCGATCTCCTGGTCGGGTGGCACCAGGTCATAGTCCAGCAGTGAGACCCGCAGGTCCTTCTCCAGTGGGATGGTGCCCATCAGCTCGAACACCCTGGTAGTGGGGGTGAAAACCAGTGCTGGGGCTGGCACCCACTGGCATGGGGATTGGGGACCTGTGGGAATGGGGACTGCTGGCACAGGGACTTGGTTGTGTCAGGACTTGGTGGCAGGGAGACCTTCCAGCATGGGCAATGGGGCAATGAGGACCTGCTGGTGTGGGGAATGGAGACCTGGTGGTGCATGGACCCACCAGCATAGGGAATGGGGATCTGGTGGCATGGGGACCTGCTGGTGTGGGGAATGGAGACCTGGTGGCACATGGACCCACCAGCATAGGGAATGGGGATCTGGTGGCATGGGGACCTGCTGGTGTGGGGAAGGAGGTTCTGGTGGCACATGGACCCACCAGTATAGGGAATGGGGATCTGATGGCATGGGGACCTGCTGGTGTGGGGAATGGAGACCTGGTGGCACATGGACCCACCAGTATAGGGAATGGGGATCTGGTGGCATGGGGACCTGCTGGTGTGGGGAATGGAGACCTGGTGGCACATGGACCCACCAGCATAGGGAATGGGGATCTGGTGGCATGGGGACCTGCTGGTGTGGGGAAGGAGGTTCTGGTGGCACATGGACCCACCAGTATAGGGAATGGGGTCTGATGGCATGGGGACCTGCTGGTGTGGGGAAGGAGGTTCTGGTGGCATGGGGAATGGGGATGTGCTGGCGTGGGGAATGGGACTTGATGGCACGGACCCACCCGTATGGGGAATGGAGACCTGGTGGCTGAGTCATCCAGCACCTTCTGGCATGGGGAATGGGGCACGGTGATGCAGTAACATGGGGACCTGGTGCCACAGGGACAAACTGACACAGAGACAATGGGATGGGGGCCAACAGCCCCCCTGGGCACCTCCTCTCATTCCCAGTGCCCGATGCCACCCACCCGGTGCGTACCTCCCAAACACGGGCTCCAGGGTGTTGGGCACGTACTGGTCCCGCTGCCCCAGCGTCTGGGCTCCCAGTGACACACGGATGTAGGGGTCACACTGCAGCAGGAGGTGATGCTCAGAGCGACACGGGGGGGACCGGGGGGGTCACCCATGCCCATCCCATCACCCAGGGGTGCCCGTACCAGCCCGTTCCTGTCGCGGGGGGGGAGGTCGAAGGCCCGCACCACGTAGACCCTGACGAGGCAGCGCTGGGGCTGGCTGGGGGGCAGGTCCTGGAAGCGGCGCGGCGGCGGCGGCTCCGCGGGGTCCTCGGGCACGGGGTAGAGGTGGAGGAGCCCCTGGGAGCCGCCCGCGTTAGCACCGGGGGGGGGGGGCACCGGGGCCCTTTGGGGGGGTGCGGGGGGGCTCGCACCCACCTTGAACTCGGCCACCGGCTGCGGGTCCTCCCCCCCCGCGGCGGCTGCTCCCGGAGGGAAGAGCGGGAAGGAGCGGCAGAAATCCTGGAGCCCCTCGAACTCCGGCACCGCCTCCAGCTCGCAGCTGTAGAGCTGGGGGCCGCGACTGTCCTCGTCCCCAGCCCCATCGCCATCCCCATTCCTGTTCCCATTCCCATCCCCATCCCCATTCTTGTCCCCACCATCATCCCCATTCCCATCCTCATCCCCATTCCCACTGTCATCCCCATTCCCATCCCCATCCTCATCCCCGTCCCCATCCCCATCCCCATTCCCATCCTCATCCCCATTCTCATCCTCATCCCCATTCCCATCCTCATCCTTATCCCCGTTCCCATCTTCATCCCTATTCCTGTCCCCACCATCATCCCCATCCCCATCCCATTCCCATCCTCATCCCCATTATCATCCTCATCCCCGTCCCCGTTCCCATCCTCATCCTTATCCCCATTCCCATCCTCATCCCCATCCCCATTCCCATCCTCATCCCCATTCTCATACTCATCCTCATCCCCATTCTCATACTCATCCCCAGCCCCATTCCCATCCTCATCCTTATCCCTGTTCCCATCCTCATCCCCATCCTGTCCCCATCCATGTCCCCATTCCAATCCTCATCCTTGTCCCCATTCCCGTCCACATCCCCATCCACATCCTCATCCTTAACCTCATCCCCATTCCCATCCTCATCCCCACCACCATTCCCATCCTCATCCTTATCCCCATTCCCATCCTCATCCCCATCCTGTCCCCATCCACATCCCCCATTCCCATCCTCATCCTTGTCCCTGTTCCCGTCGACATCCTCACCCTTAACCTCATCCCCATTCCCATCCTCATCCCCATCCCCATTCCCATCCTTCTCATTCCTGCCCTCTTCCTGTCTCCAGCCCCATTTCAGTGCTTCATCCAAACCCACCTCACCCCATCCCATCCCATCCCCTTCTTCATCCTTGTCCCCGTCCCACCTTCATCCCTGTCCTTGTCCTCATCTCATCTTCAGCCCTGTCCCTGTCCCTAGCCTGTTCCCATCCCAGTCTCCATCCCTGAACTTCTCCCTATCCCTGTCCCATCCCAAGGGTATCACTGCCCTCTTCATCCTGTTCCCATCCCTCACATCATCCTTACCGGATCTTCATCCCTCTGCCCATCTGTGTCCTTGTCCCCAACCACCCCAGTCCCATCCCACCCCATCTCCATCCCTATCCCCATCCCCACCCCTGCCCCAGTGCCCTGGCTCTGCCCCACCTTCAGGCTGTCCCTGCTTGTCCCCCGCCGGCTCTTTGCCTTGTCCCCCAGGGCCGCATAGAACTTGCTCCACCAGTCCTCCTCCTCCTCCCCTTCAGCCTCCTCCTCTGCCTGCGGGGAGCGGGGTGAGGTGGGGACAGCGACAGGGACGGTGTCCCCCGTGTCCCCATCCCTGTGCCCACCTTGTCCTCAGCCTTCGTCTTGCTGATGATCCCAGGCAGTAGCTGCAGCAGCAAAGGGGGTTGCTCAGGGAAACTGAGGCACGGGGATGGGCCCCTCCTGTCCGGGGGTGCCATGGATCCAGGGACTCACCCAGCTTCTCCTCCTCCAAGGAGCGGCTGTGGGGAGCAGAGAGGGGGATAAACCATCCCGAATGTGGGAGCATGGAGCAGGGATAGGGCAGGATGGGGTGAGATGGATGTGATGATTGGGATGGGGTAGGGATGGGGTGGGAGAGGATGGGTGGGTTGAATGGAGTAGGATGGGATGGAATGGGATTGATGGGATGGAATGGGATGGATGGGTTGGATGGAGTGGAATGGGATGGATGGGGTGGGATGGATGGGGTGGAATGGGATGGATGGGGTGGGATGGAATGGAATGGGTTGGGATGGAATGGGATGAATGGGGTGGAATGGGATGGATGCAGTGGATTGGAATGGAATGGGTTGGGATGGAATGGGTTGGGATGGATGGGATGGACATCATGGAATGGGATGTGGTGGGATGGGATGTGGTAGGATGGATGGGTTGGGATGGATGTGATGGATAGGATGGATGGGGTGGGGTGGACGTGGTGGATGGGATGGGATGTGGTAGGATGGATGTGGTAGAATGGATAGGTTGGGATGGATGTGATGGATGGGATGGGGTGGGATGGATGTGGTGGATGGGATATGGTAGGATGGATGGCTTGGAATGGATGTGATGGATGTGATGGATGTGATGGGATGGGATGGGGTGGGATGGATGTGGTGGATGGGATATGGTAGGATGGATGGGTTGGAATGGATGTGATGGATGGGATGGGGTGGGTTGGAATGGATGTGGTGGATGGATGGGAGGGGAGAGGGAGGCAGTAGATCTGTGCAGAGCCATACAGGAGCCATGGGATGAGGTGGGGATGGGTTGGTGTGGATGGGACAGGGCAGGAACGGGGCAGGGCTGTGCAGAGCCGTACCGGAGCCCTGCCGGGGGCCGGGGGGCTGCCCGCGGGGCTGCCGCAGCCCCCGCACACAGGTCTGCCCCACCTCGGGCCGGTACCCGAAGTCCCGCACGTCCAACACCCGCAGCCGCACGGGCGGCATCAGCTCCTGCTCCAGGGGCAGCGTCTGCGGGCAGGCTCAGCGTTAGCGCCGGTACCCGCGGCAGCGCCGGGCCTGCGGGGCTCCCCCCGCTGCGCTCACCAGGACCAGCAGGAAGGCGTTGATGGGGAAGTTGGGGTTGGAGGCGGGGTCGGCGATGGGGGGGGTCCGCAGCACCCGGCCCCCGCACTGCACCTCCAGGCTGGGGGCGCGCACGCTCCCGCGCAGCCCCCGCAGCCCCCACGCCAGCACCTGGGGAAGGGGGGACACCGGTGCGGTCACCCCCCCCCGCTGTGACGGCCCCATCCTTCATCCCTGTCCTTGTCCCCATCCCCAGGACCTTCATCTCTGTCCCCATCCCTGTCCCATTCCTGTCCACATCATGTCACATCCCTGTCCCCACCCCATTCCCCATCCCAGACCTTGTCCATCCCTGTTCCCACCCCATTCCCCATCCCAGACCTTGTCCATCCCTGTCCCCACCCCATTCCCCATCCCAGACCTTGTCCATCCCTGTTCCCACCCCATTCCCCATCCCAGACGTTGTCCATCCTGCCTTCATCCCTGTTCCAACCCGTGTCCTGTCCCCAGCCACCCCTCTCCTTGTCCTTATCTCCATCCCCTTCTTCATCCCTTTCCCCATCCCTGTTCCCACACCATTCCCCATCCCAGACCTTGTCCATCCTCCCTTCATCCCTGTCCCCATCCCACTCCTTGTCTCCTGCCCCAGAACCTTCATCCTGCCTGTTCTACTCCCAATCACTATTCAACCTCCATCCCCATTCCCATCCCACCGTTGTCCCTTTTCCTATCTTGTTCCCATCCCATTCCCCATCCCAGACCTTCTCCATCCTGCCTTCAACCCTGTACCAATCCATGTCCTTATTCCCAGCCACCCTTGACCCCATCCCATCCCATCCCCTTCCTCATCCCTCTCCCTGTCTCTCACCTCCAGGGCCATCGGCCTCAGGACTGGCCGCACACCCATAGGGATGCTGAAGATTCCCTGTCTCCAAGGGGGGGAGCTGACCTGCGCCAGGGCCCCATCCTGCCGGGGGTCAGGACACCACGATGACAATGGGACCCATCACCTGGGTGCCCCCCGCCCCAACCCGCCCTCTGCAGCCCCTCACCTCGGTGTCGTGCAGCAGCTCAAAGGCAGCCAACAGCTCCCCAGCGCGTCCCCTGGATCCCAGTAGTGGGTAACGCTGGAGCCGGGGGGGCCGCCGGTGCCCCACATCCAACCAAACATCTGGGGTGCACACGCTCCTCCCCAGGAAATCACCAGCACCCTGCAAGGCATTGCTTGGGCATGGGTGCTCCCTGCACCCATGGGTGTCGTTCCCCCCCCACCCATGGGTACCATACCCCTCCATCCTGGTCGAACACCTCCACCACCACAGCGGGGGGCCCATCCTGGACATCCCGGGGGTCCCCATAGAGCAGCACCCGGTGGAAAAGCAGCGTCTGGTCCCAAAGCGGGTCCAGGGTGCGGGGCAGCACCTGTGTGCTCTGACTGATGTACACGAAGGAGACGTGGGCGACGGGGTCTGCGTGATAGAGACACCATCAGCACCATGGGTACCCCCCTTGGGGTGGGCACCATGGGATGGGGGGGGTCCCACCTGCAGTGGATTTGGTGCCGTGGGGCGACAGCTCCAGTGCCTGGAAGATGTAGCAGCGGAGCTGGAAGAAGTTGGGACCTGTGGGAGAGGCAGGAGCTGGTAGAGGGTCCTGAGACCCCCCCCATCCCATCCCGGGGCTGTCCCAGTCCCCCCCAGTGCCCCCGGGGCTCACGCTGGAAGGTGCAGAGGATGAGGGGCAGCGCCTGCTCCTGGGCGGACTGGAACAAGCCCCGTGTCTTCTGCTCCGCTGCAGGCGGCTCCTCCTCCCCGGCCGTGTCCTCCGTGTCCTGCGGGGGATGCAGGGTGTGGGGTGGGATGTGGGGTGCGGGGTCCCCATGGACCTGCTGTCACCCAGACCTGCATGGCGCTGCCACATGTCCTGTTGCCCCGGGATTGATCCATCTCCACACCACTCCATCCCTCTGTCCCTGCATCCCTCCATCCCTCTGTCCCTGCATCCCTCACCCATCCCTCTGTCCTGCATCCCTCACCCATCCCTCCATCCCTCTGTCCCTGCATCCCTCATCCATCCCTCTGTCCCTGCATCCCTCATCCATCCCTCTGTCCCTCTGTCCCTGCATCCTTCATCCATCCCTCTGTCCCTGCATCCCTCATCCCTCACCCATCCCTCTGTCCCTGCATCCCTCACCCACCCCTCCAACCCTTTTGTCCCTCCCTGCATCCCCCCATCTTTCCATCTCTCTGTCCTTCCACCCCTTAATCTCTTTGTCCCTCCATCCCTCTCTCCTGCATTCCTCCTTCCCCACCATCCCTCCATCCTTCTGTCTCTCCCTCATCCATCCCTGGATCCCTCTGCCCTTCCACCCCTTCTTCATCCCTGTCCCTGCATCATTCCATCCCTCCATCGATTTGTTCCTCCATCCTTCCATCCCTCTCTCCCTTCATTCCTCCCTCCATCCCACTATCCCTCTATGCCTCTGTCCCTGCATTCCTCATCCATCCTTCCATCCCTCCATCCCTCTCTCCCTTCATTCCTCCCTCCATCCCCCTATCCCTCCATCCCTGCCTCCCTCATCCATCCTCCATCCCTCCACCCCCTGTCCCCCAGCTCCCTCCCTGTCCCCCTTCCAGTACCGGGGACCCCTCGAGGAGGAATAGGGGCGCCACGGTGGGGGGCTGCGCGGGCACCATGTGCCGGTGCCAGCAGCGCCGCCGGCAAACGTCGCCCGCCCGCTGCTGCAGGTGGAAGCGCCTGCTCCATAGGGATCCGTATTCCCAGGCCTCGGAGCCGGCCGCAGACTCGGTTCGGTGCTGTGGGGACACGGGCACGGGGGGCAGGAGACAGGGTGGCAAGAGGACAGCGTCGTATGGGGACAGGGTGGCACAGGGACAACATGCACAAGGGGGGGTACAGGGCTGCTCACACCACTGCACTGGTGGGTGGGCAAAGGCATGGTCCTGCCACCCAATCCTGCCACCGCGTCGCTGCAACCACATCCCTGTTATCCCCATTGTGCCACCTCCATCCCTTTCCCTCCTGTCCCTGTCATCCCCACCCTGCCACCCTCATCCCTGCCACCACATCCCTGTTATCCCCATTGTGCCCCCTCCATCCCTGTCCCCCCCATCCCTGTTATCCCCACCCTCCCACCCTCATCCTTGCCACCACATCCCTGTTATCCCCATTGTGCCCCCTCCATCCCTGTCCCCCCATCCCTTTTATCCCCATTGTGCCCCCTCCATCCCTGTCCCCCCATCCCTTTTATCCCCATTGTGCCCCCTCCATCCCTGTCCCCCCATCCCTTTTATCCCCATTGTGCCCCCTCCATCCCTGTCCCCCATCCCTGTTATCCCCATTGTGCCCCCTCCATCCCTGTCCCCCCCATCCCTGTCCCCCCCATCCCTGTCCCCCATCCCTGTTATCCCCATTGTGCCCCCTCCATCCCTGTCCCCCCATCCCTGTTATCCCCATTGTGCCCCCTCCATCCCTGTCCCCCCATCCCTGTTATCCCCATTGTGCCCCCTCCATCCCTGTCCCCCCATCCCTGTCATCCCTACCCTGTCACCTTCATCCCTGTCCCCCCATCCCTGTATCCCCATTGTCCCCCTCCATCCCTGTCCCCCCATCCCTGTTTTCCCCCCCCCCCCCCTTCCCCCCATCCCTGTCCATCCCTCCCCTCTCTGTCACCCCCATCCTTACCCCATCCCTGTCCCCCCATCCCTGTTATCCCATTGTCTCCCTCCATCCCTGTCCCCATCCCTGTTATCCCCATTGTCCCCCTCCATCCTGTCCCCTCCCTGTTATCCCCATTGTGCCCCCTCCATCCCTGTCCCCCCATCCCTTTTATCCCCATTGTGCCACCTCCATCCCTGTCCCCCCATCCCTTTTATCCCCATTGTGCCCCCTCCATCCCTGTCCCCCCATCCCTGTCATCCCTACCCTGTCACCTTCATCCCTGTCCCCCATCCCTGTTATGCCCATCCCTGCCACCTCAATTCATGTCACCCCCATCCTTCCACCCCATCCCTGTCGCCCCAGTCCCTGCCATCCCCATCCCCACCACCGCATCCCTGTCCCTGTCCCCATGGCCCGGACCAGCTGTAGGAAGGTGGCCACATCCTGCTCCGGTCCCTGTACGCTGGGGACCCTGCGGCGGGTGCGCAGCCAGCGCCGGCGCCGGTGTGTGTGGTAGGTCTTCTCTGTGGGGTGCCAGGCTGCTGGGGGGCTGCCAGGGCCCACGCTCACCCCGTACTCCCAACCTGCGGCACCGGGTGTCACCATCAGCACCGTCACCATCACCCTCCCCACCCCGGGGTTCCCTATGGGGTCACCACCGCTCACCAGCCTCATCCACGGCCCCCATCACATCCACCCTCCAGCCGTCGCTGACGTGCCATCCTTGGGGACACAGCACCTCCTCCTTGCGGGGCACCTCCTCCCCGCTCTGCAAAGCCGGGTTGGAGCTGAGCCCTGATGCACTCGGGTCCCCCCCCCCTGCTTGTCCCCACGCTGTCCCCCACTCACAGCATCGGTGCTGGCCACGGTGGCGGGTCCCCAGTCCCCATCAGGCCGCCGGCTCTCGTTCTCATAGACCTCCTCCAGCACCTCACCCACGTTGGTCTCTGTGTCCAGCAGCAGCCTGGGGCAGGGAGGGGAGCACAAGGGGACAACGGTGGTGGCATCACCCTCGCTGATGCCCCCCGGGTGTCACCACCCTCCTATGGCCTCACCGGCGCTGGGGCTCCACGGTCCAGGGTCCATCCCATCGCCAGCCCCTGGGGGGCCGGATGCGGTGCCGAGGGAGCCCGGCTCTGCCCGCGCCGTCGGAGAAGCACGGGGAGCCCGTGAGCCCTCGGGCACCCCATTTACCCAACAGCTTGGTCTGGTTCTCGTACTGGGGGAGCGGGGAGCACGGGTGAGGGGCGCTGGGGGCACCATGGCGGGGGTCCCCCATGTGTGTGTGTCCCCCCATCGGCACTCACGGTCTCGGCGTAGACGCGCAGGGAGCCCTCGATGAGCCGGGGCAGGTCCCCGCTGTCGGCCACCGGCCCCAGCCACAGCCGAAGCCGGAGCTGGGCATGGATGGTCCCGGAGCTCTGCGCACCAAGGGGGGATGAGGGCAGGGGAACGGGGGGATATGGGGGGACATGGGGGGGGTGTGGAGAAGGTTTAAAGGGATATAGGGGACAAAAAGGGGATGTGGAAGGGATAGGGAGGGATACAGAGGGCACATAGGGGGATATTGGGTGGACACGGGGCATGGGGGGGGACATGGGGAAGATATAGAGGGGGCACATGGAGCAGACATGGAGGGGATGTGGAAGGGGGCAAAGAGGAGACATGGAGTGGAGCAGAAGGAACACGAAGGGGATGTATTGGGGCGCAAAGGGGACATGGAGGGGACACAGAGGGACATGGAGGGGATGTGGAAGGGGGCAGAGAGGAGACATGGAGTGGAACAGAAGGAACACAAAGGGGATGTATTGGGGCGCAAAGGGGACATGGAGGGGACACAGAGGGACATGGAGGGGATGTGGAAGGGGGCAGAGAGGAGACATGGAGTGGAACAGAAGGAACACGAAGGGGATGTATTGGGGTGCAAAGGGGACATGGAGGGGACACAGAGGGACATGGAGGGGATGTGGAAGGGGGCAGAGAGGAGACATGGAGTGGAACGGAAGGAACACGAAGGGGATGTATTGGGGCGCAAAGGGGACATGGAGGGGACACAGAGGGGCATGGAGGGAACACAGAAGGGACATGGAGCAGAAATGAAGAGGATGTGGCGGGGACATGGAGAGGATCAGATGGAGGTGACAGAGAGAGGGGAGCAGGGGAGACATGGAAGGGGATATAAAAGGGCACAGAGGGGACACGGAGCAGACATGGAAGGGACACAAGGGGATATGGAGAGTGCATGGACAGGACACAGAAGGGAGGTGGAGGGGACACACAGGACACAGAGGGGGCACGGAGGGGCTGTGGTGTTCCTACCACCAGGAAGAGCGTCAGGAGCCTCCCACAGAACCTGCCGCAGGCGTCGGGGCCGCGCCGGGAGAACATGATGTCAGGAGCGGGGATACGGGCACAGGCCACGCGCCGCTCGCCCCGCAGCATCCACAGCAGCACATCGGGGACAGCGGCCTGCGGCTGCGGGGACAGAGGCGCAGCGGTGGGCTGAGACCGGCCACAGCTCATCACAGTGATGAGCCCCAGAACCCCCTTAGCCTCACCTCCCCAGCCATTGCAGCAGGCTGAGACCGGCCACAGCTCATCACAGCGATGAGCCCCATCATCTCCCATAGCCTCACCTCCACAGCCATTGCAGCAGGCTGAGACCGGACACAGCTCATTACAGTGATGAGCCTCAGATCCCCCCTTATCCTCACCTCCACAGCCATTGCAGCAGGCTGACACCAACCACAGTTCATCACAGCAATGATCCCCATGTACCCCCATATCCTCACCTCCACAGCCCTTGCAGCAGGCTGAGACCAACCACAACTCATCACAGCGATGATCCCCATGTAACCCCATATCCTCACCTCCACAGCCATTGCAGCAGGCTGACACCAACCACAGCTCATCACAGCGATGATCCCCATCTCCTCCCCATATCCTCACCTCCACAGCCATTGCAGCAGGCTGACACCAACCACAGCTCATCACAGCGATGATCCCCATGTACCCCCATATCCTCACCTCCACAGCCATTGCAGCAGGCTGAGACCGGCCACAGCTCATCACAGTGATGAGCCCCATCTCCCCCCCATATCCTCACCTCCACAGCCATTGCAGCAGGCTGAGACCGGCCACAGCTCATCACAGTGATGAGCCTCAGATCGTCCCCATATCCTCACCTGCACAGCCATTGCAGCAGGCTGAGACCAACCTCAGCTCATCACAGTGATGATCCCCATGTACCCCCATATCCTCACCTCCACAGCCATTGCAGCAGGCTGAGACCGGCCACAGCTCATCACAGCGATGATCCCCATGTACCCCCATATCCTCACCTCCACAGCCATTGCAGCAGGCTGAGACCGGCCACAGCTCATCACAGCGATGATCCCCATGTACCCCCATATCCTCACCTCCACAGCCATTGCAGCAGGCTGAGACCGGCCACAGCTCATCACAGCGATGATCCCCATGTACCCCCATATCCTCACCTCCACAGCCATTGCAGCAGGCTGAGACCGGCCACAGCTCATCACAGCGATGATCCCCATGTACCCCCATATCCTCACCTCCACAGCCATTGCAGCAGGCTGAGACCGGCCACAGCTCATCACAGCGATGAGCCCCATGTACCCCCATATCCTCACCTCCACAGCCATTGCAGCAGGCTGAGACCGGCCACAGCTCATCACAGGGATGATCCCCATGTACCCCCATATCCTCACCTCCACAGCCATTGCAGCAGGCTGAGACCGGCCACAGCTCATCACAGGGATGATCCCCATGTACCCCCATATCCTCACCTCCACAGCCATTGCAGCAGGCTGAGACCGGCCACAGCTCATCACAGGGATGATCCCCATGTACCCCCATATCCTCACCTCCACAGCCATTGCAGCAGGCTGAGACCGGCCACAGCTCATCACAGCGATGATCCCCATGTACCCCCCCATATCCTCACCTCCACAGCCATTGCAGCAGGCTGAGACCGGCCACAGCTCATCACAGTGATGATCCGCATGTACCCCCTTATCCTCACCTCCACAGCCATTGCAGCAGGCTGAGACCGGCCACAACTCATCACAGCGATGATCCCCATGTACCCCCTTAGCCTCACCTCCACAGCCATTGCAGCAGGCTGAGACCGGCCACAGCTCATCACAGTGATGAGCCCCATCTCCCCCCCATATCCTCACCTCCACAGCCATAGCAGCAGGCTGAGACCGGCCACAACTCATCACAGCGATGAGCCCCATCTCCTCCCCATATCCTCACCTCCACAGCCATTGCAGCAGGCTGACACCAACCACAGCTCATCACAGGGATGATCCCCATGTACCCCCATATCCTCACCTCCACAGCCAGTGCAGCAGGCTGAGACCGGCCACAGCTCATCACAGCGATGATCCCCATCTCCCCCCCATATCCTCACCTCCACAGCCAGTGCTCCCATGCTCCTCAGCCAGGCCTCAGCCATGGGCAGCAGCGTCCCGCATCCATCCTGTGGGTTCACCGCCGCCGCCGCCGTCCCCACGCGCCGCAGCAAGTGGAGCCGCGCGGCACGGAGATGGGTGTCCAATGGTGTCGGGGTGGGCTGAGCGTCCAGCTGCGCCAGCACCCGCCTGCGAGCACATCCCCCACCCAAAGCACCCCGGTTTGGTCCAAAAATGCCCCGTTTTACCCCAAAATGCCCCGTTTTACCCCAAAAATGCCCCATTTTACCCCAAAAATACCCCGTTTTACCCCAAAAATGCCCCATTTTACCCCAAAATTGCCCCATTTTACCCCAAAAATGCTCCGTTTTACCCCAAAACCTCTTCCTTTCCGCCTCTCCAAAATACAGTTCCCGCCCCCCAAAATCATAAAATCATAGAATCATAGAATGATACCCCATTTCCCCTTCAAAATATAGCTCTCCCGCACAAATCCCCCACTTTCCTCCCCAAATGCCCCGTTTTCCACTCCAGTTGCCCTGTTTTCCCCATAAACGCTTTGCTCCCCCCTCAATATACATCTCCATTGCCCAAAACACCCCGGTTTGCCCCAAAATGCCCTGTTTCCCACTCCATTTGCCTGTTTCCCCCCCGAAATGCTTCATTCCCACCCCCAAAACTCCTGTTTCCCCCTCAAAATACAGTTTCTGTCCCCAAAATACCCTGTTCCCCCCCCAAAATACAGTTCACCGCCTCCTTTCCCCCTCCGAATACAGCTCCTTCCCCAAATGCCCACCTTGCCCATCCAGTTGCTCTGTTTTCCCTAAAAAATGCTTAATTCCACCCCAAAAATGCCCCGTTTCCTCCTCAAAATGCAATTCCCACCCACAAAACGCCCCGTTGTCCCCCAAAATGCCCCATTTCCCTCCCAAATCCCCTATTTCCCCCCAAAGTGTCCCATTTCCTCCCCAAACCGCACTTCCATCCCAGTTTCTCTTTTTCCACCCCAAATGCCCCTTTTTCCCCCACCCCATACCCAATTTTCCCTTCCATTGTCCCATTTTTCCCAGCATGTCCCATTTTCACCCTCAAGATCCCATTGTCCTCAAAAGTGCCTCATTTTTCCTTCCAATACCTCATTCTGCCCCCAAATACCCCATTTTCCTTCCCCAATTCCCCTATTTCCCCTCCATTGCTCCGTTGTCCTCTAGAATTCCTCATTCCCCCCCAAATTCCCATTTCCCCCCAAAAAAACCTCAATTTTCCCCCTGTTGTCCCATTTTTACCCCTGTTGTCCCATTATCCCCTAAAATTCCTCATTTCCCCCCCATACACCCCATTCCTCCCCCCCAGTACCCCATCTCCCCATCCCAAACAGGGGGGTGTCCCCCTCTTTGTGACCCCCATGTCCCCCTATTGACCTGCAGTCCCCCACCAGCTCCTGCAGCAGCCTCCTGCCAATGTCCCCTTCAGTGTCCCCATGGGCTCTCCGCAGTTCCTTCACGTTCTTCTCCTATGGGGATGCCCCCCATAATCATTCCCAATGTGTGTGCATGGAGATGGGGGTCACCCCTCCATCACCCATGGGTGCTCACCAGCCGCCGGCACACGGCACGCAGGAGGTTTAGGGCATCCCAACGGTGAGCAGCATCCTCCCAGGACGAGGTGACGGTCACCACCGGTTTGTCCCCGTACCATGGTAGGTAATGGTAGCGGTTGCCTGCATCCAGAGGGCGTTGAGCATCCCATGGGATGCGCATCCCATCCCATCCCATCCCATCCCATCCCATCCCATCCCATCCCATCCCATCCCCTGCTCACCATCAAAGACAGGACAACCGTGTGGGGTGATGGAGGCAGCCGGCTTGCAGGTGACATCGCCCGTGTCCCCATGGTTACCCAGGCTGAGCTCGAAGCGCAGGAGCTCAGGGCCCGCTGGTACCATGGTGGCCGAGTAGAAGACCCCGCAGAGGCCGAACCGGTGGCGGGGTAAGTGAGACTAAGGCAGGGAAAAAAAAGGGTGAAAATAGCCCCAAAATGGTCAAAATTCCCTTCAAAATAAGGCAGAAAAACCCCGGCGATGGCATCACCCACCTGCACCCGGATGACGTCCTCCAGGTTAATGGTGCCGCGCTGGTGCCCATCTGGGGACCCCATATGGGTGCTGAGCTCCAGCAGCACCCGGCCGCGATAAGCCACGTTGGTGTACTGTAAAATAAGGGTGGGGGTGACTGGGTGTTGTGTGTCCCCCCCCACCCCCAAAATGGGTGCTGTCCCCCCCCGCCAATGCTCACAGCGCTGGATGTCCTCGCAGCATCCGCACGGGGACCATAGAAGGGGAGGAAGCAGGGTCCGAAGCAGGGTAAGAAGCCGGGGGTCCCCTCTAGGGGTGAAAAAGAGGGGTTTAAAAGGGGGGGGGCTGGGTGCTGGGGGACCCCCCCTAAGGGTGCACCCTGCTTACCCTCACACTCAGCACCAGCAGAGGAGATGTGGGAGAGGTGAAGGGTGGCGGTGCCCAGGACCTTGCTGCTGCGGGGCCTATGGGTGGGCAATGAAAGGGATGGGGGGTCCCCCATAAATAGGGGGCTCCCCCAAAAAAGGGGTCCCCAAAACCTAAGGAGGTGCTCAAAAGGCACGGGGATGGCCCAGAAAATGGGGGGGTTCCCCTCAAAATGGGGTTCCCCTAAAATTGATGCCCCAAAGCCAGGGGGAGTGCCCCAAAAGCAGGGGTTCCTTCACTTACCCACTGAGGATGGCCAACTGGATCTCATCGCAGATGGGGGGCAGCTTTGGAAAGACACAAAAGCGGGGTGTGGGGGGTGATGAAATGGGGGTGCCCCCCACTTTTTGGGGTACCTTTTGGGAGTACCCCAGCATTGGGGTGGGGGGGGGTGGAGGAGGATCCTCACCCGCAGTGGGAAGAAGAAGACCTCGTTCCACACCGGGTTGGGGCTTGGGGGCATCACTTGGGTGCAGAGCTGCGTGGGGCAGAGCTATGAGCCCCTCACCGCGGCATCGGGCCCACACCCCCCCCCCCCATGGCCCCGCACCCACCGTCCTGCCCGCAAAGCCGGCCCGCACCGCAGCCGCCACGAAGCTCCTCTTGCCTCTGACCGAGGGGAGGCAGTGCAGGGCTGGCTCCGCTGCACCGGGGTGGGGAGAGGTTGGCAATGGAGGGTGCTCGAGATCCAACCAGCCCCAAAACCAACCCAAAACCAACCCAAAATCAACCCAACCCCCCCAAAACCAACCCAAAACCAACCAAAATCCCCCAAAACCAACCACCCCCCCAAACCAACCCAAACCCCACCCAAAACTCACCCAAACCAACCAAATCTGCCTCCAAAACCAACCCAAAACCAACTCAAAACCCACCCAAAAAAACCAAACCTGCCTCCAAAACCAACCCAAAAACAACCCAAAAACCAAACCTGCCTCCAAAACCCTCCCCAAACCCACTCAAAACCCTCCCCAAACCAACCCAAAATTCATTCAACCCCCCCCAAAGCCCCCTCAAAACCCACCCAAAACTCATCCAAAACCTACCCAAACCCAACCAAAACCACCTCCAAAACCAACCCCAAAACCATTGAAAACCACCTCCAAAACCTTCCCAAAACCCACTCAAACCCCTCCTAAACCCTCCCAAAACTCATTCAAAACCTACCCAAACCCAACCAAAACCATCCAAAACCAACCCCAAAACCCTCCCAAAACCCACCCAAAACTCATCCAAAACCACCCCAAACCCAACCAAAACCGCCTCCAAAACCTTCCCAAAACCCACCCCAAATGCTCCCCAAACCCATCCAAAACCAACCCAAACCCAACCGAAACCACCTTCAAAACCAACCCCAAACCCATTGATAACCACCTCCAAAACCACCCCAAACCCAACCAAAACCGCCTCCAAAACCCACCCCAAATGCTCCCCAAACCCATCCAAAACCAACCCCAAAACCCTCCCAAAACCCACTCAAACCCCTCCTAAACCCCCCCAAAACCACCCCAAAATTCCCCTAAACCAACCCCAAACCCCCCCAGACCCACCTAGGGGCAGGTCCTCAGCGCGGTAGATGCGGAGCTGCAGCGTGGCAGCGCACGGCGATGGCTGCAGCAGGTTGGCCTCCACATCCTTATCTCCCTCTGGTTCCTCCTCCTCCTTATGGAAGGGACATGGGATAATGGGGATCCCAGACCCCCCTTCCCATATCCATGGGGTTTTGGGGGGATGAGGGGCTCACCAGCACCGGCTCTCCAGCACGGAGCACGGCCATGCTCACACGGAGGTACCCACAGGAACCAGCATCGGGGCACTGGGGATCCTGCAGGCTCAGCCACTTCCAGCTCAAGCTGTGTCCTGGGATGATGGGAGCCCCCCATGGTCACGCTGGTGTCACCCCAGTGTCACCCTGCTGTCACCCCAACCCTCCCACCTACCTGGTGCGTGGTAGACGGTGCCAACATCCAGCTGTGGGGACGGCAAAGGGGTGAGAGCTGAACCATGGGGAGATGCCCCATTCCCAAGTCACCTCCTCACCTGGAAGACGCCGATGATGGCTTTAAAGCGGATGGCTCTGGAGTTCAGCACCTGTGACAGGAGGGGGGACATGGCATCAGGGCCACCCCGATGTCCCCATCCCGTTTAGTGCCACCAATCCCACCCCGCACCTGGATGCGGATGGGCTCCATCAGCATCTGCTCCAGTGTCTGGTGGAAGCTTTGGTAAAACACCTGGAAAACAGGCAAAAAGGGGGTGAGGATGGAGCGAGGGGACAGCAGTGCATCCCTGTATCCCCACCCCAGTGTCACCTCGTTGTAGTAGGGGTTGTTCCCCACACGGATCCTGGTCCTGAAGCGATGCTGGCCGATGAAAACCATCACCACCGGCTTGATGTTATTGCCCTGGAGCTGGTGGCCCTCAATGACCCTCACCCGTACCTATGGGACAGGCATGGTGGTCACTGGGTGCGACATCACCTCTGGGTACCACTGCACCCATGGGTGCCATACCTGGAACTCCTCTTTACCCCCTGCCCGGGGCTTGCTAGGAGAGTGCATGGGTGGCACTGGTGACACCGGTGGTGGTGGCACCCGTCGTTGCATGGGGACCGTGGCATCTCCATCCGTGCCATGGGGGACGTAGAAGCAGCAAAGGGTGATGGTGCACTGCAAAAGGATGGGTGGCACCCTAAACCGTGCTGGTGGCACCCTAGGGTGCTGCTGGGGTGGGGGGGGGTGCATTGGTGGGTGCTCACCCCTGTGGGCTGCCCATTGGAGTCCATCAGTGGCACTTGGCTTAGGGACAGCGGCAGCTTGGGGTCGGCCACCAACTGGTCCAGTGACACCGTGGTGGCACCCAGGTCCCTGCGGGGACAGAGGGGACAAGGTGAGGGTGCCCACGCTGTGGATGTTCCCCCCAGGGTGCCCACCCATGGGTGCTACTCACCCCCAGGGTGCCGGCTGGCCCCAGTGCCGCAGGCGCAGGCTCAGGTTGGTCTTGGGGCGCAGGGGACGCGCACCCAGTGGCCATGCCAGTGTCTATGGTGGGAGGGACAGAGGGGACAAGGGCTCAGTGGGGGGGGGACATCAGCATCCCCGTGCCACCACAGGGGGTCACCTCACCTCGTTCCATGTGGGGCTGTGCTCCTCTGGCACCACCCGGGTGCTCCTGGGGACCCCTGCGAGGGGGAACACGGTGGTGGCACATCAAGAGGGGGGACATGGGTGCTGTCCCCAGGGAGGGCTGGCACCGCGATGCCACCATGGGGTGTCCCCCCCCCTTGTCCTCAGCATACCTCTGAAGCAGGCAGACACATATACCCCAGGCCCGGAACCGGTTGCGCCAGGGATGTGGGCATTGGCCACCAGCAGCCGCAGCATGGCCACATCCCCAGTGCCACGATGCCACCGAGCCTCTGTCACTGGGGTGTTGTCACCACGGTGCTGGGATGCGTTCCAGAACGGCACCGGGTTGCTATGAGCCCCGTCGCCATGGGTTGCTGGGTACCTGCGTCCCTCTTCACTCTGCAGCCACGCCTATGAGTGCCCATGGGGGGGTGTGTGTCACGCTCTCCCAGTGTCCCCATGCCCATGTGTATCTGTTACTGGTCACCATGCCCATGTGTATGTGTCACTGGTCACCATGCCCATGTGTCCCCATAGAATCGGAATAGTTAGGGTTGGAAACGACCTTAAGATCACCCAGTTCCAACCCCCTGCCATAGGCAGGGGCACCCCACACTAAACCACGGCACCCAAGGCGCTGTCCAACCTGCGCATGCGCAGTACCCGGAGGCGGGGGTGTGTCCACGCATGCGCAGAGAGCAGCGCGGGGTGGGGTAGGGTTGGCGGGGGGGGGGGGGGCCGTGTGTGTGTCTATCGCGCCATGTCGCGGCGGTAGCAGGGCAATGTCGCACCGCGGGGGGGACCGGGATCGCGATCGCGATCGGGATCGGGAGCTGCAGTGGTCGGCGCGGAGGATGGGGACGTCGCTGCTGCTGCAGCTGTCGGCGCACGAGCGGGAGCTGGACCTGGTCTGCCTCGACCACAGCTACGCCAAGCCCTGGAGCGCGCACCCCGACGCCAGCGCCGCCCGGCCCACCCGCATGCTCTTCCTCACCCCGCGGCGCCAGCCCGGAGCCGGCCTGTGAGCGAGGCCTGCGGGCCGGGGGGGCTGTGGGGCCTATGGGGGGCTGTGGGGCCTATGGGGGGGCTGTGGGGCTGACGGGTCTGTGAGGAAGAGGAGGGCCCTGTGGGGAGATGTGGGGCCTGTGGGGTTGAAGGACTGAGGGGGAAGATGTGGGGCCTGGGGACACCTTTTAGGGCTGAGGGGCCTGTGGGGGGGCTGTGGGGCCGAGGGGCCTATTGGGGGGTGTGGGGCTGAGGGGTCTGTGAGGAAGAGGAGGGCCTTGTAGGGAGATGTGGGGCCTTTTGGGTTGAAGGGCTTAGGGGGAAGACGTGGGGCCTGAGGGGTCTATTGGGGGGATGCGGGGCCTGTGGGGCTGAGGGGTCTGTGAAGAAGAGGAGGGCCTTGTAGGGAGGTGTGGGGCCTGTGGGGTTAAGGGCTGAGGGGGAAGATGTGGGGCCTGGGGACACCTTGTAGGGCTGAGGGGCCTGTGGGGCTGAGGGGTCTGTGAAGAAGAGGAGGGCCTTGTAGGGAGGTGTGGGGCCTGTGGGGTTGAAGGGCTTAGGGGGGAGATGTGGGGCCTGAGGGGTCTATTGGGGGGATGCGGGGCCTGTGGGGCTGAGGGGTCTGTGCGGATGAGGGCCCTGTAGGGAGATGTGAGGCCTGTGGGGTTGAAGGGCTGAGGGGGAAGATGTGGGGCCTGGGGACACCTTGTAGGGCTGAGGGGCCTGTGGGGCTGAGGGGTCTGTGAAGAAGAGGAGGGCCTTGTAGGGAGATGTGGGGCCTGTGGGGTTGAAGGGCTTAAGGGGGAGATGTGGGGCCCAAGGGTGCCTTATAGGACTGAGGGGCCTGTGGGGGGTGATGTGGGGCTGAGGGGTCTGTGAGAAAGAGGAGGGCCCTGTAGGGAGATGTGGGGCCTTTTGGGTTGAAGGGCTTAGGGGGGAGATGTGGGGCTTGAGGGGTCTGGGGGTGCCTTGTAGGGCTGAGGGGCCTCTGTGGGGCAGGCTTGGAGGGTTTTGTAGGGCTGAGGGCTTGCTGAGAGGCTGAAGGGGATCTTGAGGCATCTGTGTGAGTGCTGGGGGTCCGTCATGGGCCTCTGTTGGGGTTGAAGGGCGTGTGGGTCAGGTTGTGGGGGGGTCTATGGGGCTGAGGGGTCTGTGAGGGGAGAGTGGGGACCTGTAGGATTGGGATAAATGGGGTTGGGAGGACCCTGAGACATCTTTGTGGGGCTGAGGGTGTGTAAAGAGAGAGTGTGGGGCACGGGGGGGTATCCTGTGGGGTTGGGGTCTGTGAGGGAAGAGCGGGTTTGGGGTTCAGGGAGCTGAACCTAACCCCCCTGGTTGGGGACCCTCAGTGCTCCCCTCCTCTAAAGCATCCCTATTGCCCGCAGAGAGGCCGATGTGCCCATCGACGTGGAGACGGTGACGCCGGTGGCCGTGCCCCTCTACGACAACCAGAAGGCGCGGAGCGTGATGAACGAGTGCGAGCGGCACGTCATGTTCGCCCGCACGGACGCCGATGCCCCCCCGCCACCCGATGACTGGGAAGAGCACGTCAACAGGTACCAAAGGGGAGCAGGGAAAGAGCGCCGGGCACTGAGCGCTCATCCAAGCCCCTGGGTCCAACCTGGCCTTGAGCACTGCCAGGGATGGGGCAGCCACAGCTTCTCTGGGCACCCTGTGCCAGCGCCTCACCACCCTCACATAAATCACTCCTTCCTTATCTCCAACCTGAACTCCCCCTGTTTCAGTCTGAACCCATCACCCCTTGTCCCATCCCTACAGTCCCTGATGCAGAGCCCCTCTCCAGCATCCTTGCGGCCCCCTTCAGACACTGGAAGCTGCTCTGAGGTCTCCACGCAGCTTCTCTTCTCCAGCCCCAATGTTCTCAGCCTGGCTCCATACAGGAGCTGCTGCACCCCTGAGCATCCCCATGGCCTCCTCTGGACTCGCTCCACCAGCTCCATGTCCTTATGCTGGGGACCCCAGCACTGCACACAGGGCTGCAGGGGGGGGGTCTCACAAGAGCAGAGGGGCAGGATCCCCTCCCTGCGCTGCTGCTCACGCTCTGGGGGTGCAGCCCAGCACACGGGGGGGTTCTGGGCTCGAGTGCCCACTGAAGCCGGCTCATGTTCATTTTCTCCTCACCCAGCACCCCAAAATCCTTCTCCTCAGGCTGCTCTCAGTCACTTCTCCACCCAGACTCTGTCTGTGCCTGGGATTGCCCCAACCCAGGGGCAGGACCTTGCCCTTGGCCTTGCTGAGCTCCATGAGGTTCACATGGTCCCTCCTCTCCGCATCCCTCTGAATCCTATCCCTCTGGTGTGTCACCACACCACACAGCTCAGTGTCAGCATCTTGGGTCCAGTTTCCCCAGTGCCTGCTGTGGAAGCAGCCTGGATTTTATGGCAGAGGCTGTTGAACCTTCGCCTCATGTTTCCCATAAAACAATGTCCTCTGTTTGGAGGCGATCGGGCCAGTGAGTTGTAGATCCTCAATCCAGCCATATTCCAATGTCAGACATGGGAAAGGAGGATATGTGGATATCCCACCCTGCTAACAACCCCCTGGAGCTCGAGTCCAACCAGTTGGTGGTGGTCTTGACATTACAAACTGTTGTAGGGGAGCAAAACCCTCTTTGCCCATGGCTGTAGATCTGTTCTGGAGCATCCAGAACCATCCTTTGGGAACGGGCAGCAGCCTGCAGGACCTGGATGTTGATGTGACACTGACCTATGTCTGTCCCTGTGGTTTCCCAACAGGACAGGCTGGACTATGGCCCAGAACAAGCTGTTCAATAAGATCCACAAGGCTCTGCAGTCTGACAGGCTGGCTCGCTTGGCTAATGAAGGGGTAAGGCTTTTCCTCCCTGTTTCCCTTCCTGCATCCCTGGATGCACGTGGAATTGCCTGATCTTGCCCATCGCTGTGTTTCTGTATGATTTCCTGGTTTTTAGGCTTGCAATGAGCCAGTCCTGAGGAGGATAGCAGTGGACAAATGCGCTCGGAGGGTCCGCCAGGCTCTGGCCAGTGTCAACTGGGACACCAAACTGATCCAGTGGCTGCACACAACGCTGGTGGAGACCCTCAGCTTGCCAGTGCTGGCTGCTTACCTGGATGCTCTGCAGACACTTAAAGGAAAGGTGATAAAGCAGTGCAAGGCTTTGCTGTCACTTAGGTTCTCAAAGCCAACCGTGTCCTGGGCTGCATCAAAAGGAGTGTGACCAGCAGGTCGAAGGAGGTGATCCTGCCCCTTTATTCTGCTCTCGTGAGACCTCACCTGGAGCATTGTGTGCAGTTCTGGTGTCCTCAACATAAAAAGGACATGGAGCTGTTGGAACAAGTCCAGAGGAGGCCACGAGGATGCTCAGGGGCTGGAGCACCTCCTGTATGAAGACAGGATGAGAACACTGGGGCTGTTCAGTCTGGAGAAGAGAAGCTGCGTGGAGACCTCAGAGCACCTTCCAGTATCTGAAGGGGGCCTATAGGGATGCTGGGGATGAACTCTTCATTAGGGACTGTAGTGACAGGACAAGGGGTAATGGGTTAAAACTTAAACAGAGGAAGTTTAGACTGGATATAAGGAGGAAATTCTTTCCTGTAAGGGTGGTGAGGCACTGGAATGGGTGCCCAGGGAGGTTGTGAATGCTCCATCCCTGGCAGTGTTCAAGGCCAGGTTGGACAGAGCCTTGGGTGATATGGTTTAGAGCGAGGTGTCCCTGCCCATGGCAGGGGGGTTGGAACTCGATGATCTTAAGGTCCTTTCCAACCCGAACTATTCTATGATTCTATGTATAAAGTCATTAAAGGGAGCTGGTGGAGCTTTTATCCTTTCTTTCTTCTTTCCTGGCCCCTGCTTTCAGATCCCCACCCTGATCGACAGGATGCTGCTCTCCTCTACCACCAAGACAGGGGCAGCGGGTGCTGAGGCTCTGTCTCTGCTGCTGAAGAGACCTTGGGACCCAGCAGTGGGTGTCTTGTCGCATAATAAACCAGTGAGTATGGGGCTTGCAGAGTGGGTTTCACATCAGCTTTAGTCATCCTGTCCTTTTGCTGTCTTCTTTCCACCTCTCTGTTGCTTCCTGGGCTCTTTTCCTCCTGCTTTAGACTTCCTCAGTGAGGGGGACTCCTGTGGGACACATTTTCCCCCTGTACTGTCCTGAGGTAGCTTTGCCTGGGGAGAATGGGATGGATGAATGAGCTATGAACATCCCTATGCTTCGTTGTGCAGGCTGGGCAGGGAACGTGCTGCCCCTGACACATCTCTTTGTTGAACTTTGTAGAGCAAATTGCCTGGTTCCCCCCTCATCCTGATTGCTTCCTCTGGACCCTCCAACTCCATGTTCCCCACTTCCCGACGGCACCGGTTCTGGCAGTCACAGCTTTCCTGCCTGGGAAAGGTTTGTATGGCTGCTTTTGGAAGGAGGGAAGTTCAAACTAGGCTGGGCTGCAGTGGCTGAGTGAGGTTTTATAAGCCTTTGATGCACCAAAGTGCTTGGTTGTGCTGAAAGCAGAGGATGGTGTCTGCCACTTGCACTTGAGGCACTGCAAAGGGGATGTGCAGTGTTCAAGGCCAGGTTGGATAGAGCCTTGCATGACATGGTCTAATGTAAAGTGTCCCTGTCCACAGCAGGAGGGTTGGGACTGGATGATCTCAAGGTCCTTTCCAACCCAAACCATTCTATGATTCTGAATTGCCCAAATTCAATGCGTTTGGGGTCTCTTGCTTACCAGTATCGTCTGTCTTCATTGAATCATCAACTGGTTTGGGTTGGAAGGGACCTTAAAGCTCCTCCAGTTCCAACTATGGACAGGGACACCTTCCACAGAGCAGCTTGCTCCAAGCCCCTGTGTCCAACCTGGCCTTGAGCACTGCCAGAGATGGGGCAGCCACAGCTTCTCTGGGCACCCTGTGCCAGTGCCTCAGCACCCTCATAGGGCAGAGAAGGTGGATTATCTTCCTGATCATCAGTTCAGATTGTGTTGTGACTGTTAGTAAGGATTGATGAGTCCCCAACACAAAGAGGCTGGAGGAGACTGTAGGTCACCTTAGTCCTCTGCCTGGATACAGGCTGCTCCTCATCGATGTGGCAGATGTACTGGGTGTATCAGCCAGGTGAATGGCAGAGATTGTCTTGGGGGGGAATTCTTCATTTCCTCTGTTTTTAGGGGGTTTCACTTTCCATGGAAGTGAATCCCAGGGGAAAGAAGGAGCAAGAAGCACAAGTTCATGCCCAGATGTGGTTCCAGTCCATGCTTGTTGTTGTCAGTGCTCATTCCCAGCAGATCCATGGTTATTCATTGACCTTCCCTTTCACCCCTCAGGTGATTCCCATCACCACCCACCTGCTGAACAACGGCAGTGGGGTGGGAGTACTGCAGTGTCTGGAGCACATGATTGGGGCTGTGAGGGGCAAAGTGGCCGAGGTGAGTGCAGCAACAAACCTGTGCTGCTCCCATCCCATTCCTCCTCTTGTTGGAGGTGTTGTCCCACCCCAGGGCATCATTGTCCCGTTGTGTGTCCCTCTCCTCCATCCATGTCTTGTTCTTTCCCCCATAGATTCACAGCCACTTCTCTCACAAGCCCATCATCTTGATCGGGTGGAACACCGGTGCCTTGGTGGCCTGTCACGTAAGTACCTGATTCCTTCACGTCCTCCCACTTGACAGCTTCAATTCAGAGTTAGGTTTGAATTGCTGCTGGTTTAAGACTTTTTAAGAGGGGTTGTGCTTGTCCCTTTTCTCTTTCCAAGGCCTGGCTTTGAAACAGATGCCCTTTCTGGTCCTGGGGGCATAGACAATCCCATAGAATCCCAGGTTGTTCATAGATCATCTGGTCCAACCTTTCTAGGCAAAACATGAGCTAGACTACATGTCCCAGCACCCTGTCCAGCCAAGTCTTGAATGTCCACTGATGGGGAGTCCACCACTTCCCTGTGGAGGTTATTCCAATGGCTGGTTGTTCTCACTGTGAACAGTTTTCCTTTTGTCTCCAGCTGGAATCTCCCCAGGAGTAACTCCTGCACATTACCCCTTGTCCTTATCCATGTGAGTCCTTGTCAAAAGAGAGTCTCCAGCTTCTTTGTAGCCACCCTTTAAGTACTGGAACATGGGGATAAGATCTCCCCTGCATTCTCCTATCCCCAGCTTTCTCAGCCTTTCCTCATGTATTGCCCATTCCTTGGATCATCTTTGTGGCTCTTCTCTGGACCTTCTCCAGCCTGTCCACAGCTTTTCTGCATAGCAAAGATTGAAACTGTACCCAGTATTCCAGGGGTGGCCTGATAAGCACTGAGTGGGACAATGACATCTTTATCAGAGAATCACAGAGCAGTTTGTGTTGGAAGGGAGCTTAAAGCTCACCCAGCTCCAACCCCTGCCACAGGCAGGGACCCCTTCCACTGGAGCAGCTTGCTCCAAGCCCCTGTGTCCAACCTGGCCTTGAACACTGCCAGGGATGGGGCAGCCACAGCTTCTCTGGGCACCCTGTGCCAGCGCCTCAGCACCCTCACAGGGAAGAGCTTCTGCCTTGCCTGCAAGGTTATACACTTGTCCTTGTTGATCTTCATCAGGTTCTGAGCGTGCTCTTCCAACCCATCCAGGTCATTCTGCAGGGTGGCTCTCCCTTCCCAAGTGCCCACTGCCCCCCTCAGTTTGGTGTCACTGGCGCATTTCATCTGTGTCCAGCTCTGGGGCAGCAGCACAAGAGGGACCTGGAGCTGTTGGAGTGAGTCCAGAGGAGGCCATGGAGCTGCTGCGAGGGCTGGAGCAGCTCTGCTCTGGAGCCAGGCTGAGAGAGCTGGGCTGGGGCAGCCTGGAGAAGAGAAGGCTCCTGAAGGGGAGACCTTAGAGCAGCTCCAGTGCCTAAAGGGGCTGCAGGGAACCTGGAGAGGGGCTTGGGACAAGGGCCTGTAGGGACTTTGCCACATATAATTAGTCTTTTGAACCACTCCATGTTTTTTTCCACCACTCTTTTAACCCATCAAAGCCAGTTCTAAGCATGGAAGATGTTTCTGTGCCTGGCAGGACCTGGCAGAGCGGTGTTTGCACCCCTGATTCACTAAACTGTTGAGTTGCTGACTCTGGCTTTTTCCCCCCAGGTTTCAGTGATGGAGTATGTCACTGCAGTTGTGTGCCTTGGATTCCCCCTTCTCACTGTGGATGGCCCCAGAGGGGTAAGGACCAAAGGCACATGGAGCCATTTAACAGCAAGAGTGGGTGTGAGGAGTCCTGTGTTGGCTTGTCTGTGCTGTTACACAGGTTTGCTCCTTCCTGGGGTCTTATCTGTGGGGTCACTTGTTCACTGTGGCCTTTTGCCCTGGAGAGGACAACTTGGGTTGATTCACATGGAGCCCAAATTGCTCCTTTATTAACTGACCAGTGTGTGATGGGGTTGGGAATGTTGGGTTGAGCCATTGCAATGGCTGATTCTGAGGGCAGTGGGAATCTGCATCAAAGGCATTTGCTGGAGCATGGTGCAGCTCTGGAGCAGAGTGTCCTTTGGGACTGGTTTGGCTGTGTAAATCCCACTGGGAAGCTTCACTTCAGCCTTATCCCAGGTTTGCTCCTAATACTCGATGGGTCCTTCTGGATTACAGTTCCTTTGCTCTTGCAGGATGTTGATGACCCCCTCCTGGAGATGAAGACCCCTGTGCTCTTTGTGATCGGGCAGAATTCCCTGCAGTGCAACATGGAAGCCATGGAAGATTTCCGGGAGAAAATACGAGCTGATAACAGCCTGGTGGTGGTGGGAGGAGCAGATGACAACCTCAGGTAACGCTCTCCCAGATGAATGCTCTCTCCCCAGGAACACTGAGCAGCATCTCAGCGTGCTGTGCACAAATAGAACCCCAAATTGGGTACCGAAACTAGATGGGAACTGCAGAAATGTGCTCCATCAGGATCACCTTTGTAGTTCCAAACCTGGAAGGTTGGGGAGAGGGTTGTTTTTCTGTGATAAGTCTGTATCATTTCTCCCAGTAAAGATGCAGGGTACAGCATGGGATGACCCCAGAGCAAGTATTTGCTCTTTCATGCCTCCCCTGCCCCTGGAATATGTGGCTTTTGGAGGCTGTGCACAGAACTAGGTGAGGGAGCCTGGAAGAGCCATGCAGAAGCAAGAGGCTTTTAAGGTTTCAGGAGACTTGTGTATGTTTGGGATAACTGCAGCAAAACCCTGAGCAAGGAGTGAGAATGGAGTTGGGCTGAGGCCAGAGCTGCACCCAGCAGCACAGGCAAGGGTTTGGAGCATCATTAAGTCTATAGTGGGGATAATCAGTGAAGAAGAGGAAAGAAAGCAATGTGAGACTGATAGTGGGACTGAAGGCATGCTCTTGAGTGTGAAACCCAACGTGTTGACTTCCATCTGGTTTATTGAACAGGATAAGCAAAGCCAAAAAGAAGTCAGAAGGCCTCACCCAGAGCATGGTGGACCGCTGCATCCAGGTAAGCACAGAAATCTTCCACCTCCTATCTCTAAACCAACCCTGTGCTAAAATGTCTCGGTGACACCACGAGTTCTAACCTCACTGCCAGGGTTGGTTGGGTTGAAGGGAGTTATCTCATGGGTGGGATGTTGAAGTGTCCCTCTCCTTTCAGGAGGAGAAACACAAGCTTCCTGGTAGTGCACCTTAAATAAAGAGTGGGTTTCAGGGTTGTCCAGTACCTCTGCCTGGGGAATGAGGCAGGAGCATTGGAGATACCATCCTGCTTCTCTCCCATGTGTTAGAAATCAGTGGGGTATGAGCTTAAACGAGAAGCCAGGCTCTGTCTGTAAGGTTTTAGGGTTTCTTTTTATGGAATATTAGAGAGAGCCTTATCCCTTTGTCCCTTTGGGAATCTTTTGTTCTCTTTGTTTCAAGACGAGTTGATCAGAACCCTGCATAGCACTTACTCTGTGTTTCACCCTTCCTAGGATGAAATAGCTGACTTCTTGACTGGAGTCCTCACCCGAGCAGAGAGCCACTCAGGCTCTGATCCCCGTGACCTGGATGCTGAGAAGAAGAAGAAGCCCCGAGACTCCACCAGGAGGGATCTGTCCTTCGACCTGCCAGAACGGAGCAGCAGACCTGCCTCCCCAGCAGCCAAAGTGCCTGCTTCTCCTTCAGGCTCAGAGGTGGGGGCTCGCTCTGGGGTACTTTGAGCTGGGGGAGGCTGAGGTTGTTTAACAAATGCTTTTGTATCAGTGAATTATCATCAAATCACAGGGTGGTTGCTTTGGGTTGAAGGGACCTTAAAGATTGTCTCATTTCAGCCCCCTGCCTTGGGCAGGGATACCTTCCCCTAGAGCAACGTGCTCCAACCTGGCCTTGAGCACTGCCAGGGATGGGGCAGCCACAGCTTCTCTGGGCACCCTGTGCCAGCGCCTCAGCACCCTCACAGGGAAGAGCTTCTGCCTAAGAGCTCAGCTCAGTCTCCCCTCGGGCAGGTTCAAGCCATTCCCCTTGGCCTGTCCCTACAGGCCCTTGTCCCAGGCCCCTCTCCAGGTTCCCTGCAGCCCCTTTATGCACTGGAGCTGCTCTATGGTCTCCCCTTCAGGAGCCTTCTCTTCTCCAGCCCCAATGTTCTCAGCCTGGCTCCATACAGGAGCTGCTCCAGCCCCTGAGCATCCTCGTGGCCTCCTCTGGACTCGCTCCACCAGCTCCATGTCCTCATGCTGGGGACCCCAGCACTGCACACAGGGCTGCAGAGGGGGGGTCTCACAAGAGCAGAGGGGCAGGATCCTCTCCCTGAGCTGCTGCTCATGCTCTGGGGGTGCAGCCCAGCACATGGAGGGGTTCTGGGCTCAGGTGCACATTGGAGCTCGGTCACGGGGGTCTTCTGTGCAGTTCTGGTGTCCTCAGCATGAAAAGGACATGGATCTGTTGGAACAAGTCCAGAGGAGGCCACGAGGATGCTCAGGGGCTGGAGCAGCTCCTGTATGGAGCCAGGCTGAGAACATTGGGGCTGGAGAAGAGAAGCTGCGTGGAGACCTCAGAGCAGCTTCCAGTGTCTGAAGGGGGCCTATAGGGATGCTGGGGAGGGACTCTTCATTAGGGACTGTAGTGACAGGACAAGGGGTAATGGGTTAAAACTTAAACAGGGGAAGTTTAGATTGGATCTAAGGAGGAAATTCTTTCCTGTTGGGGTGGTGAGGCACTGGAATGGGTTGCCCAGGGAGGTTGTGAATGCTCCATCCCTGGCAGTGTTCAAGGCCAGGTTGGATGAGGCCTTGGGTGAGATGGTTTAGCACGAGGTGACCCTGCCCATGGCAGAGGGTTGGAACTGGATGATCTTAAGGACCTTTCCAACCCTAACTGTTCTATGATTCTATGATTCTTGTCAATCTGTGTTGGAAGAGGGAGGTGAGGGGAATCCTGTGGCTTGTGGTGGGGCAAACAGATCTGCTCCATGGGAAGGTTGTGCTGCTGCACTCAGGGTTCCAACTGCTCCTTATGGACACAGGGGTAAGCTGTGCTCCTTCTCTTCGAGCAGGACTTGTCCAGCAGCCCCACTTCAAGCCCCAAGACCAAAGTGGCCGCCGTGTCCTCCCTGCAGAAGCCCAGCCAGATGGGCCCCACGCAGCTGCTGAAGAGGCACGTGCCAAGGCCAGACACTGTCCTTGCCCACAAGCAGGCCCAAGGTAATGCCCTGCAGCTTCCCCACCCTCTCCCCTCTCAGCAGCTGGATTTGATCTTTCTCTGTTGTGATGTGTGTAGGTTCTTGTCTTCTGAGTCCTGTCTTGAATCCTAAGCTCCCTGTGGCAGCTTTCCCTGCAGCTTGGCCCCTGTCACTGTCATCTGATGGAGGGTTGGAAATAGTGTTTTGGCTGAAGGGTTTTCACTTCTGGCTGACCAAGTTATCACATAGCCACGCTTAATTCTTCAGCTGTGAGCCCTTTGAGTGGTGTCTCAGCCTTAAAGGCTGCTTGGGAGGGAGAATAAAGGTACTCAGGAGGTGATTGAGGCTGGATTGTGACAGAAACACTGGGTTTGAGTCATTGCAGAGTCATTTTGCATCAGATGGCAGTGCAAAACCTGCTCTGAGTAAGAAACCACCTTCAACCATGGGGTTTTTGTTCTGTTGGATGCTGATTACAAACTTCAGCTTCATCCCAGTGGTGAGCACTGAATGCAGGTCATGGTGGTGTTGGGGATGATCCCTTGTGATGAATGTCAGCAGCACCTGGGGAGTAGTTCTCCATCCTCCCTTCTCTCCTTATTGGTGTCTCCTGCAGCAGTGTCACCCTCCACATGCCCTAAAGTCTTTCTCTGACTCCAGGGGGAAGTTGCACCTTAATTTCTGAGAGCACAGACTAAAGGAATCTGTTCCTTTGTTGTAGCTGAGGAAGTTTCTATCACATGGGAGGAAGGTCTGTGCAATGGGATGTGTTGGGGCTGCCTTGTCATGCCAGGAGCCCTGGGCCAGGGTGGCCTCTGGCCTGTGTTTGGTGGCTGTAGCTGTTCAGGAACGTGCTGGCTGGTGTCTCCCAGCTTGGTGCCACTACTTGGCCAAGCTAACTGTGCCTCTCATAGCCAAGCCTGCTGTCATTCCTGGGTGCTGGACCTTTTCCTCATGGCTCTGGGGCTGGAGAAGGGCTCCTGCTGTTGGGATGTGCTCTCTGTGAAAGCTGGGATGGAGCCTCTTGTAAGTGTGGGATGTGCTGCGCTGCTGTGAGGAGCAGGAGCTTGGAGCATCTCCGTTGTGCTCTGTGGCTGAGTGGTGTGTGGAGCTCTCTGTGTGGGTCCCAGTGGTGTCCCTGGAGCTGTGTGTCCCCTCCAGAGCTGGGCTGTGATGCTGTAATTCTCTCTTGATTCGTTTCAGCTCAGTTTGCTGCTTTTCTGAAACAAAACATGCTGGTGAGGAAAGCTCTTCCTCCTGGCACCTCTTCATGTCTCTTTGGTGAGTATCTCCTCACTTCTTCCTGTCTCTTTCTCTGTCTCCCTCCTTCTCTCTGTCTTTGCTACCTCCTTTCATCCTCTTCCTCTCCCCTTGCACTGCTTTGGGGATGTGGCCCAGCGTGTCCCCTTGCTTCTTGCTTTCTCACTGCTGTATTTGAAGCTAAAGCTGATGGCTCCTTGCTACTGAGAGCATTAACTTCCCCTGAGCTCTTCCCCTCTCCCAGTGGGTACATGGCGCTGTGGAGGCTGGCAGTTGGTTTTGCTCTGGTGGATGAAGCTTTGTGACTGATGTGGTGACATTTGTGGGTGTGAATTTAACCTGTGCTCCTGTGCTAGGGTTGAGGCCATGTGTGTTGGTGGAGCATCCCAAGCACATAGGAGCAGAAACAAGTGACAGGGAAGGGGCAGATGTGGACATGTGGGGCAGTGGTTTTTGTCCAGAGCAAGTTAGACCAGAGAGGCCAGGGACAGGGATGGCTTTGGGAAGATGATGATGGGGTGGGAGAGGGATGCTCTCTGCACCAGGGGACGTGGAGTGAGCAGTCTTTAGTCCTGTGCTGGGTGCTGGTGCACACAGAGGGATGTGTATGTGTATGTGTGTTGCTCTGAGGGTCGGGGATCGAGGGGTTAGGTCCACAGCACATGTAAAGAGATGTTTTGCCTTCCTGAAAGGCAGTGACCCTGTGGATCTGGGATGAGGAGAGGAGGAGGAGCTGAAATCCAAGCCCCCGGGGGGCTGTGGTGTCATCATGTGAGCTGCTGGGGTCAGTTCTCCTATTGGGTGACCCCATGGTGCTGAGAGCATTGATGTGGATAAGAATTGGCCTCCCTCCATAGCCCACTACTGATGCTTTCAACTGGATGAGGCAAACCATGGGTGCAGAGAAGCTGGTGGCACTTTGGCACATGGTGTGGGGACTCCAAGGATACAGGTTCCTTGAACACACCCCACATAGGCCAGACTGCACGTGTACAACTGTGGCAACAGCTCCTGAGGCAGGGATTGCCTGGGCTGGTTGTTGTAAAGGTTTCTTTCTCCTTTCAGCCTTGTTTAAAGGTTTCTTTCTGCCTCAAGCCTTGTTTTGTGCCCTCCCCTGTGTGATGAGGTTGGCCTGGAAGCACACACAGAGCCCTGCGCTTATCCAGGGTCCTCCAGCCCAGCATCTGCTGGGAAGAGGAACCACAGTGGATGTTCCTCTGCTGGTGGGGATGTGTGGAGAGGCTGGCACCAGCCTGGCCTCTGTTTTGATCAAAAGCAGATGGAGATCTCTGGGCTTGTTACTGCACTGGATGAGTGAGATGTGAGGTAGGAGCTGGGGCGCACAGCTTTGGGAGTGGGATGATCGGGCATGTTCAAGGCCAGGTTGGATGGGGCTTGGAGCAACCTGCTCTAGTGTGAGGTGTCCCTGCCTGTAGGAGGGGGTTGGAACTGCAGGATCTTAAGGTCCTTTCCAACCCAAACCATTCTGTGCTCCTGAACACGCAGCCCCAGTGTGGGTAGAGGTGGGCTCCACTCTCCTGCAGTGGGGACACAAAGGGACATTGGGTCACTGCTTGCTTTGAGGGGGCAGCTGATGCCACTGCCTGTGCATGTGCCCTGTCACTGTCCTGCTTGGCTGGTGGCACTTTGGGGGGTGGCTTTGGTGCCTGTGGTCTGTGCACGCCTGAGGAGGTCTCTGGATGGTGATTTGGATCATGCATGGTTGCAGGAGGCACAGGAAGAGAAGGCTCCTGAAGGGGAGACTTTAGAGCAGCTCCAGTGCCTAAAGGGGCTGCAGGAAACCTGGAGAGGGGCTTGGGACAAGGGCCTGTAGGGACAGGCCAAGGGGAATGGCTTGAACCTGCCCGAGGGGAGACTGAGATGAGCTCTTAGGCAGAAGCTCTTCCCTGTGAGGGTGCTGAGGCGCTGGCACAGGGTGCCCAGAGAAGCTGTGGCTGCCCCATCCCTGGCAGTGCTCAAGGCCAGGTTGGACACAGGGGCTTGGAGCAAGCTGCTCCAGTGGAAGGTGTCACTGCCCATGGCAGGGGTTGGAACTGGATGAGCTTTAAGCTCCCTTCCAACCAAGTTAACGGTGATTCTGTGGTGTTTGGCTGTGGGGATCAGGACACCAAGCTTGGCACTCACCCTGCGGAGAGGAGTGGCCCCAAAATACGAGGAGTTGTCTGACATGTAAGGTTTTGGCCCCAGTCTTGTACACCCAGTCCAGAGGTTTATGGGTGGTATGCAGGGGAGGCTATAAATGCATACATACACACACATGCACGTCTGTATTGATTGTACGTAATATATCCATATTTATCTATATCTAAATGAAAAAGTATGTGCATCTTGGCCCCTGGGTTGTGGAATACACAGCTTGCACACTCAGGACCATCTGGAACAAGGGACTTAGCTGACCCAGCAGTGGTCTGCAGGAGCTTTGCATGGACAGGGCTGGATGATCCTATACCAGTGGTGGGAGACCCATGGGGAGTGGATGTGGCAGCTCTTGACTGTGTTCTGTGCCTGGGTTGCCCAGAGGTGCTTATGGATCCTCTCTGCTGTTTTGGGTAGCCCTGGCCCTGGCAAGCTCTTGCTCTGGGCAGGATGTGATGTGTCAAGGACACGACAGCAAAAGAAGGCATTGATGTGGAAGAGGAATCCCAGCTTGTGCTTTTCCCCCATAGTCTCAAGCAGTGCAGAGTGTCTGGGGCTTGGCTTTGCTGCAGCACCTCCTGTGCTCCTGCTGCTTTGCTCAGTGCCTTTAAAACGCCCGTGCTTCAGCCTCTGGAGGGCCAGTGAGGAGCACTGGAAGGGCTGTGCTGGATGGCAGGCATGCACATACCTTTGCTGGTGTGTGGGGAGCAGGCTGAGCTTTAACCCAGCACTGGCAGCAGCTCTGAGTCTGCATCCTCATCCCCTCACCTGGAAATGAGGGATGTTGGAGGGGTCTGATGCCAGGATTCATTAGGAGATGAGAAGTGGAGATGTATCACTGTAGGCATCTGTTTTCCTTCGCCACAGAGGCAAGACAGGCTTGATGTGCTGGGATGTGCTGTATATGCTTAAGTGAAGTCCTGGCCCTAAACCAGGAGCTTAGGGCATGTGGAAGATGCAGTAGATGGTGAAAAGGAGATGTGTGAGCTCCTGGTGCATGGGAGATGGGCAAGGCTGGCATGGAGGGAGCTCTGGAAGCGTGCATGGGCATGTGTCCCTTCTCCACACCTCGGAGCAGCGCTGACCTCGAGGGACCGGCCACCACTTTTCCAACAGCTCCTTCTGTGTCCCCTAGTTCCAGTGTCCTCAGAGCACTCGGAAGGGGCTGACAAAGATGATGTGCGTGTGCAGCTGAAGAGGCACCAGGCCCCCAGCCCGACCCAGTGCACCAAACCCTCCAAACGCGCCAAAATCAAGGTGACCATTGTGTCTCACGGCGATGCTGCTGGCGTGGGGAACGGAGCAGCCCTCAGCACCCAGGCAGAAAGTGAGTTGGGATTTGTACAGCTGCTGCTGACCCAGAGAGCGGGCTCGGTGCTGGGCCCAGTGGGGAGGGAGCTCTGAGCTGCACAAACCATGCTGAGCCTCAAGGTGTGAGTGCCGTGGGGAGAGCTGGGGAGCGTGGGGGCTCGCAGCACGTAGCAGCTTGGTAGGAGCCTCTCTTTTCCATAGCTCCATAGCAGCCAAGGGGAATTTGGCTCCTTCCTCCGGGGCATTGAGCGCTGCTGGAAGCAGGATGGTCCTGGTGGACCCCTTGCTCCCAATAGGTCATGTGTAGCTCCAGTTCTGCTCCTGAATGAAGCTCTCACCTGGATCGTGCTCCTGCTTTAGGGATGATGGTGATGTTCCTTCCTCTGGAAGTCCTTTGTGTGTCCAGACTTCAAGATGCAGCCGAATGTCCCGCTCTGCTCATCCCCTTTGGCCCTTGAGTGGCACAATACACATAACATTCCAGCTCCTCTCCTGCCTCTGTGGCTGGGACAACCCACCTTACAGAGGCCTTGCTGTCCAAGAAGAGGTGATGCGTTCCATCTTCTTCCCCTTGAGCCTTCACAAGGGAGGCTGAAAGCTTTGGCTGCTCTCACCCTCGAACTGGAGGATGTTGCCTTGGTGCTGGCCCATACATCTTCCTCACGCCTGTGTCTTCCTCATGGTGGAGTGCAGCGCTCCAGATGCGCCCAGCAGTTCTCTTTGTCAGTGTTAGTTCAGTGCAGGGCAGGATGGAAAGGTCACATCTCCATTCTGGGAGGAAATCAAAGGGTTTCAAAGCTGAGAGAGAATTCCCCTCCATTGGAAGCATCTCTTGCTTACTTACTTCTTTTGAACTGGGAAATAGGATTAAGCACCGCCCATCCTTGAAGGTCCCAGTTCCTCTCCTGGCAGCTTTGCAAATCTCTGCAGACTGGAATCCTTGTATTTTAATTTTCCAAACTTTACTTCTTTCCACAGAAAGGAAATGAAATGCAGAAGTAAAACATGAACCAAAGCAAGAATTCCCTTTAACCGTGCGTGTGAGCAGAGGAAGGCACCAGCCAGACTCAGTTGTATCCCTCAAATGCTGCAATAAACACATCTCCTGACTCGTCGCATCCCTGTGTATTTTGTAAAGTGGCTTTAAAGAATGGGGACCAAACTCCATCAGTAGCAACCAGGCAGATCCAAGCTGCTGTGCTGAGGGGGTAGATCCGTGCTGTGATGGATTAGGAAGAGGGGATTAAGCACAGATAACGTCTAGGAGAGGGATTTGATGCTGAGGCTGTGAGATTTGACTGCTTTAGGGATCTATGAAGCTGATTCCTTCCCATTTTGTCTCTTGTTACACTTCCACTATGGCAACTTTCTGGTTTTTAGCCACAACTCTGCTCAGTTGGATGCTCCCCATCTCCGGTAGCTGGAGCGTGCCTGCAGCAGAGCTTTCCTTCAGGAGGTGCTGTGGGAGCAGGATGAGCCCATGGGGAGCTGTGTGAGAGATGGGGCATCCCTGAAGACTCCCAGAGGAGAGAAAGGGACATTCCTTCTTCTGTTCTCTTGCAGTGGTCGCTGGGAAGCCGGTCCCTGTGGCTGTTGGCCAGGCTGTGCCGGGCGTGAAGGAGCTCTCAGGACTGCTCACCACCCCCAAGTGAGTGCACTTGGGTCTATGGGACAGGCACCACGACAGGGTGGGTTCTGCATGGGGAGCTTGCTGGTGTCTGACTGGTGACTGGGGTTTTGGGAGGTGCAGGAGGCTCCTGAGCATCGTTTCTCAAGCAGCAGTTGAGTTGGAGAATGGCAGAAGTGGGCCTGAGGAGAAGGGATTGTGGCTGTTGGGTTATTTTTTGTATGTGGTTCCCCAAATCCCATCTCTGCCTTTGGAATGACTGGGATGTCTTTGCCAGCAATGGGGTGTTGAGTCCTGCCCTGCGTTCCCTCTGAGAGCCAAGCTTTCTTTTCCAGAGATAGGTGAAAGAATCATGGACTGGTTTGGGTTGGAAAGGACCTTAAAGCTCCAACCCCTTGCCATGGGCAGGGACAACTTCCATTGGAGCAGCTTGCTCCAAGCCCCTGTGTCCAACCTGGCCTTGAGCACTGCCAGGGATGGAGCATTCACAACCTGAAGAAGCCTGCGGGACTTATACTGGGGAATGAATCTGATGTTGACATCTCACATCACTGTTTTCCCTTTTAAATCAATCCAAGCTCTGGAGAACTGGACTCTGATGTGGGAAGGGAGAGGAAGAAGAGCTATTTCCAAGTAGCAAGTGGGTTCTAAAAAGGAGAAGCATCACTACAGGGTAGATTCCTCTTGGGCAGGGCTGCACAGCCCATGGAGGTAGGTGCAGACATGGAACAAGCTCACTTCCAACTTGGAAATACACCACTTTTGCTGGAAGTGCTCCTTGTTCTGCCTGCTGTGGTGGACACAGCAGGTAGAAACAGCAGGGAAACATCACTTGCTTTGGGTTTTTAGCTCATTTTGTAGCCTTATGCTTCCAGGAGCCCTGCTTTAGGCTGGTGACAGTCCCCAGCAGAGCCAGCTCCCATTGCTAACCAGTCTTCTCTCCTGTTTGCTCTGCAGGCTGAGTTCAGCAACAGAAACCTCCTCCACGAGCCCTGCTCCATCCTCTGTGATCCCCAGCAGCACGACACCCAGTGCTTTCCATGCCCTGCAGAGCAGGCTGGTGGCCAGCAGCACCCACTGCCTGCAGGCCCAGCCGGCCAGTACCCTCCAAGGTACCTGCCTCTCTCCATGTCTCTTGTGAATGTAAAAGGTAAAGCAGGTTCAGAATGGTTTGGTGGATCCTTTCTTGCATTCCCTGATTGCTTTGGGTTTGGCTGAGGCAGCGTTTGAGATCCCATGGGATGCATTGAGTGATGCTGGAGGTGCAGGGGGTGACTTGTTAATTGTGTCACTTCTATGTCATGATGCTTTGAGACACCAGAACTGACCTCTTCTTGCTCCCAGGTCTCACATCTAACCTCACTGGTAGCTGCAGCAGTGAAATGGGTTGGACTGTGTGTGTAGAGTGGCTGGGAGGATCCCAACCTCGAGGCGGGCTGCTTGGGATGCTCCTCTTTAAGGAACAGCTTTGCAGTTGCCTGCCATACAGCACACCTGGCACTCCATCGTGCTGCTGAATTCTCCAAGCCTGATGGTGTTAACTGCATTTGTTTTTAGGAGCAGCATCTGCCAGCAGCCTGCTGCAAGGGCTGAGCTTCAGCCTGCAGGACATTGGGACCAAGTCATCTCCCCTTCCAGCCAGTGTGGCTGCTGCTGGGCAGCCCGTGCAGGTATGCAGCTTCCAGGTATCAGGGATCCCATGCTGGAGGGAAGCTCTGAGCAGGGTAAAGGAGTCAAAGGGGATCCCTCATAGGCCCTGTTTGCTTCAGAACTAGAAGGGATGATGGGGTAGGTATGAACTGCAGTGCATCCAAGCCCTGGCAGCCTGCAGATGTGAGATAAGGGTTCCAGTGATGAGGTCTAGGAAGCAGGGCTGGAGGGTTTTCAGCTAGAAAATGATGGGAAGGAGATGGAGGATGAACTGGGGGGATCTGTGTTCTTACATGGAGACATACCTGTGGTGTCTCAGGCAACTTCAGCTGGAGATAAGCCCATTCAGCACTGGTGGCTTCCTTAGAACAGGAGCCAGTTTCTACCAGTCACGTTGAAACAGGGACATGCAGACTGGAAGGGATGCATTCACTTGCATTTAGATCTCCTTGTGGCCACCAGGATGACGTGTGGAGACCCTAAAGACCTCTGGCTTCCTTCCAGGTTCTCACTGCTTCTGCTTCTCCTTCCAGACCTCAGCTGTGAAGACACCTGCACCTATGCAGAACCTCAGTGCTATAACCACAGACACCAGCACCATTGTCCGCACCATCCCGGTTGCCACCTCTCTGTCCTTGGGAGCCTCAGCGGGTGGGAAGCCCACGGCCATTCACCAGCTGCTGACAAATGGGGGCCTGGCCAAGCTGGCTAGCAGTCTCCCTGGCCTGGCTCAGATCTCCAACCAGGCAGCAGGTGAGGGACAAGGGGGACAGGGGTGCCTGAAGCACCCCATCACCTCAAGACCAGTGTTTCTAAAGCTTATTTAGAGCTGTAGCTGGGGGATTCCTGAGCATGGGAAAAGGCTTCTGATGCCCCCAGGTTGGTGAACGTGGCCTCCATGTGTCTCAGGAACGTGTTGCTCCTGTGTTTTCCAGGCTTGAAGGCCCCCACGACCATTACTGTGACGCTGCGAGGGCAGCCCAGCCGTGTGACCACCCTGAGCCAGGCTGCCATGGGCACTGTGCAGCCCCAGCTGGAGGAGCAGGCAATGCACACACAGGCACCTCAGGTAACTTCTGGCATCTCCCTGTAAGGAACGTGTCCACTGCTGCTCTTGTGAGCTTCTGACCATCCCAGTCAAGGGCTGTTGTTGGGGGAAGTGTCCCTGGTGATGTCTGTTGGGTGTCATGAGCATTTTGAGGCTGCACAGAAAGGACACCCCTTTATGTCTGTTAGCAGCAGGGTTGATTGTGCTCCATAGCACAGTAGTGCCACACTGAGGAAACCTCCAGCTGGACTCCAAAAGCTGACATCAGCACAGGATTTGTTCCTAAAGCTCCAGGTTTTGGCAGAGATAGGTTTTGGTGGCAGGAGGAAAGCTCCTACCTGTGTGTTCAGGCAGGAGAGTTGGGTTCTTGAAGATGCTGCTTCGGACTGTTATAGAATCAACCACGCTGGAAAAGAGCTTTAAGCTCATCCGGTCCAACCGCTCCCAGCCCTGTCAAGGCCACCCCTTAACCCATGGCACTGAGGGGGTGTGAGCACTTGCAGGGACCCTGCCCTGGGCAGCCTGTTCCAATGCCTGAGCACCCTCTGGGGCAGGAATTGTTCCTCAGCTCCATCTAACCCTGCCCTGGTGCAGCTTGAGGCCGGTTCCTCTTGTCCCATCCCTTGTTCCTTGGGAGCAGAGCCCAGCCCCTCCTGGCTCCATCCTCCTGTCAGGCAGTTGGAGGCAGCCATCAGGTCCCCCCTGAGCCTTCTCTTCTCCATCTGAGCCCCCCAGGTCCCTCAGCCGTTCCCCATCACCCCTGTGCTCCAGGCCCTGCTCCAGCTCCATTCCCTTCTCTGGCCCCGCTCCAGCCCCTCAATGTCTCTCTTATAGTGAGGGCCCCAGAGCTGAACACAGGGTTCAAGGTGCAGCCCCCCCAGTCACAATCCCTGCCCTGCCCCTGCTGCCGCACTGGTGCTGCTCCAGGCCAGGATGCTGGGGGCTGCCTGGGCACAAGCTGCTCATGCTCAGCTCTGTCAGCAAAGTAGATGCCCTGTTGTGAGGCTGTGGATGTTTGGGATACTGCACTGTTACCTTCTCCATGACCCCAGTTCCTGCTCCTTCTTGCTGCTGTGCTGCTAAAACCCATTTATGGAGTGCTGAGTGTGTGCTCCAAGGTGGTAACTGTTGGATACAAGTCTCCTCTTGAAGGTGGATCACTGACAGTTAGGAAAAGGTCTCAATATCTGGACTTCCGACACATGCCAGGTAGCTCTCAAGGAGCCCAGCTGCCTTCTGGCTTCCCAGGTTAAGTTTTGGTGTGGTTGAGTTGAAAGTCAAAGGTGCTGAGTCAGAGAGGGGTTTCTGTTGTGAATGTAGTGGTCTTGGACACTGTAACATGGGCAGTGCCACAGCTTCTCTGGGCACCCTGTGCCAGCGCCTCAGCACCCTCACAGGGAAGAGCTTCTGCCTAAGAGCTCAGCTCAGTCTCCCCTCGGGCAGGTTCAAGCCATTCCCCTTGGCCTGTCCCTCCATCCCTTGTCCCAAGCCCCTCTCCAGGTTCCCTGCAGCCCCTTTAGGCACTGGAGCTGCTCTAAGGTCTCCCCTTCAGGAGCCTTCTCTTCTCCAGGCTGCCCCAGCCCAGCTCTCTCAGCCTGGCTCCAGAGCAGAGCTGCTCCAGCCCTCGCAGCAGCTCCATGGCCTCTCTCCAACAGCTCCAGGTCCCTCTGGTGCTTCTGCCCCAGAGCTGGACACCCTTGATCTCATTGAGCTTCTCCTCACCCAAAACCCCCAACTCCTTCTCCTCAAGGCTGCTCCATCCAGCCTGTGCTTGTGCTTGGAACTGCCCTGACCCAGGGGCAGCACCTTACCTTTTGGACTCCATGAGGTTTGCATGGTCCCATCTCTCCAGCCTGTCCAGGTCCCTCTGGATCCCATCCCTTCCCTACAATGTGTTGCCAGCACCACGCAGCTCAGTGTCCTGGGCAAACTTGCTGAGGGTGCTCAATCCCATGTCTGTGTCACCAGCCAAGATGCTTTCATTCTTCTTCATCTGTGTTGGACACGGTTTTTGTGCTCTTCAGAGGCTGTTTAACCAACCATCAGAACTCATATGCTCTCCTTTGTTACCTTTGAGGGACCCTCAGTGTCCAGCAGCACAGTGACTGCACAGTGATGAAGCCTGGTGCAGATACTCCAGGGAGAGCAGCATTACATACAGGTTAATGTTCAAGGCTCTTGGAACTGGATATTGGCTCACACACTGTGACTTCCCCCTGCAGTGCTGAGCTTGTGTGCTTAAGGTAGGGCTTCATTGTGCAGCGGGCTGGGAGAGCTTCACAAGCAAAGTGAAAGCTGTGTGTTACAGGAAATGGCATGAGCTCTGTGTGTTTGGAACTAATTATAGCCCCTGACATCAGCTCCCTGGCCCTTTAGCACACAGGATTGGGCAATCTCACAGGGCTTCCTGTAAAAGAGCCCATTTACACAAGGCTTTGGGGGAGAACTGAGGGCTCAGACGTGTGTTTTCAGCAGTAGCTGGTGTTGGTTGGGTTCCCTTTGACATTCCAGCTGTGCCGTGGCTGGGCACTGTGGTTCTTCACCTCCAGGGGCTGGGTGATGCCTGTAGCAGGGCTGCAGTCTGATGGGTCACCCATTGAACCAGGAGGTGGGAGACTGAGGACTCTCCCTGGGGTGTTCGGTGCAGATGCTTTCAGTGAGCAGCAGCAAGAGTGTTTGGGTGGCTTTAAAATGAAAATGCAAGTGAGCTTCAGCTCCTCTCCTCAAGCAATTGCTCCACAGAGTGCTTTGAACACTTTCTGTATGGGCTCCCCCCTTGCAGCTGGTTATATCCTGATAGTAGCTCCCTAAAGCGTGGAGTGATGCTGATGCTGGATCACACTCTTGTGGCACAAACATCTCCACAGCAGTGACTGGAGCTGCAAGCTGAGGCCGTGCTTTGAGCTTTGGGCAGGAGCCTCCTTTGGATAGCACAAGGGGAGCCGTGGTCCAGCCCTTGCTGCTGCACAGGGCATGGCAGAGCAGGCTGTGACCTGCCTGGGCATCAGTGGGGGGCTCAGACTGGAGCTTGAGCTGTGCTTGTCAGTGGTAGAGGGCTGTGAGCAAGCTGGCTTAGAGGAGTCTGACTGGAGAGGTGAGCATCTGCTTTTGGAGCTGGGAAAGCTGCTTTGGAGCTTGAACTCTGTCAGCTCAGGGCTGTGAGGGCCCCCAGGTTGAGCCCAGGAGCACACACACCACCAGCTCTCTGTGGTACCTGACTGCAGATGCACCCAGGCAGAGTTCAGGCAAGTGAAGCAGCTCCAGAAGCACTTGAAGAACCTCTTGAATGGGGAGTTTCCAGGTATTCCACTGCAGCTGATGAGTGCTCCCCAGGACGTGCCACCATCAGAGGGATTTGTACATCATCAAGCAAGAGGGAAGCTCTTCTGATGCAGAGAATGGTGTGTGCTGATGCAGGTTTCACTGGTGCCACTGGTCAGAGCGTGTCACTCTTCCAAGTGGGTCTGCACTTGGGAGGATCAGTCCTGAGCTCCTGGCTGTTGCTGTGCTATTAATGCAGAGGGTTAATCACGAGCAGGAATGATTTCCCTGACAGCAGAGATGGAATAGAGGAGGAGGAGGATAGAATAGAGGTGGAATAGAGAACAGAATAGAGAAGGAATAGAGCCACCCTGTTCCCCTCTGGAATAAGGCAGTGAATTAGTGCTGGTCTTGGTAATGCCAGGTTGGAGCAAGGAGGATGTGCTCTGCTGTGTTAGGTGAGGTCTAGCACATCTCCCCCCATGCTGTACCCTCCATAGGGGCCATTTCCAGCAGCTCTCCCTTACTTTAACCCTTCCAGGCTCCAGACTGTGCTGGTGGGAACGTGGGCGGCCCAGCCTCCAGCGCCACCTCTCCTGGCCAGCTGCTGCCTCACATGGATCTCAGCAAAGCCCAGGCTGGTGCAGAGATGGCTCCTGCCGACCCCGTGGCAGCACCCGTAGGTGAGGCGCATGGTGCTCGTGGGGATGGGTTGGAGCTGTGCCCATGGAAACCAGGGAGGATCCCCAATGGCTTCTCTGCACCAGGAGTTGGGGCTCGGGGCAGCCGTTTGTGAGCAGGGTGTGAGGCTGGAGCCCCTGCAGTTTGTGGTGAGGGCCCTGTCATCATCTTGTGCTGCCCAGCCTTGGGAGAGCAGACCCATCTACCTACAGCTAAAGCAATGCTGAGAGCCACTCCCCAGCCTTACAGCCTTACACTTAAACCTGACACAAAGCAGTGGTGTGGTCCATTGCATCCTCAAAGGCTCCATTGCATCCTCAAAGGCTCCATTGCATCCTCAAAGGCTCCATTGCATCCTCAAAAGCACCTTCTGTACCAAAGAGCCTGCTGCTGAGCCAAAGCTTTCCTTTCTCTTGGTCCAGCTGATTTCCAAGTGTCACTGGGAGCTGTAGTCAGCACTCGGGCTGGATCTGGTGGATGGGGCTTACTGTGGCTGTGCCAGTTGCCCAGAAGGCCAAAGGGGCAGCTCTGTGATGCCTGGGTTTTACCTGGCAGGAATTAAACCCAAGTGATTGATTCTGAAGCCACTCAAACTCAGCAGAGAGGTGCAGAAGCACTGGGTATAAATGGACTTGAGTGTGGCTTTTGTGTTCCTTTTGTTACCAGAGCCAGTGGGTGAAGTTAGACCTGTGGAGAACTTCAGCTGCTTCCACTGGAGGTTCAGGTTGGCTTCATGGACACAGGGAGGATCAGTGTGTGAGAGCTGCTGGAGCTGCAGGGTTTTAGTGCAGGAAACGTTCCACGTTGTTTCATGGAGCAGTCATTGCTGATGGCAACAGCATCATCACATCTGGGTGCTGCTTCCCCAGCCTGCATGGGGTGGCTGGAGTCGCCTGTTTCCACATGGAGCTCAGGATGGGGGGGTCACTGGTCCCATCCTGGTTAGGCAGTTGTTGTCAGCCTTTGTTCTGCGTCCTCCTCACTCGAGGCACTTCATAAGGGACAGTTTCACACTGCACTGGGGGGGGTTGTGGCACAGTGACACCGCTGATGAGTGGGAGGAATCCTTTGGTGCTGCTGTATCGGAGAGTATAAAACCACAGAGTGGTTGGGTTGGGTTGAAGGGACCTTAAAGCTCCTCCAGCTCCAACCCCTGCCACAGGCAGGGACCCCTTCCACTGGAGCAGCTTGCTCCAAGCCCCTGTGTCCAACCTGGCCTTGAGCACTGCCAGGGATGGGGCAGCCACAGCTTCTCTGGGCACCCTGTGCCAGCGCCTCAGCACCCTCACAGGGAAGAGCTTCTGCCTCAGAGCTCAGCTCAGTCTCCCCTCGGGCAGGTTCAAGCCATTCCCCTTGGCCTGTCCCTACAGGCCCTTGTCCCAAGCCCCTCTCCAGGTTTCCTGCAGCCCCTTTAGGCACTGGAGCTGCTCTAAGGTCTCCCCTTCAGGAGCCTTCTCTTCTCCAGGCTGCCCCAGCCCAGCTCTCTCAGCCTGGCTCCAGAGCAGAGCTGCTCCAGCCCTCCCAGCATCTCCACGGCCTCCTCTGCACTCACTCCACAGCTCCAGGTCCCTCTGGTGTTGGATTCTGATGCTGAGATGTGCTGCTGCTGCCAGGTGATGTGCTGTATGTGCTGCTTTCCACTCCTTGATGCACATTCCCAAGGGATGGAGCCAACTCTGGAGACTGCAGGGGCAAACCATGGGCTGCTCCAGGCTGGGGTCTTCGTGGTCCATATTGTCTTTAACCAGCAGCAGGTCTCCAGGCTTTTTCCCCCATCCCTTGAGCTCGTCTAAACCCAGTGATCAGGTTCTCTTGGTCTCTCTCCCCTCTGTTGCTCTTTGGGCTGTGGAGATGACTTGGATGGGGTAAGAACCTCTGCCTTTGCCTTAGCACTCAGAGGGCTTCATTGCACAAAGTCTTTTAGCTGCTTCCCGGGGTGCAGCATGATGAGGGTCTGAGCATCCCAGTGCTGCCTGCGGGATGGAGCTGGAGGTCCTATGAAGTGTGGTACCTCAAGCCAGGCCATGGAGAGCATCATGAGCTCAGTGTGGTCTGTATGGAGCGTGCTTGCCTGAGGAAGAGCCATGACACCCTGTCCCAGCAGGAGAGGACTTCTGTTGGGAGAAGCTCAGGCACTGCAGGAAGAAAGGAGCCTTCCTTTGGGGGGTCTGGGTGGTTTTGGAGAGGAGCGGGCTGATGGTGCCCATAGTTTGGCTGTTGTGGTTTCCTTGCCCAGGCTGTGATGGTGCTGGTGTTGGTTTGGGGGTCAAGGACAAGACCAGGGCTTCTGTTCAGTGTGAGTAGCTGTGCCAGTGCCACTTGGGGCAGCAGCCGTGTGGCATCATGTCCCTGTGGGCACTGATGGTGCTGTCCCCTTCTCCACAGTGACCAGCACCAGCCCCATGAAGACGCTGTACGTCATGTCGGATGCGAAGCTGTCTGCACTGACCAAGTCTGTGTTGGCTGAGGCTACCTCCGTTCCCCTCAAGCTGCCGAGCATCCAGCCTTCCTCCTCCTCCTCCTCTTCCACCACCTCTGCCACCGGTGCTGGTACCCTTGCCAGCACCCCCAGCCCTCCCAGCAGCCTGATGCACTCGAAGGTCCTGCAGACTGCTTCCAAGACGCTCATCCTGACCTCAGCACTGGCCACGGTGAAGGGTGATGGAGCCCTGGGACACAGCGGGGAGAAGGGCACCTTGACCAAGAGCACTGCAGCCCTTGGCCATGCTCTGGGGGCAGTGGAGACCCTGGGGAGGGTTCCCTCTGTGGTGGACGAGGGGAGCACCATCATCCACAGCAGAGAGGCTCTGGCCAGCAGGCAGTTGCTATCCCAAGGGCTGCTGCCAGGAGGGGCCGGTACCACGCTCATAACACTGGGCAGCAGCTCCTCCATCATCGCCACGGCAGGGCCCACGCTCAGCCAGAAGCCATAGGGACCCCCAGGATCCCCATGGATCCACAACTGGCACTTGGGAAGACTGAGCTCGACTGCGGAGTGGGATTGGAGCAGCCCCATGGGACAAGCTTGGGCTGGAGCAAAGCAGGGGGGATGTTGAAGTGGTTTTGTTGCTGTTTAATAAACCTTTCCTTTTCTTGTTCTCTGCTCCCCTCATTGCCCACGTCCCTTCCCAAAGCAGCTTCAGGGTATCCCAAAGCAGCTTCAGGGTATCCCAAAGCAGCTTCAGGGTATCCCAAAGCAGCTTCAGGGTATCCCAAAGCAGCTTCAGGGTATCCCAAAGCAGCTTCAGGGTATCCCAAAGCAGCTTCAGGGTATCCCAGCCCTCGCCTGCTTTTCCCAGCAGCTCGTGTTTGAAACAAGGGAAGCAGCAGAAGGGCCCTGAGCCATAGAGTGGGTGCTGAGATGATGAGGTGAGGCCGAGATGGGCACCATGGTTTGGATAAATGTGTTCCCCCCCGCACAGAGCTTATGGCTGTGAATTGGTTTCTGTGGGAATCGGGGATAATCCCGATGCTCTGTGTGTCTCCATCCCATTCTGCAGCTCTTGAATCCTGCTTCCCAAAAGGGATGTGGGGTGTGATGCAGCATTTGCTGGCCAAGATGCTTTTGGGGAGCACAATTCCCATAGTGCCGGGTCAGCCCCGAGGGCAGCGTGTTGCCAGCATCTCTGCTCACTTCCTCATCCTGATGCTCATGAGAAGATCCCATTTTTGGCCAGGACAGGACCCACTATGGCAGGAACAGGGAGGACGCTGTGGTTTGGGAATCATTCCTACAAATGGAGCAGGAGAATAAGAGGTTTCCTTGAGGAGGAGGAGGAGGATGCTCTGAGTCCTTCCCTACCCCTCCTGGGCTACACATGCGCTGCTCCGGACCCCATCCAGCTGCTGGGGACTGTCCCCCTTTGTCTCCATCACCACCACCATGAAGAGCAGCAGCCTTGAGGGTCTGCTGTTGACTGAGGGGTTTTTAACAGCTCAAGCATCTCTTCCAGGCTTGAAGTCCCAGTTCCTCAGCTGCAATGATGCTAACACAGCTGAGCCCCCTCAGGGATGCGGCATCTCCAGTGGCCTCGCTCCCAGGCATGGGTGCAGCTCTCCATGGGAAGACTCCAGTCCCGTGGCCATGTCCATGAACCAGGTTCATGGGATGTGATTTGGCAGAGAAGCTCCTGGGGCGGTCTGCAGTGGCTGTAAAGGATGGAGGATCCAGGAGTGCTTGGGACCTTGGTGCTGCTCTTCCCAAGTCCAACGCTTCAGGTGTCACGGAGCGACCGGTGCTGCATGGGGCTAATTCTCCTCTTTCAATTTATACCCCAAAGCTTTTCCTTTCCATGGAGACAGCAGAAATGGTGCTTAGAAGCTGACGTAGAGCTCCTGCTCCACCTGAAGGTGTAACCTTCACTGGGGACAAGCAAGTGCTGCTGTTTGTCCTGCCTGGCTTCAAGGGCACCAAGACAGCAATGAGCAGATGCATCCATGGGGTAGCCTGTAGCTCCAACAAAGCCCCTGGGTCACTTGCAACAGCTCGATGGGAGCTCCTCGAGGCAAAAAGCACCATGAGACAGCTGCAAGTCCCCCAAACCTGATGCAGAAAAGCCCCTCCAACCCCATGGCATCACCAAACACCTCTGGGGTCACTCCAGATGCAGGGATGCTCCCAAACCCTGCCCTGATCCAAGGACATCCCAAGGGCCACCAGGTCAGAACCATCCAGCATCTGGTCACTGCCTTTGCCCCTGTGGCCAGTTGAGGTGTGGAGCAGACACCCAACGTGGTCCCAACCCCTGAGGGACCCCTGGAGCTGGGATGGAGGCACCTTGGGAGGGTGCTGAGGCACAGGGTGCCCAGAGAAGCTGTGGCTGCCCCATCCCTGGCAGTGTTCACACTGGACACAGGGGCTCAGAGCAAGCTGCTCTATGGAAGGGGTCCCTGCCTGTGGCAGGGGTTGGAGCTGGAGGAGCTTTAAGGTCCCTTCCAACCCAAACCATTCCATGGTTCTATCCCTAGCAAAATAGAAACCTCCACAACTACTTTGCTCCCTTTTCTTTTATGTGTGTATGCATCTCTCTCTCTATATATAATATATATAACCTTGTGATATTGGTACTTAAGTCACCAGCATAACAAAGTGGATACAAAGCTCTAAGATCAAGAGTAAAAACACCACGATCCAGATGGTCTCCTCTCAGTCCCTTCGTTGCCACAGGCTCCAAAGCAGTTGCAGCATCCCAGCATCCCTCCTCCGCATGGAATGAGGTTGGTCCAGCACGGGGACAGCATCACTGCAGCTTGGCATGGCGATGGAAGGCCGGTACGTGCCGGGGGGTGGAATGGGGTTGGCTTTGCCACGTCGCTGCCCCATAGTGCCGGTGCCGCAGCGAGCTCTCGTAGGACACCGTGTAGTGCCTGGGGCCGGTGGCCACCAACGGGCTGGGGAAAGCAGGAATGATGAAGGGATTGATGGAGAGGGACGGTGCCACCGGCACCCCCTGCGTTTTGAGGTGCTCCAGCGGGTTCCCAAAGCTGCCTGGGAAATGCAGCATCGCTCCCTTGGAAGCGTCCGGGGCTTGCGGCAGCGGCGTGGTGTAGCCAGGGGTGGCCACCACGGCCTTGGGCTTGGCCAGGCCTTGCTGGCACCCAATGTCCTTGATGAAGGGGGACACAGCCCGTAACTTCACACTGGGGCTGAAGGCTGCCTCCTCATCCTCTTCCTCCTCCTCCTCCCCCCGGCCGTGCTTGCCCCTCATGGGGGTGACGCTGGCGCTGGGGGGCACCCAGCACCCCTTGACCGTGGCCACTTGCTCCCTGTCGCCACTCCACGACCGCCCCACTTTGCTCCGCAGGTCTTGGGGCTGCTCCTGCTCCTCGGCTCGGGGTGGGAAGCAGGAAGGGGGCTCCAGGAAGTCCTTCAAGCTGGAGAAACACCCCCAGAGCGGGGGGCAGCGGCCGGGGGGCAGCACCTCGCTGCGGTACGCATGGAAACAGCCGGTGAAGACAGCGGGCACCGGGCCTCCATCATCAACCCATGGGCAGGGCTTGGTGGCTGGACCAGAGCGGGATGCGCCGGTGATGGCTCCCACCTCGCTCCTCTGCTCATCGAGGTGGGAACTGGTGGCCATGGGCTTGGGGCTGGTGTCACCATTGGGGCGTTTGGGGCAGTGCAAGGACTCTGCCTTGCTCACCTGGGCCAGCAGCTTCTTCTTGGCCAGCGGGGACATGATGGGGGGGTTGCCTTTGGAGGAGAAGCTGGAGGGAAGGCGCTTGTAGGTTTCGCTGTGGGTCCTGCAGGGGTCAGGACACCCCCCCGAGGGGCTCAGGGCCACCGGGCTGGAGCATCCCTCTGCCACCCGGCCCCGCTCTGCATCCTCCGGGCCGGCTGCTGCCTCTGGCTTTGCCTTGTCCGGAGGCATCTGCAGGGAAAGGAGATGGGGATGTGGTTACCGGGCTCCCTGACCCCCTCTGTTCTCTTTTCCCAACCAGCCAAATCCCTCCTTGCTCTGTTCCAGTCACCCCAGTGAGATATGGGGTGCTCCCAAACCAGAACCAGGCTACGAGGGGGCACCATACCTGCTCCCGGCCCTTCTCCTTCTTGCCCCTCTTGCCCTTCTCGCCCATCTCGGTGCCCTTGGAGACCTTGTACTGCTTGCGGGGCTTGCTGGGGGGCAGAGGTTTGTCATCCTCCCCCTTGAGATGCCGCACGTAGGGGAGGACCAGCCTGTGGTGAGGAGCAAGGGGGGGGGGTTCAGCAGTGAGAACCAGCACCGGGAGGGGAAACTGAGGCACGGAGCCGACCCCTCCTGTCCCTACCTCTCGTAGTGGCGCCGGGTGCAGGTGGCAGCGCTGGTGCTGCCGGGGCTGCCCCCGAGCTCATCGTAGACGTTCTTCCAGAGCCGTCGCCCCGTTACCTGCGATGGGAGGGGATGGGTGAGCATCACCCCCCCACCACCACCACCACCCCCCCCCAGGACCATGCCGGTACTGGGGGGACATCACTCACCAGCTCATAGGCCCCCAGCTTCTCCACGGCTTTGTAGATCTTCCAGAGGTTAACTGGGAATAGAGAGGAGATGATGGGGTCAGGGGGATATGGGGCAGGCACCGGTAGCTCCTCCAGCCCCATGGTGGGGGGGGACGTACTCTGCTTGAAGCCGAGGTGGGGGATCCTCTCTATGGGTGTGTGTCGGTCCTTCATGAACTTATAGAGGCTGATGAGGAAGGCTTCCTCCTCCTCCTTCTCCTTCTCCTTCTCCTTGCTGCTCGTTGCTTCCTCCATCGGCTTCTCCTCGGAGCCATCCCCAGCGACCGGAGCCTCCTGTGGGACACAGTGGTGAGAAGAGAAGGGGAAACTGAGGCAGCACCAAAGCATCCCTGGGGCCGCTTCTTAAAGGCATTTAATGAGCTCTCAATTCGTTAACAGCAGCCCCGGGACCAGGGCCAAGTTGGTCAAAGCGCTGGAACGGGGCGAGAACACGAGGAACGGCTTCCAGGAAAACAGACGGGCAGGAATTCCCCCTTTCCCTCCTCCTTTCTCCCATTAAAAACGATCCTCGTTTGTTTGTTCCACATTTTCCGGAGTTAGAAAACTTGTTGCTATTTTTGGGCAAAAGCAGCTGCTCGGCTCCCGAACTCCTTTTATTGTGTGTGTGGGGGGGGGTGGTTTTTTTTGCCCTTAAATTCTTCTTTTTTAGGCTTGCGGCAGACGTGGAATTTTCAGGGAACTATTTTAAGGCTTTGGTTTAGTTTGAAATAAGAGAAAAACAACGTTGGAAGGGGGAAAAAAATACCCATTTCTATGCTAAACCCCCTTATCTGTAAAAAATCAGACCCATTTTTCACCCCCAAACCCACCCTTTTTTTGGCTATTTCCCCCCTTCTTCCTCATCGATGCTTATATGGGGTGTGGGGTGTCAGCATCCTCATCCGACTCACCGTTCCAGGGGGCTCTTGGGGGGCTCGGGGCTGCGCTGGGGTGTCCTCCATGGGGCGGCGGGGGGGTTTAGGAGGGGTTCTGCGAAAGAGGGGTAAAGAAGGGGAGGATCAGACACCCCAAATATTAAGGCTAAATTGGGGGTTTGGGTCACGGTGGGTACCACCGTGCCCTTAAGATGCTCCCTTGTGTTCATCCCCCCCTAAATTTGGGGTAACCCCCCCTTGACACCCCAAATTCAACCACCCCCCCCCTTTTTCCCACGCCGCTCCCGCTCACCCACCGCCGGCGCGCCATGTGATTGCAGGGCGCGCCCGCGGGGCGGAGAAGCCACTCCCCCTCCGCCCGCCTATTGGCCAGCGCCGCCACGCCCCCTTCTCCTATTGGACAGAGGGGCCGCTCGTCTTCCCGCGCCTCCCGCCCTGCTATAAGCCATGCAGGGAGTTGTATTCCCGCGTGTGCACACGTGTGTGCGCGTCATGCGTGTACATGCGTGTTCACACATGTATGTTCAGCTGCTGGCGTGTGTCTCTACATGTATCAAGCGTGTTCATGTCTTTTGCGTGTGTGTGTGTAAGCACACATGTGCCCAAGCGTGTTCACAAGCGCCGCTATGTGTGTGCATGTGAACACACACAGGCACGTACACGTGAGTACATGCTTATGTACATGTATGTGCGGGTGAATACACACATGTGAGCGCCCTCATGGCCAGGTGGGCACGTGTGTGCATGGCTACAGGTGACCACACGCATGTGGGTGCGTGTCATGGCACGGGGGTGCACAGAGGCTGTGCTCTGTGTGTGTGTGTGCACACAGATACATGTGATGTACATGTATGTCATGTCCCTACATGCCCCAGCCGTGATTGCACGTCTCAGACACAGTTCCCGGCACCGCTGACGTGATTTCCTCATGCAGGAAACACAGGAAAGTGGGGGGGGGGGTGATGATGCCGGGGATCTTTTGGGGTGAAAATCAACCAGTTTGGGGCTAAAAGCACCCGGTAAGTGACTGAGCCGAGTGGCGTCCAACCCAATGCGTTTGGGGCTGAAGGTGCCACTGGGGCTGTAATTAAACTTAACATGATCACAATTAACGGTGCTGGGTTGAGACCGGCCCAACTCATCCCATGTCCCCCCCCCAACGCCCCGCACACCCGTCGGGACTCGCACCCCTTCCTTCCCCCCCCCCCCCAGGCCCATTTGCCCTCATTTTGTCTCTTTTCGCCCCAAATTCACATGCAAGTGCCCCGAGCGTCACGGCTCGGAATAGCTCCGGAGCCGCGCCAAGCCGTGACGGCGGCTGAGTAATGGGGTTGAAGTCATCCCTTCCCCGGCCCCGGAGTGAAAATAACCCCTGACATCACCCAGCGCCTGCTGCGGAAGCGGGAGAAGGGGCTTTGGGGTGCGGGTGTCCCCATGGGGTGAAGCGGAGGGGAGGGGGGCACCCCCTTTATCCCTTCTTGGCTTTGGGGTTCGCACCCCCCGATGCTTTGTGCTCAGTTCATGGGATGGGGACAGGGGTTGGGAACGGGTGACAGGAAACGGGACCCCCCCCTCTCCCCTCTATGGGTACTCACCGGCTCCGGAGCGGTGTCCGAGCGGCTCATGGGGCGGCCGGAGGAAGAGCTGTGTCTGTGCTGGTGTAACTGGGGCTGAGTCATCCCCCACTCAGGGAAGTGGCGTCTTGGCGTGTGCGGGTGACTCTTTCGTTACCGGAACCGAGGGGTGTTTTGGGGCTCTCACCCCGCCGCAGCCCCGCACCTCCCCGAATGACTGCACCGGACTTTCCAGCTCAATCCCCGCCCCTCGCTCGGTGCTGGCGATGCGGTGGCACCGGGGCTTTGCGGATACGGATGCGGTGCCCCTGGGTGGGATGCTCGTGGGGAGGTGGTCCTGGTCCCCCTGCTTCGCTGGGCACCATCCTGCAAGCGGGGATGGAGTCACCGGTGTGCCCAGGGCTGAGCATCACCCTGTCAATGGGGATGGAGTCACCGGTGTGCCCAGGGCTGAGCATCACCCTGTCAATGGGGATGGAGTCACCGGTGTCCTCAGAGCTGAGCATCACCCTGCAAACAGGGGTAAAGCCACCAGTGTCCCCTGCAAAGGGAGGTGGAGTCACTGGTGTCCCAGAGCTGAGCATCACCCTGTCAATAGGGATGAAGCCATTGGTGTCCCCAGAGCTGAGCATCACCCTGTCAATGGGGATGGAGTCATTGGTGTCCCAGAGCTGAGCATCACCCTGTCAATGGGGATGAAGCCATTGGTGTCCCCAGAGCTGAGCATCACCCTGTCAATAGGGATGAAGCCATTGGTGTCCCCAGAGCTGAGCATCACCCTGTCAATAGGGATGAAGCCATTGGTGTCCCCAGAGCTGAGCATCACCCTGTCAATGGGGATGAAGCCATTGGTGTCCCCAGAGCTGAGCATCACCCTGTCAATAGGGATGAAGCCATTGGTGTCCCCAGAGCTGAGCATCACCCTGTCAATGGGGATGAAACCATTGGTGTCCCAGAGCTGAGCATCACCCTGTCCATGGGGACGGAGTCACTGGTGTCCCCAGAGCTGAGCATCACCCTGTCAATAGGGATGAAACCATTGGTGTCCCCAGAGCTGAGCATCACCCTGTCAATAGGGATGAAGCCATTGGTGTCCCCAGAGCTGAGCATCACCGTGTCAATGGGGATGGAGTCACTGGTGTCCCCAGAGCTGAGCATCACCCTGTCAATGGGGATGGAGTCACTGGTGTCCCCAGAGCTGAGCATCACCCTGTCAATAGGGATGAAGCCATTGGTGTCCCCAGAGCTGAGCATCACCCTGTCAATCGGGATGGAGTCACTGGTGTCCCAGAGCTGAGCATCACCCTGTCCATGGGGATGGAGTCACTGGTGTCCCCAGAGCTGAGCATCACCCTGTCAATAGGGATGAAGCCATTGGTGTCCCCAGAGCTGAGCATCACCCTGTCAATAGGGATGAAGCCATTGGTGTCCCAGAGCTGAGCATCACCCTGTCAATGGGGATGAAGCCATTGGTGTCCCAGAGCTGAGCATCACCCTGTCAATGGGGATGAAGCCATTGGTGTCCCAGAGCTGAGCATCACCCTGTCAATGGGGATGAAGCCATTGGTGTCCCAGAGCTGAGCATCACCCTGTCAATAGGGATGAAGCCATTGGTGTCCCCAGAGCTGAGCATCACCCTACAAACAGGGATGGAACCACCAGTGTCCCCTGCAAAGGGAGATGGAGTCACTGGTGTCCCCAGAGCTGAGCATCACCCTGCAATGGAGCCCTCTGCACCACTTGGACACTGGGTACCACTTTCCAGGGCCACTTGTCCCTTGTCCCCAGCTGAGGCATCTCAAAGGGATGTGGCTGGATCCCCAAGGGGCTGGAAGCAGAGAGCACCCATCGGTGCTCAACCCCATAGCAGCCCCCTGAGAATCCCCACCGGGGCCAGTTTGTGAGAGAGTCAAAGAGAAATCCCCCAGTGACTCATTTGGGGCCAGCAGTTGGAGAAAGCAGAAGCAGGGGAGGCCCGTGGGGGGGGGCAGCATCTGCCTCCTGTGTCCCCCCCTTCCTTGGGGCTGGAAAAGGGGGTGAAGGAACCCGAGGTGCCATTGCCCCTCTTGGTGCAGGAGCGCGCCCGCAGCCACCTCAGTAATGATGTGATTTGGTGAAAACAGGCAAAACCCCCCCAAAACCTCCCCCATTTGGGGTTTTGTCCAGTTTCTCTTTGAGCAGAATGGGGGGGGTTCAGTGTTTAGGGGGTAGAAACCCCCTTGGTTTAGGGGAGCAGACAGAGCTGGATCCCTTTGGGTGCTGCTGCAGGTTTGGGTGCCCCCATTGAGAGGGGGCTTCAAATGAGGTGCCAACAGCTTGCACCCCAAGCATCAGCCTGACCATGAGGGGCTGTGCATGGAAGGTTAATTAGTGGGGCACTAATAAGGTTTAATGACCCCACCTGGGGTGACCCAGCCCCAGTGGGACCTATTTAAGCTCAGCCACAGAGCCTGGTGCTGTGGATGTATGGATTCATGGGGATGGGTGTCTATGGGTGTCTATGGGTGTCTATGGGTGTCTATGGGTGTCTATGGGTGTCTATGGGTGTCTATGGGTGTCTATGGGTGTCTATGGGTGTCTATGGGTGTCTATGGGTGTCTATGGGTGTCTATGGGTGGGTGTGGAAAAGAGAAAGAAGAGGGAAAAGTTTGGGATGGAGGAAAAGGAGAAGGAAAAGGAGAAAAAAGAAGGAGATGAAGGAGAAGGGGATGAAATCCTGGTTGCTGCTTGGGATCTGGCGCATCCAGGGCCATAAAGGACCGTGCACCCACAGAAGGATGCTGGGGACCCCCATAGACCCCTTTGGTGGGATGCAGGGGGTGAGCACAAGGGTGGGATGTGATGGAGCATCAATGTCTCCTTTTGGCACCTCGGTCTCATGGCACCTCCTGTGCGGGCCGGGGCAGCCCCTTCCTGCTGCAGAGGGAGGAGGAGGAGTGATGCTGCTGTGATGCTCTGAGGGTGCTGGTGCTGCAGCTCCGGCCCCAGGACCCCGTTCTCCGCATGGAGGTGCCCCCATGGCTTTCCTCCGCAGGCTCTTTGGCTCTGGGGAGAAGAAGAAGCCCCCGAAGCAGCACGAGCGCATCAGGAGGGACGCGGACCCCGAGGAGACCTGGCTGCTGCTGGGGGAGCTGGGGGATGGCGCCTTCGGCAAGGTCTTTAAGGTAGGAGAACCCCCCCGAGACCCCACCGGGGCCCTGTGGCAGGGTCCATGCGCATCATCGCTGGTCCCCATCCCTGTCCCTTGGCACGGGGACAGCTCTGGGTTGGGTGAGGGGCTGAGATGGGAGGTTCTAACCCAAAACCACAGCGAGGAGCCTGAGCGTGGCAGGAAACCCAACATCTTCCGGCACCGGGGGTTCAGTGATGGGTCCGCTCCTGTGGGGCCTGCCCCAGCCTCACTGGGATCAACTTAAATCCAACCTGAACCTCCCCTGTTTCAGTTGGAACCCATCACCCCTTGCCCTATCACTCTGGTGAAGGGTCCATACAGCATCCACACAAGGGGGATGCTCCATGCTCTGGGACATGCAGGGCGGCACAGCCACATCACCCTTGGGGTGACCACACATCCCTCTGCATCCCATCCCTGGTGACAGCGGGGTCCTGGCGTTTGCCTTGGTGGCACCAAGCACCAGGGGTGGGATGTGATGGGTCCAAGCTTCCCCCTCACCATAAACCATGGGGCCGCTGCTTTGGTACCCACATCAAACCTCCCCTCCCCAGGCACAGAACAGGGTGACGGGGGCCCTGGCAGCCGCTAAGGTCATTGATGCCCCGAGTGAGGAGGAGCTGGAGGACCACGTGGTGGAGATTGAGATCTTGGCCTGCTGCGACCACCCCAACATCACCAAGCTGCTGGATGCGCTCTATTGGGACGGGCGGCTCTGGGTGAGTGTTGGTCCCACCATCAAGGGCACGGAGCAGGGTCCCACCACCGGGGCACGGAGCAGGGTCCCACCACCGGGGCACGGAGCAGGGTCCCACCACCGGGGCACGGAGCAGGGTCCCACCACCGGGACATGGACCAAGGTCCCACCATCGGGGCATGGACCAGGGTCCCACCATCGGGGCACGGAGCAGGGTCCCACCAGCAGGGCACGGAGCAGGGTCCCACCAGCAGGGCACGGAGCAGGGTCCCACCATCGGGGCATGGACCAGGGTCCCACCATCGGGGCATGGACCAAGGTCCCCCCACCGGGACATGGACCAAGGTCCCCCCACCGGGACATGGACCAAGGTCCCCCCACCGGGACATGGACCAAGGTCCCCCCACCGGGGCATGGACCAGGGTCCCACCATCAGGGCATGGACCAAGGTCCCACCATCAGAGCATGGACCAAGGTCCCCACCATCAGGGCATGGGCTTCAGCATCTCAGGGGTGGTGGAGTCTGTCTGGAGGAGCACATTTACAGAGAGTGGTGGGGAACTTCTCCTTGCAGATCCTGGTGGAGTTTTGTCCAGGAGGGGCCGTGGATGCAGCGATTTTGGGTAACCCCCCCCCCCTTTTTAATGGTTGGCCATGGTGGGATTTGGGATGGGATGGCCAAATTCCATGGTGTGGAAGCGATTCCTGGCGTTGCGCAGCATCCCCAGCAGGGAGGATGGGTTGGGATGCGCCTTCCATTGGGTACCCTGGGGTTCACTGGTGCTGATGGCAGGGCTGGAGCAGGGGCTGAGCGAGGAGCAGATCAGAGGCGCCTGCAGGCAGCTCCTGCTGGCACTGCAGTACCTGCACGGCTGCAGCATCATCCACAGGGACATCAAGGCTGGCAACGTCCTGCTCACCCTCGATGGGGACATCAAGCTGGGTGAGTGCCGGGGGTCCCATGGGGCACAGGGATGCTCCAGGGGTCATCTCCAACCGCTGCTTCCTGCTCTGCAGCTGATTTTGGGGTCTCGGCCAAGAACTCCAGCTCTGGCCAGCGGCGCGTGTCCTTCATCGGCACCCCATACTGGTAAGTGTGGGGGGGGGACGCACAGGGATGCTGGGATGAGGGAGCCCAGGGGATGCTCACAACACCAGAAGCATCTCAAGGAGTTGGATTGGAAGCATGGAATCAATGGGGGTGGAAAACCCCTTCAAGGTCATCAAGTCCAACCATTCCCCAGCACTGCCAAGAGTGGGTTGTTCCTCTTCCAACTAATGATGGCTTCGGGGTGGGCTTCCCAGTAGCGTGAGGCTGTGAATGGGGAGGACACTTGGTGGGTTCGAGGCCTCCTGGGGTAGCATTGGCAGAGCTGGGGTTGGATCTCAGCTCCTCTCAGTGGGGCTGTCACCTGGGTTTGGTCCCAGGAGCAGACAGCAGCCCAGGGCAGGTTGGCCACGTTCCCCTCTGTCCCCTGCCCAGGATGGCCCCGGAGGTGGTGCAGTGTGAGGTGTCCAAGGAGAACCCCTACAGCTGCAAGGCTGACATCTGGTCACTGGGCATCACCCTGATCGAGATGGCCGAGATGGAGCCCCCCTACCACGAGCTGAACCCCCTCCGGGTGCTGCTGAAGATCACCAAGTCCCAGCCACCCACCTTGAGGCACCCCAAGAGGTGGTGAGTTCCCAGCACCCAACATGGGTGACAATGGGAGATGTCTGAGGTGGGCTCTTGGCCCATAGGTGATGCTCGGCTGCGACTCCTCCAAGCCCAGCCCCTAGGGTACCACAGGCACCACCTTTGCCCATAGGGGGTGATGCTGGTGGGCATCACCCCAAAGCCCATAGGGCCCACAGAGGGGTGACGGGGACCACCCCACAGGTCTGAAGACTTCAAGGACTTCCTGAGGAGATCCCTGCAGAAGAGCCCTGAGGAGCGCTGGTCAGCATCCCAGCTCCTGCAGGTGGGTGGGTAGCACCCATCGCTGGGTGCCCAGGGTGGGGGGCACCCATCCCTGGTGCTGGTCCCAGCCACCTCCCTTCCTCTCACCCAGCACCCCTTTGTGATGGGCACCTCGGGCAAGCGGCCGCTCCAGGAGCTGGTGGCCAAGGCCAGGGCTGCTGCTGCTGCTGAAGAGGATGAGGAGGAAGGTCCGGTCCTCTCGGTGCGTGGGTAGAGCCTGGCTGGGTGCGGGATCCCCCCAACCCTTCCCATGAGCTCACTGGGCCTCATCTCTTCCCCCATTGTCCACCCCACAGCGTGGGGGGCAGGAGCATGAAGACCCCTCCTGCCCCCCAGCACCATTGGATGCGATGGGGAGAGTCAGTGAGGGGCTGAGCATCTCCTCTGGTGCCCCGATGGTGGCGGAGCCCAGCACCAGGGGAGCATCGGATGTCCTGAAGCAGAAGAGAAGATCCTCACCCCAGGCCAGGCTCTCCATGAGGCTCCCCAAGAGACCTTCGGAGCTCCTGCAGCTGATGCGGCGCAGGTCCTGCTTTGGAGGGGTGAGGTCCCAGGAAGCACCTAGGGACCAGCATGGGGCAGAGCAGGGTGGGATGGAGGTGACGCCGATGGATGCTCCTCAAGGGACGTCAGCCCCAGCAGATGCAGGAGGAGAAGCTCCAGGGGGTCACAATGAGATCGGCCCTCTGGGGACCCACTGCAGCGTGGCTGAGATCCCCTCAGCACCACAGCGGGCAGGAGACCTTGTGGGGCTGCAAGAGCTGGAGGCCGGGCCGGTTGGACCCAAGGCAGGGCCGGTTGGACCCAAGGCAGAGCCAGATGGACCCAAGGCAGAGCCAGATGGACCCAAGGCAGGGCCGGTTGGACCCAAGGCAGTGCCCCAGGAGGAAACCCAATGTGCTGACACATCATCAGTGGCCACAATGCCCATGGAGGGGTGGCTTGAAGTCCACCCAAGCCCCGCTTCCATCCCCAAGAGCAATGCAGCAGAGGAATCAAGCAGAGACCCCTCTCTGGCCCTGCCTGCACCCATGGATGGGCACTGGTGCAGAGCCTCGGCCGTGGGGCAGATGATGGCAGCCCTGGACCTGTGGAGCATGAGGAGCAAACCCCAGAGCTCTGTGGTGCTGGCAGAGCATCAGCACCGGGTTACTCGGTCACTGCAAGACCTGAAGCCCAGCGCTGAGCCCATGGACCCGGGTGAGCAGGAGGAGGAAGCCACCGGCAATGCTCAGCCTGGGGTGGAAGAAGACCTTGTCCAAGGGTCTTTGGTTGGAGACCATAAAGCGGAGGGAGATGCAGAGGCCAGAGCTGGGGAAGGGATGCTGGAAGAAGAAGAACTGGAGCCAACCTCTGCAGCGTGTGCAGGGCAGGGACCTGCAAGGGAAGAGACCCAGAATTCCTCCTCCATGGGGATCCCTGATGAAGAAGAAACAGAAGAGAAAGTGGGAAACAGCCCCAGGGACGAGGCAGGAGTTGGGAATGACTGGAAAGAAGAGGAGGAAAATGATGGAGAGCTTGGAGAAGACGGGATGCAAATTGCTCCAGCTCCTGAAGAGCCATCGAAGGATGGACCTAGAGAGGAGATGGGTGGTTTGGAGGCTCAGGGAGCAGCACCAGAGCCCCAGGAGGCCTTTGGTGGACATCCAAAGGCCATAAAAGGTGTGAGGTTCAACGCTGCCCTGGGCCAGGTCTCTTCCCAGGCACAGGCAGTGTGGGAAGTGGATCCATCCCTCACAGCAAGGCATGGAGAGGAGCACCCTGCAGATGGGCAAGGTCCAAGCATCCTCCCTGCAGCACCGGAGCCTTTCCCTTTGACTGGAGAAGCCCAGGAGGTGAGAACCTTGCTGGGGGCCATGGGAAGGTGACCCCCTTGGCATGGGCCCCCAGGGTGGTTTTGGGTTGTCTGAGCTCAGAACCATTGCTCCCAGATGCAGGAACCTGCCTCGCTCCAAGGGACGGTCAAGGAACCCCCCAGGTTTGGGGTGGATGGGGAGGACGTCAGCGCAGTGACCACCGGAGCCATGGGCAAGGCCGGGATGCGGGATGGGATGATGCGCTGTGCTCGGTGAGTGATGTGGGAGTGGAGGGGCCAGCAGGCATCTTCCACCCGTTCCTGCCCAAGGAGGACCAGGGGCCAAGGGGAAGGGGGGCAGGAGATGGGTCTGAGGGGCTCCATGCAGAGCACAAGGGCTCCATCTCCAGGCCTGGAAACCCATCTGGCTCCATAGTCGGGGTCTACTCCAGCAGGAGACCATGAGCAAGCCCTTCCCTATGTCCTTAGGGAAGTAGGGACCCATGAGGAGGAAAAGCATTGCCCAGCCCCACATCTGCTGTGTCCAGCCCCACATCTGCTGTGTCCAGCCCCACATCTGCTGTGTCCAGCCCCACATCTGCTGTGTCCAGCCCCACATCTGCTGTGTCCAGCCCCACATCTGCTGTGTCCAGCCCCACATCTGCTGTGTCCAGCAGCACCTTAAGGAAAGAAGAGAGGAAGATCTTCTCCCATAAGACCTTGTGTCAGCCAAGGAGAGGAGGAGAGGTTGAATGGGGAGATGCCAGGTTGGACATGGTCTAGTGTGAGGTGCCCCTGCCCATGGCAGTGGGTTGGAACTGCATGGTCCCAAGGTCCTTCCCCACCCAAACCATTCTATGGAGAGGCAACTTATGAGTATGGCCCCCATGTATGCAATGGGCATCCCATCTTCATTCTTGTTGGAGATAGTCCTTCTCCATGCTGTTCATCAGCGTTGAGCTGCTCCCTGCATGGGAGATAGAGAGGTGCCTTCGGGGCCACCCTCAGCCCCATCTCGCCCCACACCTTCAGGCGCCAGGAGCTCCGTGAGCTGCGGGTGCTGCAGAAGGAGGAGCAGCGAGCTCAGAGCCGGCTGGAGCACAAGTTCCACCACCAACGGGAGCAGATGTTCCGCCACATCGAGCAGGAGATGATGGTAACGGGTCCATCACCATCATCATCATCATCATCATCCCTTGTGCCATGATGTGGTCAGGAATGGATGTGTGCTGGGGTCCTGCTGTGGGAGATGCTAAGGTCTGGGGGGGGTTGGTTGCTTCTTGTGGTCCCTGCAGCCCCGTTGACTGTATCTGCACATGGTTATAGAGCAAGAAGGGGTTCTATGACCGGGAGGTGGAGAGCTTGGAGCGGCGTCACCGGCAGCTGAAGGAGCACCAGGAGCTCAAGTACAGGGTGAAGCTGCATGATGAGGCCAAACACCTCAAGTCCCTCCAGAAGGGCTGTGGGAGGAGGATGCAGGAGCTGAAGGGTGATGGGAGAGAGGTGAGGGTCTGTGGCACCCAGAGCATGGGGGGCTGGCTCCCCTGGGTGCTGGGGCCAAGTCCTTCCATTGCTCCCCCCATGAGCAGCAGCAGGAGGAGCTCAATGAAGCCTTGCAGAGGGTGGTCCAGGAGCACAAGAAGAAGATGATGTCCATTGACTGGGAGTACAGCACCCGGATTCACAGCCTCAGGAGAGGTGGGTTGGATGGGGAGGAGGAGGATGGGGGGTTCCTGGTGGTGGTGATGGTGCCGTGGTCTCACCCATCAGCCCGCGAGTCGGTGGTGTGGAGCATGGAGCAAGGGCACCTGCAGGAGAAGTACCAGCTCTTCAGGCAGCAGGTGAAGGAGCAGCACGCGGTGCAGAGGCTGCAGCTCCGCAAGCGCCACGAGAAGGTGAGGTGGGAGCTGCTCCATCAACCCCATGGGGTCCCCATCCCTCTCCTGGCTCATTGTCCGACCCCTTTCCCAGGAGATGGAGAGGATGAGCCGCTTCCACCAGCTCCTGCTGGAGGCGCTGAGGAGCCAGCAGGCGCAGGAGCAGGCTCAGCTGCTCAAAAGCCAGCGCTGCACCACCAAAACCCTCCTGGCCCTCTTCAAGGACAACCTGAAGATGCAGGAGGCTGCTGGGGGCAAGCAGAGCAAGAGGGCCATGCAGGTATAAGGACCTTCTGGAGCCAACGAGGCTCCCTGAAGTATGGGGGAGCAGCCCAAAAGGCTCCAAGTGATGGGTTTTAGGGGATGTGGGGTGATGTGGGCTGTCCCCTACCTCAGTTCGCACAGCAGGAGGAGAGGTGGCAGCAGCTACAGCAGCAGCAGGCTGAGAACCTGGCAGAGCTGGAGCAGATGCAGGTACACAGGGGAAAGTTCACCCTGGGGGTTTCTTACCCCCTCACCACCTTTCCTTGAGGACCTTCCTGACCGTCCCTCTCCCAGAGTGAGAAGATGCATCTCCTGGCCGAGCAGGAGCAGAGGCAGCTGGGGCAGCTGGACCAGGAGCACGCCATGGAGCTCAGCGCATGGAGGCAGTGGCTGGCGGCCCGCATGGAGGTGAATGCTCCTGCAGCATGAAGCATCTCCTCCATGGGATGCTCCCAGTGCAGGGCTGTGATGGGAACGGGCCATGGCAGCGCTGCTTGTCTTCTCCAGGTGCTGGAGGAGGAGCTGCAGAACGCGCTGCTGGAGCTGCACAGTGCTCCCAGCAGCATCGGGACCACTCAGTGCTCCCACCTCCCCTCCTGACACTGCAGGCAGGTCCCATGGCTCTTCGGGGACATGGGCCTTAAGGATCTCCAAGGCAACGTGGGGAACAGTAGCCCTGGGATGCTGGGCAGGATGTGGTATGGATCAGGAGCTGGTTGGGCCAAGCCCACCCTTGCTGTGCTGGAGGGGCTGGGGTGTGAAGGTGATGCCACCACAATCACCCCAGAAGCTCCCTGGTGTGGGAGCTGTGGATACTTCCCCTGTGGATCTCCCCTCAGCTGAGCTCCAGGAAATACATCCTTCCTTAACAAAAGTCCCTGTTTGTGACTATTTTACTTAAAACCTCTCATCTTGTGTCCCATCAGCGTGTTCTGTGCCCCAAAACTTGCCCTTCATGGGCCAGCTCTCAAGGGATGGTTGATGATCTCCAAAGCTCTTTTCCAGCCTGGTGGTCCCATCCTCAGCCTCAGGCCCTGGGATACCTCAGATGCACAACTGGCAGCATCTGCACTGAGCCCTTCTCCACCCGCCTCGTGAGGGCCCCAAGGGCACTAATAAGCCCTAATGGCTTTGACCAGCCTCATGAGTGGCCCAGCCACATCATGGCCCAGGAGCTCCATCAAAGCTCAGCTCCAGGGCTTCAATCCCTGCCTAAGCTGTGCATTGCCTCAGACCCAACTTCAAGGCTTGCTTGTCTGCTTGATCTCAGACCTGCTTCAGCACCAGGAGCTTGTGGGGTGATCTCAGCTGGCCCCCATCTCCAGGTTGGTGCTGCTCATGTTGTTGGGTCCTGGCTGGTGATGCTCCCTGACTCCTACTGCTCCCCAGCACTCCATTGTTTTAACCTCTCCCCTGGTTTGGAGATTCCTCCTTCCCCACCTGAAAGGCCCATCTGCAAAGTCTGTAGCAATTTATTTATTACCTTTAAGCTCAGTATAAAAAGTAAATAGTTTTCTGGGATGAACAGGATGACAGGAACAGGAGGAACTGGAGACCTGGTAACGGTCCATGTACATCGAGTGACACAGAGGAGCCTTTTGGTTCACAGTGAGATGGAGGAACTTCACTACCCAGACCCAGGAAAGAACTGATGGATTGAAGACAGCAGAGCTGTACCCATCCCTCTGTATGGGTCCTAAGTTTAGGTTGGACATCCTTGATTTAAACCCTTCTGGAGGTGCAGAGACCAGTGGGGTTTCACAGCAACAGTGCTGGAGGAGAAAAGCCTACCAAGAGAGTCCAGAGAGCACCAGCCAGCTGAGGAGCTGAGCACACAGGGCTCAGTTGTCTTTTTTCACCAAGACTTCAGACAGGTCCTCTGTGCCCTCCAGCTTCAGATTCTGGGAACAGAAAAGAAAAGCCAAGTTCAACAAAACCAAACTCTTCCCCAAATTCTGGCAAACACCCACATGATGAAGGTTCAGAGCAACCCCAGTCCCTTCTGTCCCCATCAGCACACACAAGGCTGAGGCTTCCCATCGGCTGTTGGGGACTGAAATGCTATTGATGCTCACAACGTGTTCCCCTCCGCTGCCAGATCCAAGGACAAGGAATTAGGCTGGAAGTGCTACAAGTGCTTAACCACGGGTATCAGCCTGATATATGCTCACTATCAGCATGAAACTGGGAATGGAGAAGTCCTGATGTAGCAAGAAAATGGCTCTCCTACATATCCTGTGTCCACACTGCACTTACCTTCTCATTTGCTAGGTGCAAGAGGCAGGCGAAGGCTAAGGGGACAGACAGGTTTTCAGCCATCCTAGAAGGCAGCCTACAGAAGAGAAGGAGAAGGTTAGGATGGCCAGAGCCTACCACAACCCGATGGATGGAGCGTGCCTGCAAGGACCAGGTCACCAGAGATCAGCTCCTCCCCAGTGATCTGGTTTTTCTCTACCTTTCCCCTCCCACTAACAACAATTCCCCCAGGTGAATACAAGCCAAGAGCTCCCCCAGGCAGCCCCAGGGTTCAGGTAGGTTGTAACAGACACAGAGGGGTTGGTGTTTGCCTGAGCTCAGCTGAAGTCTACCCCTGATCTTAAGCCCAGACTTTCTTAGGGCCTCTACCTGTGAAACAGGTCCTTTGTGATGCTGCTGAAGACCTTCTCTTCTGCTATCGTTGAGGCATCCTCCTCTTTCTCTGCATCCTTCATCTGTTTAGCAAAAAGACACTGCTGAGACAGACTTTGCTTGCTAGTATTCACCTTATGTTCAGAGAGAAACCGCTCCCAGTTACACACTGTCTCTCCTTCCTGGCCATCCCATAGGAGCAAGACTGCTAGAAAGGAACTGCTGCTCAACCTGCCCAGGACTGTCTCTGCAGGAGTTAAGCTCTACAGGGCATTCTCTTGCCATCAGGGCTATTCAGGGATCTGGTGCCTCCTTCACTCACCTCTGCTGCTGCTGTTTCTTTCCCCCTTCCATCAGTCAAGAGGTTCCACATGCTCTTCTTCAATGTCTTCATGTCCATTTTCTTGGCTGTCTTTGCGTACTGAATCGCTATCCTGTTGATCTGAGGAGAAGTACAGGGTGAATTGAGAACACCTGAGCAGAAGCAGGAGCACTGTCCTCTATCAGGACCACAGGAACAATCCCATGGTTCTCCTTGGGAACAACACTGAATGTTCTCTTACTGCTACACCTTTGATTAATTCCCTCCTCTTACACAAGGGTTCATCTGGGTAAAAAGCATCCACTAGCAGCAAACCAGGGAAACTGCTGTCTCAGGACCTCCAACCACCCAAGGTGGCGAGAAGCTTTGCTCCAGATCTCCCCAGTGAGCAATTCACTCAGTGACAACACAAATCTTTACCTTCTGGGGCTCAGCAATGAGGTTCAGCTCTCCATATGTTGTGATATCGACAAGCCTGTTGAGCTCAGCTTCTGGAACCTCAGGGTGGGCAGTAAGGTTGAAGTCCCCTGTCAGGCCCATGAACTGAACTGGGTCATTATCATCATCGCTGTCAGCACACTGATGAAGAAGAAAGAGCGGTGAGGCCACAAAGAGACATCTCTGAGGAGCCAAGATGTGTCCTGCACTGAGATAACACCACCCTCTCAGGTTGGTGGTGATACCTGCCCACCTTCCCCATGGAAAATGTTATTATTCATTCTCCCCACAGAGTTTAGGCTGGGCTAAGGCCAAACACGAGGGAGATCAGCAGAGATGAAGGGGTTTTCCTGCAAGTGTGGGACCAGCTGGGACTTGTCACAAATGCACTCAGGAGGCAGCACTGGCCTGGCCAAAAGCTGAAGCTTGAGAGGAAATCATAGAATAGTTAGGGTTGGAAAGGACCTTAAGATCATCAAGTTCCAATCCCCCTGCCATGGGCAGGGACACCTTGCTCTAAACCATATTACCCAAGGCCTCATCCAACCTGGCCTTGAGCACTGACAGGGATGAAGCATTCACAACCTCCCTGGACAACCTATTCCAGTGCCTCTCTTTCAGTGGTAGCTCAAACCAGTTGGGAGCAAACCTCACTGTGTAATGATTCTGGAGGTGATCAATGGCATTTGCTCCTGCTTTAGGGCACTGGAATGGAGTTTCTGCAGCAAACTGACTGGCAAACACCAAGGCCAGAGAGTTTAGTTCATGTGGTTGGTGAGGGTACATGGGTGTGCACAGAGATTCCTGCAACTCCACTAGGAATTCATTCTGAGTACAGCTTCTTCCCATCACACATCAAATACAGGCATCAGAAAGAAAGCTTCTTGTTCCAGTTACCTGCACCGCAGGGCAGAAGTTGGAGGTGTCATTGGGGTTGTTGTAGTCGTACTCGCCGATGTCCTCGTCATGATCCAAGGAGCTTTCAGGCTGAGGCATCCTGGAGGACTTCCAGGACGAGAGCAGGGGTCAGCAAAGGAAAAACTCCATATATTGCCCAAGCAATACCTGCACCTTCTTTCTTCATCACCTCCCCTTTTCCCAGCCTGTTGGCTCTTCCTCCTCCTTGCACACCAGCCCTCTATAGCAAGTCCCCAGATAAGCAGAGCCACTCCAGCACCCACAAGCGTGTGTGAGTTCAGTGAGAGACAGGGTGGCTCTTCTCCAGCCCTGAAGAGCATCCCAAAGCACTTCAAGCATTTGGTGGAGAGTAGTTTTGTGCATGGAATCATTGCAAACAGGCTTTTAGAGAAGTCTCTTACCTTAAAAGCTGGTTTGAGGTACAGCTGGAGAATGGCGTTAGGGTCATAGTGGAAGGCTGCGGGAAGCGTGGTGCTCTTCACATTCTGGCTTTCCAGAATGGATTTGGCTAGAGTTATAGCTGCCTGGGGGAGATAATAAATGCCATTGCCCACGAGCTATCCACCAGTCACAAACACACAGTAAGTGCTTTGAACACAGGTCTTTGTGTTAGGGAAGAAGCAGACTAAACCACACCGTGTCTAACTCTGACTCATCCTATTCAAAGCTTGCTTATTTAAGCTAAATAATTCATATCTCAGTCTGAAAGGGTGCAAGTTCTAAAGACGTGTGCAAGGAGGAGTTCACACTGGTCTAGCTGGTGCACCTAAAGGTTTCTGTACAGCACACTGGGACATGGAGCTGGATCCATGGCATCTTTTTAATGGTTGGGGTATAAGCCAGGAGCAATCCAGCCTGATTCTCCACCGTCAGGCGGGTAAACCCCTCAGCTTGTAAGGTGACCTGGAGTCAGAAGACTCTAAGGTTACAGAGCCAGTTTCACAGGGGCCATTTGCAGGTGATGGTTGGCAGCCACACTGACATAATAAAAGAGAGAGCAGAAAGAGGCAGGAACTCAGCACGTGCCTTGGTCTTACGGAAATGCGCCTCAAAGTCAATGTCTTCATCAAAGTCTATTTCAAATGCTTTCCTTGCATTCCTTTTCCTGGTCTCTTTTTCAGACTCAGCCTCTGCAGCAGAAAGGAAGCAAATGGTCAGTGCTTTGTGACAGAGTAAGAACCACAAGCTCACTCCTAACTTGAGCATCTGCTCCACAAAGGTCACCTTTCCTCTTTGTTGTGGGAAAGCAACAAGTGGTGTTCTCAGCTTCACGTTTTCAAGGGATCAGTGTCTTTTTATAGAAGCAGAAAGTGTAATTTTATCTTCAGACTTTATGCAGGAGGTGGGAAATAACAGCAGGAGCTGTATTAGTACTGTTACCTCCTGTTGCTGCGGTGAGACACCCTCTCAACTTTGAGCATCATCATTCAAACACTAGA